CTCTGAGTAAAAAACTAACAGCCAGTCGAATCTAAGTATAGTTCCCATAATTTTGAAAACAATGAGATGATTTCATAAAATTGTCGCTTGGATTACCTTGATACAGGCTTGAAAAAAAAACATTGTAAAGAAACTTAACTCCAACGATAAATCGCTTTAATTACTTGAAGACGTCTCAATAAAAAAGCGAGATAATGCGATATGGCGTTTAGATTTAGTCTTATGACTATTTATAAAGCACTAAAGAGGTAAAACCAGTTATTATGGCACCATTTTGCGAGCATAACTCGTCTATCTATGGAATACAATGGCCATAGTCATCGATATTACCCACTGTCTGTAGTCTAAACCTGTAGGTTTTCTGTAGGTGTTATTTATTTCGTTGTATAAGTACCTAATAAAATTATAGTTATGAAATACGACAATGTTTGGTGCTTAATGACCACCGAAAAACGGTTTTTAGTTTCACCACTGTTAAAAGAACTATCTGTCTAATAAATTGTGTCCCAAATATTAATTTTATCTGTCCTCGTAGATACGGATATTTTCCCTCGGCTTTTTTCCTGTCACAATGTCTACATTTTTTCTTTGCCCGTGACCTATATGCGTCCTAGCCGAAATAGCATCGTGTGACAATGATGACAGATAAGTGTTTTTTGAATGAACACACGTACAATTTCAAGATCACCTACGAGTGTCATGTCATCGGAAACAATGTGCCAAAAGTCATGAAAAACACTTCAACGAGAGAATATTTTTTTAAACTAGTATACGGGCGTTACTTTCGGAAGGGTCGTGTGGGATGTATTGTGTAATGTAGTATGTAGTATACATTTTATTCTTTTTCATTCAAGTCTTAGTAGATACCTAGATAAATTGAATTAGAGCACAGGTATATATTCAAGATAGGAAATAGTCTCTTAATATTTCATGAAGTAGTATCATGAACGCCTATGAAAATGGAAGACCTTTACCAACGCCCCATTATATCTTGTTCCTCTTTCTGAAATGTACAAATTTGATCGGCTGGTTTGAAACAATAACCGAAAATGTATTTGCATACAACTTAATGACCGTATAACGTCATTTATGCCGATTGTAAAATTTTTACGTCATCTATAGTGGAAAATCTTGAAATGACGGCATTGGCCCGATGGCGCGGCGTGGTCTGAAGGCAAATAAAATAACTCAGTTTGCTTAGTAAGTCAAACGATCGAAATTTAGAAATAGCTGACTGACCAACTTGTCGATAGGGGCTTTTACACTTTCACAGAACTTAGAACATTAAAGTACACTTAAAATCTACTCCAAAAATGATTAGATTACAATTTCTAAGCAAAAAGTAACATTAATACAGGCTTTGTTCCTCACTCAGGATTTAGGGCATAAAGTCCCTATAACAAGAACGCCCACGGGACAGAAATCAGATAACCTTTGAAACATTTAAATACCATTGACTTGTAAAGGTCAAAGAGTAATCAATCCCTAGGCATAATACCCGTTCCAGGTTTTATTATCACCTCCCATTGTGCGCTGGAATGTCCTAATCATGGTAGTGAATCCCAATGAGATTAGGTAGAGATAGATTGATGTACAGATAAGTTTCGTTTGTATTTTGATCTTGACTGCACCGATTTGGTCAAGAAAGTCCTTAACGGTAAAATAGTTTTTAAATCGGAATACGCTAGTTAGGTACTTGCAACAATATTGCGCAAATTGAGACAAGGATAGATCTGTTATGGATTATTGTTTTGTAGGAGCTATAATAATCCGATAAGCCGGCTATGTATTGTATATTATATTAGGTCATTCATTTTTTTTTTTTTTTTTTTTTTTTTTATAATTGATGGGGCACGTTTGACCACTATCTCACCTGTTGGTAAGCGATGATGCGTCTACGTTGGAGCACGTCGTCCCATAAGCAACCTATTCACTCGGGCCTTGAAGACTCCCAGGTTATACCCTTCAGGAAATACAGACTCTGGCAAAGAATTCCACTCTTTAGCAGTACGCACAAGGAAGCTTGATGCAAAGCGCTTCGTGCGTGTGGGCGGAACATCTACCATGAATCGGTGACGCTTCGCGGATTGTCTTGTGGTACGATGATGGAAAGGACTAGGGGGAATCAAGTTGTGCAATTCCCCCGCACACTCCCCGAAATGTATCCGGTAGAAAACCGAAAGGCTTGCAACCTTACGCCTGTGTTCGAGGCTTTGAAGCCGAGCCTTCACAAGCGCATCATCGTCGATGAGCCTCCTGGCACGCCTCTCAATGTGCTCTAACGCGTCCAGCTGATATTTAGCCGAGCCGTCCCAAAGATGAGAGCAGTACTCCATACAGGACCGAACCTGTGCTTGGTACAGGCTCAGCAATTGTTTCGGCGTGAAGTACCGTCTCACCCTCCAAAGGACACCCAACTTCCTACCAGCCAGTTGCGCTTTTGACTCTATATAGGAGCCAAAGTTGAGCGTGGGCGTCAGAGTTACACCAAGAAGCTCAAGACGATCGGTTATCGGTACGGATACATTCCGGAAAGTAGGAGTCAGCGGAAATTGACTCCGTTTGGCGGAGAATAGACACGCCTGGGTCTTGCTAGCATTGAACCTAACCAAGTTGGCGTCACCCCAGTCGGACACCGCCTTCAAGGTCGAGTTCAAACGTTCGACCATGGATTCTCTTAAAGACTGGATCTGTGTTCCGCTAGTCCGCGCACCGGACACATACCTTTCAACAACTGTGCTGTCATCTGCATACCCAAAGATACCGGGCTTAAGCAGGTCGTTTATGTGCAGCAAAAAGAGCGTCGCTGAAAGTACTGACCCCTGAGGGACGCCGGCATTAATACCGAATTGGTCAGACGAGCAGCCATCGATGACTACTCGTATTGACCGATCCCTCAGAAAGTCTGCTATCCATCTGCACAGACCAGTAGGAAGTCCATATGCAGGAAGCTTGCCGATTAGACTGTCGTGCCATACCCTGTCAAAGGCCTTCGAAATATCGAGGGAGACTGCTAGTGCCTCTCCGTGCCCCTCTATGGCCTCGCTCCATATGTGAGTGGCATACGCAAGAAGGTCCCCAGTCGATCGGTTACGTCGAAACCCGTATTGCCGATCGCTGAGGAGATCGTTACCTTCAAGGTATGCCAGGAGTCTATTGTTAAGAACACGTTCCATGCTCTTGCAGAGTATGGACGTGACCGAAATAGGGCGGTAATTGTTAGGGTCGGCACGACTACCTTTTTTAGGCACAGGCTGTACGTTGGCCAGCTTCCAAGCAACCGGTACTAGACCCGTCTCCAAGGAAAGGCGAAACAGACGTGTCAAGATTGGAGACAACTCAGGCGCACAGGTTTTTAAAACCAGGGCTGGGATTCCGTCGGGACCACTGGCCTTGTTCACGTCCAGATCGCGTAGCGTCCTATATACCTCCCTCTGTCGAATGCGAATTTGCGACATATTCGTCTTGCATACGCTATTAACAGAAGGAGGCAAGGCGCCACCAGTGTCAAGACGCGAAGACTCCGCAAATAGAGAAGCAAATAGATTTGCTTTCTCTACCGCAGTGTGAGCCAGCGTCCCGTCAGACCTCAGGAGCGGAGGAAGTGAGGAGCGACAGAAGTTCGATTCAACCGCCTTGGCCAGGGACCAAAAAGCTTTACTTCCCGCTGGGTAGGAAGCTAGTTTGTTCCCTATACGGCCAATGTGGTTAAATCGAGCCATCCGTAATGCCTTTTTGCATGACTTGGCAGCCCGATTAAAGGCTCTCTTCTTTTGATGAATGTCATCAGCCCTACGGCGCCTGGCATCCGCCCATGCCAAGTATGCCGCCTGCTTTTGCGCTTCGGCACGTCCGCAGTCGGCATCGAACCAAGGACGGGTCCCACCAGAGGATGCCACGTCCGAGAATGGAATGTAGTATTCCATGCCCTGGCGCAGCACCCCCGTTACGGCTTCCGCACAAGCTGACGGGTCATCAGAAGAGAAGCAGACAGGCCGCCAAGGATAGGAAGCGAAAAAAGATCGCATCCCATCCCAGTCCGCTGACTTGTATCGCCACATCCGCCGAGGTCCTCTGGGACTCGGATCTGGTGGGGAGTGTGTCGATACAGATTTCACCAGACAGTGGTCAGAGCTACCTAGAGGTGATGAGACTGTCACCGAGTAGCGGTCTGGATCAGTTGTCAGCAGAAGGTCTAAGCAATTGGCAGTGTGCGTATCGACATCGGGCACCCTTGTGGCTTCCTGGACCAGCTGGGTCAGGCCAAGCGAAAGCGCAAGCTTACGCATTTCCCTTCCAGCATGGTCGGTGCACTGGTATGGGAATAACCACTCCTGATGATGAGCGTTAAAGTCCCCCAGTAACACCAACTGGGCCGAAGGGTACGCCTGACGAGCCGCATCCGCCGCTTCGCCGAGGTATTGCGCTAATCTGGTCGCCTCCAAATCTCCGCTGTGCGACCGATAGACACAGGCATAAAGAATTTTCTCCATGCCTATGTCCACCAGTATCCAGAGAGCAGAAAAGCTTGGGTCTTCAAGGTTTCGGAGACGCCGGTAACAGATGCCGTCTCGGACGTATACGCATACACCTGCATGCGGAACAAAATTGTGCTCCAGGGAAAAACCAGGGTAGTTCAGGTAGGATACGTCCGACGGGCACCTGATCTGGGTCTCCGAGAGAAACAAGAGTGTAGGGTTCTCGGTCTCGAGGTGGTGATGGACCGCATTGACATTAGAGTGCAAACCTCGAATATTTGAGAGGTGCACTATGTAGGAGAGGGAGTGCAGCCGCTGTTGAACAATTCATTACAGAAGTGTTAAGTATGGGATTAAATACTTACATTGAAATTGCAGAAAGAATAATTTCTGATCTGTTGAATACTTCTTTGTTCGTTTTATAATAACTACACGAAACTTCGCAGTTATCTTTTTATCTGAGACCTACTACATCAGTAAGCCAGTCCACCATTAGTAACAATTTGTAATTATTGTCCCCAGGGTGGTAACAATGCTGGACACACCGTAGTCGTCGACGGCAAGGAGTTCGATTTCCACTTACTACCAAGTGGTATCATCAATCCGAAATGTATCTCCCTTATTGGTAAGTTTGTAATTTGTTTTACAACCTTCATAATTATTTATCATAATCATCTTCATCAGCCGGAAGATGTCCACTGCTGGACAAAGGCATCCTTTTAGTCCTCCACGTCGAACGACTCCTCGCATTGGCTCTCCGCAACTCTGATACTTATTTTCTCACTAAGAAATTATAAAGAAACTACTCATTAAGAAATTATAAACCCACATTATATTAAAATTCCTGAGCCTTAAAAAGAATGGGATGTTTCTCTTGTATGAATACAAGGTTATCCACCAGATATTATATCAAAGTATAGGCCTAAAACCGGCATTATAAAAACACTGTTCTGTCATTTATCAAGCATTTTCTTTCAGAATACATTTATCTTTTAAAGTTTTCAAATTATGTGACCTAGAAGAAGTTGATAAAGAAATTACGATAAAATAGCATTAGTGCTCAAAATGGCTGAATGTTTCGCGTGCACTAACTTTTTACTTAGCTTATTCATAGATCAAGAAGCACGGCATGAAATAATTGAATTACTATAACTGTACACTTTTTTGACTGCCTCTGCTCTGGTGATTTTCAACACGACTCATTAATGTGCCTACGTATTCTACTGCCAATTCGCCGGTGTCACACATGGTTCATGGTTGAGATGATTAAGTCATATTGTTAATAACCATGGCGTTACGGGAATTAAGGCATGTTTGTTTTGCCTGTTAGGAGTTATTCTCTAGAAAAAGTCCTTGAACGTGATGAAAGCATAGAATGAGATTACTCGCTGAATACAGTCGGGCATAATTATAGGATTTTCATTTTTTTAATAAATTTTTTTATGGAAATTAGACTTATTACACATTTTCGAAGGCCAGAATTGTGTTATTTACAACTGCATAGAATCTAATCTTATTCTCGTAAAGTAATAACAAGGTCTTCAAGTTGAATAAAAAATCCTTACAATAATACTTGTGAGGCGTGGCGCACTAGTGATAATTGACTGATAACACGATGCTATCTAACGACTATCCTTGAACGATTGCCAAAAGCTTGCATCATTGTAGTAAACTAAATCTTTCCCCCGACTGAACCCGCGTCCATGGACCTAGGTTTTTTAAAATAGCATAAATCCTTCCTAGATGCCAAGAACTGAAGATAGAGCTCAGTAGCGTTCTATTGGACATGCCTATTGATTTATTTACTAGCTGACTCGGCAAAATTCGTATCGCGTTAAAACTTTTTCTCATCTTTTAAACCTTCCGTGGAAGTCCACATTTCAACCAAAATTAGTCATATCGTTTCAGCTGTTCTCGAGTTTTAGCGAGACTAACGAACGGAAATTAATTTTTATTTATAACATAACATTACATAACATAACATCACGCCTTTTATCCCCGAAGGGGTAGGCAGAGGTGCACATTATGCTACTACAATGTTACACCCACTGTTCACTATTATGTTATGAGTCCCATGTAATAGGGAGTAAGCCTATTGCCATATATCGGGCACAATTGCAGACTCCGTGCTACTACTACGATTTTTTTTAAACCCAGTAATACTTTGCCTGACCCGGGAATCGAACCCGAGACCTCTTGCCCGGCAGTCACACTTGCGAACACTCGGCGAACGAGGCAGTCTTAGTTATTTTTAATTACATAGAAGATATATGAATAGAACGGTACAAAAACCAATTACACTACTCAATAAATATACTATTGAAAGAAAGAATACAACACAGCAATTCTGCGTCTAACTTTATTAGGGAATTGGAAGAAAAGAGTTGGGTAATTTTTTATCTAAAAATGGCATCCGGTCCTAAGGTTGATTCATCGGAGAACTTAACGGGTTGCCGGGTCTCCAGCTCGAAATGCTTTTTAGTCAGTAAGAGTCTGACACTCCCTCTGGGCACACCCGGGCGGGAGAAGTCATTGGATGATTATCCCCCCTCAAAAACAAAGGTTGATTGATGGGTTCTTTGATGAAAAAGATGTTGTTTTTACATTTTGTAGTGTTATTCCTAAGAGTGTAATTTATTAAAGAGTGGGCGAACTGGAAAATGGAAGTTGAAATAAAAATTCACTGTGCAATCAATTATTTTATTTACAAAAAGGCTTTTTAGGGTTATTTTATTTAATCTACTTGGACATTCGACGTAGTATACAAAGATGAAGTATCGTATAAAATCGTATTCGTATCGTGTTTTAAAAGAAAACTAACTACGCAGTTACCTTTATGAATGTTACAGAGCAGATTTTTATAGTTAACCTTTACACTTGAATTCTGAAACAAAACATGAAATAAAAACATTGTACAGTTAGCATGTCAAATGATAAACAATTTGACTAAGTTGTATCAAACAACACGCTAATGTAACATGAAAAAAGTACAACAAAACTTGTGACATCGTTAATCCAACTGTACCAGGTACGGTTTGCAGAATCATTGTATTAATAGGTTTATATAACGAGTAATTTATTGTCAAGGTTAAGGTATGCACGAAGATGTTTAGCTTTATTCTGCTGACGTTACTTTGTTGGTGTACGTTGTTATGGCATGCTATGAGATCAACAAATATACAATTTATTTACGTTAGTCATTGATTACTTTTTTCTTCGTGTTGGAATACATGTCTGATTAGATTGAATACAGTCAGTTTTGACAGCCCCTATTTTTGCCGTCGTGGTGGCCCGGGAGGTTTAAGACGCCCACTTCTCATGCATGAGGGTGCGGGTTCGAAACCTACCAACGGCAAGTACCAATGTGACTTTTTCCGAGTTATATGTACTTTCTAAGATTATTTAGACACCACTGACAAACGGTGAAGGAAAAACATCGTGAGGAAACTGGACTTATAATTTCTAATTATGTTTGAATCGCCAACCGCCATTGCGCAAGCGTGGTGATTAATGCTCTAAACTTCTCCGTGTGAGAAAAGGCTTTGCTCAGCAGTGGGCATTTATAGGCTGTTGATGATGATGATGATATTTTTCCCGCGGTCATCCGTAAGAGCCGACAGAGACCAGGGTGCTTTCTCTTGAAACCAACCTCAATGTCAATGCAATTTCAATCTAATAAAATCTCAAAATTATTAAATGTCAACACTATACAACCTCAATCGTAGCTGTTACAATAGCATTCATAGTACGGAATATAAAGTCAAACTCAATACCATTTAGTTCATTAAATATCCACGCAATTCGGATGCAAGTTAATGTTGCAAATCAAGAGTGTGAAATTGTACAATATCATTGTCGAACGATCGGAATTAGATTCAATAGTAAGTAAGCTCCCAGGCAGCAGCGTTCTCTAACGATCTTGAACCTTTAAAACTCCAACGAGTTTGGATAAAATGGAAAAACTCTTCTTATGTATAGTCCAGCACTGAATTAAAACGATCTGTTGATGTGATGTGGTACTCCAATGCTCTCTCTCTCTCTCTCTCTCCTCTCTCTCTCTCTCTCTCTCTCTCTCTCTCTCTCTATATCTATCTCTCTCTCTCTCTCTCTCTCTCTCTCTCTCTCTCTCTATATCTCTATATATATCTCTCTCTCTATATCTCTATATATATATCTCTCTCTCTCTCTCTCTCCTTTTATTCTCGGGTGATCCTTTCCCTTTCTATCAGACCACCACGGATGAGGCCTAATAGAGTTGATGCCGAATTGCCCACACGGAGCCGCGGAGAACGCAAAACGTTACCGGGGTTTCGCCTCGAACTGTAGGAGTAGGAACGGGCTGGTTTCTAGTCAGTAAGAGTCTGACACACCCGCCTCACCTAGCCGGGAGAAGTCATTCGATGATTTTCCTCCCTTCAAAAAATCCTTTCCCTTTGAGAGTCCGATTACATCTCTTCAACAAAATACACGTGCGCAATACAATATTAATTATTGTGGCTAACATAAAGTCTGATTACTTTGCTATTGTTTTAATTCACAACATAAATTATTTTAATTTAACCATTGTTGAGCGTCTCTAACTCAATTTAACCCAAGGTCTCAGTCTCTCTGTATACGAATATGCATTTTTAATAGTCATAGTTCAATTATAAAGTTTGTGCTAATAGACAAGCGATGAGAGGGCCTTTTGGACTTAGCAATTAGAAACATATTGTACTATACATTCATAGATACATAACTTCACGCCTGTCTCCCATGTGGGTGTCCAGAGACCATGGAACTAGGGTTGCCACCCGTACTTTATAATAAAGTATTGTACATTATAAGGTAATTGTACTCTATACTTTATGAGAATAATAAAGTACACGAAAATACTTTATTTTTGCAAAATTCGATATCGATATTTATCGACTTATGTTGAATCTATTTCGCCACTCCCCAGCGCCACTTAGACAATTTCTAGTAAAGATGCAATTGTTTAATATTGCAATGCAATTGTTTAGTAAAGATACTAATTTTATACAAACTGCAAAAAGCAATAAAAAGTATATTTTTAAATATAATACTAAATAAGAATAAATTGTACTTTATTTTTGTACTGTGTACTTTTTTTTCTTACCTATAAATAATCGTCAATGTACTTTAAATACCAAAATAAAAGGTGGCAACCCTTCATGGAACGCCAATGGCTACGATTCTTACATACACCACAGTTATCAGTATTTTCATGCATGCTCGTCGGTTAAGGGTACTTTTAATTTGGCCCTTCTTTAATATATCACTATCTTTAATATATCACTAATCTGGTCAGTATATGTCCGTTTAGGAGAGCCATAGCGATGGTGCCCTCTACCGACGGCCCCATAGTTCTGTATACTTCTTTCGGTACTTTACTTTCATCAACCCTTTCTTGCTCAAACCAGCGTAACATTCCCTTTTCAATTCTTATCACTAAATCATCTTTCAATCCACACCTTTCTCCAATAACACTATTTTTCACTCGATAACTCTGTTTTACTCTACACACACACCTATCAGTATCTTGACGATCTTGTGCTAAAGTTAAAAATGAAAAGAAGAGTTAAACTCTGCTAAGAAGTTTGTTTTACGTCTATAGTAATCGTAACGAGTAAGCGCGTTCGGCGTTCTGATTGGTTGGTTGATTGGTGGCCGCCAATCAGAGCAGCGAACGCACACTTTAAACGTAAAACAAACTAGTACGAAGGCCTCTGGTCTTTTCTTAAAAATAGTTTTAAATCATTTTTGCCCCCTTATAAAGATACTCGCCCTTGCAAGAGAATATGATTATATATAGACAATCAAATAATTACTTAATATTTTTCTACAGGCAACGGTGTGGTTATCCATCTCCCTGGGCTCTTCGAGGAGTTGAAGAAGAACGAGTTGAAAGGCATGAAGGGCTGGCAGGACAGACTCATCATATCAGACAGAGCTCACCTCGTCTTCGACATGCACCAACAGGTAATGCCTTTTAATGGTCAAAGCGACTGCTATATTTAAGTGCAAAGAAACTGAGCCATTAGCTTTTTTTTTAATTTTATCGAATCCTCTATATCTTTTAAAATAAATATTCCAAGGAGTCACATACGACTCACGATGAACTTTTAGAATAAGTCACGTGTCACTCATATTTGGTACAAGTTTGGGGTGTATTTTTGATATGAGCGTGGCAACAAATTCTAATAAAAACTACGTGGACGTGTAGCAAAAAACCTGACCTTTAAAAACAATGGACGAGGAGTAATTGTAAATCTTATTGTATAGGGACCGTTAAGTTGTAGGTAACTAAATTTCCTTATATACGACATTGTATCTTACCAATTAATAAAATACTTGCATAATAAAATATTTATCAAGAAAGAAAAAAGAAAAACAGTAGTGGCTTCGTGTCTTTTGCAACCAAGTATATATTCTTGGTGGCATTTAGAGATTTTTGGGTACAAAGATTATATATTTTTGCTTCTAAACATAATAGTGTGTGGAAATTGGCAGAAAAACAGAATTTTATCTCCAATAGGCACTACGCTACATCATGGCTGTAATTTATTCTCAACTAGCGACCCGCCCCGGCTTCGCACGGGTGCAATATGCATGTGTTATAATTCGAGGGGTAACGGACTATTTGGTTTAAGCGACATTTTGGGCGATTTTGAGTAATATATTCGACGGAGAAAAATTCGCTGATTCCGAATATGTATATAACTCAATATCGCCCAAAATGTCGCTTAAACCAAATAGTCCGTTACCCCTCGAATGTATATATAAACATTCCTTAAGAATCATTCTATCTATTAAAAAAACCGCATTAAAATCCGTTGCGTAGTTTTAAAGATCTAAGCATACATAGGGACAGACAGACGGGAATAGCGACTTTGTTTTATACTATGACTGTAGTGATGGTAATTATACATTAAACATAATTATTTGTGACGAAGTTTGTGTGGCTAAAGTTTATTATAATTATGTAAGTAATTAGTTACCTTGTTAAGCAAATTGCAAATTATTCCTTCATGATTGATTCGATTTATTAATCAGATTCTTTAATAAAAACGCAATAAACTGATAAAGATTTGCGTGCTGAATTTGCCTTGGTTATATTACTTGTTATTTTTGAATCGGTATCATGAAATGCAGTAAATTCGTAAAGGTAAATTGACTATAGTATTAATTGGCTTCATTAATGTTCAAATAATTGTTATTTTTTTTCAACATAAATAGTGAAAAGTGGGTGTTACATTGTACAGTGGCATAATGTACACCTCTGCCTACCCCTTCGGGGATAAATGTGATGTTATGTTATGTGTATCTTATACTTATTTTTATATAAAGCTGACAGTTTGTTTGTTTAAACGCGCTAATCACCGGGACTATTGGTCCAATTTAAATAATTCTTTTTGCGTTGTATAGTGCGTTTATCGAAGAAGGCTGTAGGCTAGATAAACAGCACGCTACGATCAACAGGAGCGGAGCAGAGCGGGAGTAACCAGTTAGTGTTATAAAATAAAATGGTCTTCTACTTAACAAATGAATGTAAATTCCCATCAAGCTTCCTTGTGCGTACTGCTAAGGAGTGGAATTCTTTGCCAGAGTCTGTGTTTACTGAAGGGTATAACCTGTGTGTCTTCAAGGCCCGAGTGAATAGGTTGCTTATGGGACGACGTGCTCCATTGTAGACCGCATCATCGGTTACCACCAGGCGAGATAGTGGTCAAACGTCGGCCCAAAAATATTAAAAATAGATGTTGTATCCATATTAGTGCGTTTCTGTTCTAACTTCTATGTAGTTATAGTAAGTTATTAATGTTTTTCTCAATTAATATTTATTGTTCAATCAATTAATAGATATTACTAGAAATGACCATAGTCAACCGTTAATGTCTAGTAGCTGGTATGATGACGATGGTGATTAATAAGATAGTTAAATATTACGGTAAAATCTCAGGAGCGGTCAATAAATCATTTTTAATAACGTAATTACTTATCTGTGGCATAGTGATTAATTGGGTACTTGCTTTAATCAAAAAATAAATTATTTCGACTGTTCAATACAATATTAAAAAAATATCACACTTTCATTAATTGATTTTATGACTAACTTAATTTTAGTAATTTTCCAGATTTTTTTAAGTACGCTGTTTGACGCTAAACAAACGTGACGTCACAATGCACAATCCCGTACAAAATTCATATAAAAATGTCGTTTTTGACAGTTCGAAAAAAGTATTGAATATGACTAGTTGGCGAGTACCCAATTAGGTATAGTTCTACTCTCTTTTCTTTACTATAAGCTCTAGGTAGAAATATTAAAAATTATAAGGTTTTAAATAAATAACACAATATACTCCTTCTAAAGTTCTGAGTAGCGGCTCAGTATAGGGCGGAAGGCAAATAATGTATGCAAAGACAAAAGCCTCTTATTGTGTGCAAAGAGCGACCACAGTTTCATTGTGCTAATACGGTATCAAAGTTAACAAAGATTTATTATATGCCCCAGGATATTTACCATATGTGTGTACAATCCAGAACATAATGGTTCTGGATTGTACTGAGTACCGAACATTTACTGGTGTAAATAATTGCGATTGTAACTCGGGGGGTTCCCGTTTGTGATATCCTAGTAGCATTATTAAAAGGAAGTTGATAAGTACAATATGTTCTTTATTACGAGAATCCTGTTTAGTGTTCAGTAGGTTTTTATAACCAGATGAAAAGAGGTACCTACCGATGCACATTTCCATAAAAAAAATGAGACTAAATACTTACTTTTTTTATTGGATGAAGTAAACGAGCTGACTTACTTTACATGTGCGTTACCGGCCTTTTGGGGATTAGGAATTTAAGGATTGGGGAGTGGCTCGGCCTCCGGTAACCTCACTCACTCGAAACACAACGCAAGCGTTGTTTCACGTCGGTTTTCTATGAGGCCGAGTGCCGAAGCATGGCTCTCCCGTACTGACTTAACTAATAACATTAAAACAATCTTTCAGCAAATATCGGTAATAGGAAATAGTTTAGTATTAAGCACTTGAAAGAGGCCTTAATCACAGAAAATGCAAACGCGTGACATGTGACGCGTGCGCATAATAATTGCGCGAGAATGCTGTGACGTCACCCACGGTCAAGGAGGCCCGAGCCGTGCATCGGTCGTGGCTTACTATATTTTATTACGTTATAAAATTGTAATAAAGAGAGTTTGAAAGAGACTAATGAATATTGTGGTTTTTTTATTTGTTATGTATTTTATATAATGTGAATTTAATTTATGACAGATTGTTCTTGCGGTTTTCTTAGTGTTTTTTTATTAATAAATCGATCAAATCTCTCCATTATCAATGTTTTAATTTGTGAATGTAGACAAAGTTGTTGTCTTTGTTCCAGGCAGTTCCGCCTATCCCCACTGGGAGATCCCTGTATATACCAGATACTCCCAGTCCCAGATAGTCATATGACAGGCGTAATAATTTTTGTGATACGTATAACTATATTTACGTTTTATAGTCTATCATTCCTTGATAAATGTACTATCCAACACAAAAATAACTATTCAATTTGAACCAGTGGTTTCCGAGATTAGCGCGTTTAAACAAAGTCTTCAGCTTAATACAATAAGTAACTTATTACTGGTTTTTTTTTTAAATCTCAGTAGTAGCACGGAGTCTGGAATTGTGCCCGGTATATGGCTGTAAGTTCACCCGCTTTTACATGGGACTCATAACATAAATAGTGAAAACTGGGTGTCGCATTGTAAAGTGGCATAATGTGCCCCTCTGCCTACGCCATCGGGGATAAAAGGCGTGTTATGTTATGCTATAAGTTTCAGTTCATAGTAACAAGTACCGATCTATTTGCTATCAGCCACCACGCATCATATATCTGCATACATTACTCGTATAGTTACTTATGTGTCTACGTATATGGAGATGATAATACCACAGTTATGACAAGTGTGCTAATGAGGATATTATTATTAGTTATCTATTTCTATGTATGTATATGAGATAGTGACTAAACGATTATAGAATGTAGCTACCTATGTATAAGTTAGTTGCGAGCCAACTATAATGTAAGTAATTATTATTTGAAGACGTACCTCTGTAGGCAACACTTATGAATTTACAACTGAATAGTTGACAAATTTCAAGTCTTTTTGTTTACTTTTTAGGTATTAAGGTATGAGTATGTAATGGGTATTCCCTGTATTGCACGGATTACTTTCTGTCTGACATAATTATGAATGAACATGTAAACATTTTTATCTAGAACGACATGACGTCACATATTGCAAACAAATTCGTGTAAACGTTTATTATTGACAAAAATAAACCATGATTTTTAAAGCAGTTTGTTAATGAAAAGTATCCAATCACCGTAAATTGTACTTTTTCAAATAGGCACTAAGGTTTAATTTTTCATTGTTTTAGGTGGATGGTCTTCAAGAGGCTGAGAAGGGCAAGAACTCGTTAGGTACCACAAAGAAGGGCATTGGCCCAACTTACTCGTCTAAGGCCACCCGTAATGGACTGCGGATAGGAGACCTACTCGGTGACTCCGCTATGTTTGAGGAGAAGTAAGTTTGTCTTTTGAAAGATTATTTATTACTTATCACTGTTTAGCAGGGCCGTCTTAAACTACGTTGGGGCCCTCGGGCACACAATAATTGGAATGATGACGGGGTTTGAAAATTAAAAATCTATTTAGTTCGTAAGTTAGGTAATGAAAAAATATTAGACATGTATTTTTTTATTTTGTTCTATGATAAAATAATACTTAGATAAAACGAATCAAAGATTAGGAGTGGGGGCTAAAACGTCATTTCTACGTATAAAATATACATAGAAGTGACGTCACGCGACATTTGAAATCAATAAATAGTCGAAAGTATTCGTTTCTGTAAGAAAATAAAAAATACGTGTCTAATGATTTAAAATAATATACCAGACGGACATTAAAATAAAAATTAGGCATCTATCCTGTTCGTGTAGTTTTCGTAATATTTATTTTTGCTTTGCATTGCAACATTGCCCCACGCTAGGATTTTCTCCTGTACCGTGGGTGCATTTACAAACATACAAGTTCAGACTCGAAACAACAATTTGTAGAGCATACAAAGATTTGCTACGTGCGGGAATCCACCCAAATGTGTAGAGGTTGTGTGTCCGTCTGAGTTACCTGCGTATGGGCCCCTTGGGTATAGGCTCTGAATGCCCTAATAGTAAAGATGGTACTGCTGTTTCGTTACCCATGTGGTGAAGATAATGTAGAATGCATTTGTTACTACTCTCTCTACCAAGACACCCTCTTATGAAAAGAGAACCGAATAAAGAATTACTTGTTTGACCGGGTAGCACTCCTCTCTGCTACAAATTTCAGTTCGAAATTTTAAAACACAACGTTCAATACATCACTCCCTATTCCAGGTTCCGCACTCTAGCAGCTAACTACAAGAGAATGTTCCCGTCTCTCGAAGTAGACATTGATGGTGAACTGGCTCGCTATCGTGAGTACGCTGAGAAGATCAGGCCTATGGTCAGAGACACCGTCTCCTATCTCCACAAGGCCATCGGGGAAGGAAAGAAAGTATTGGTCGAAGGAGCTAACGCTGCTATGTTGGATATAGATTTTGGTAAGAAAGATTTTTTTCTTATTCTTCTTTGTTTGGGGCGATCGTCATTATGATGAAATGATTCCTCCTATCCCGGGCAAGGCGTGAGGCAGTGTTACTAGGTTTGCCACTTTTTTTTGATATTTAAAGTACATTAACGATTATAGGTAAGAAAAAAAAGTACACAGTACAAAAAATAAAATACAATTTATTCTTATTTAGTATTATATTTAAAAATATATTTTTTATTGCTTTTTGCAGTTTGTATAAAATTAGTATCTTTACTAAACAATTACATTGAAATACTAAACAATTGCATCTTTACTAGAAATAGTCTAAGTGGAGCTCATCATCGTCAATCAATCAATCTCTACGCTATCTTAAGAAATATTGGTAATTCGAAAACTATTTTTGCCTATTAGATAAATAGAAACCATGCGTCACATAAATGACGTCCTAATCATAATACTGTAACTAATCTGTTACATCTGTGCACATCTCTGCATCACCCCATGGTTGACTGTTAGAGAATACCACCCGACATTAAGTCCGCCATTATAACATTAACATCACGCCTTTTATCACCGAAGGGATAGGCAGACAGAGGTGCACATTATGCCACTTTACAATGCAACACCCACTTTTCACTATTTATGTTATGAGTCCCATGTAATAGGGGGTGAGACCTTTGCCATGTACTGGGCACAATTCCAGACTCTGTGCTACTACTGAGATTTTTTTTAAATCCATTAATAGTTTGCCCGACCCTGTAATCGAAACCGATACCCCTTACACGGCAGTCGCACTTGCGACCACTCGACCAACGAGGCAGCACTATTACGCAACTAGTATCACATTCATAAAGATTATTATTATAAATCTTATCTAAATCAACGCAATTAATCCCGATTATCCACGTTCAAAGCTTTGCGTGGATCATGCGTCCAAGTGATAATATTATCACTTATCATCCACTCATACAGTTGACATGTGTCGGTGCAGTAATTGGAAACCTACATACTTTGTAATATAAACATTACTTGATATTACACTTTGGCCCTTTATGTAGTAGAATTGGGTAGTTTCCAGGGAATCAAAATTAAGAATCTAATTAGTCCGTCAGTTAGATAATGAAAAAATATCAACATTAGACACGTATTTTTTTATTATCTCATATTAAGTTGCAATACTTAGATAAAATGGCGCTAAGTTTAGGAGTGGGAGGTTGGTACGTCATAACGTGCTACAAAATGTGACACGATGTGAGGTCACACGATATTACAAATTAATATATCGTCGAAAGTATATAATTTTGTAAGAAAAGAAAAAATACGTGTCTAATGTTTTAAATTAATTTACCTGACGGACATTAAAATAAAATTTAGGAAACTACCCTATTATTTTTTGTTGGTTATCTTACTAATTCGACATGGACATGACGTGTGACGATAATTTTTTTTCCTGAGAATTTTCAATACAATATGTGTTGTTGTTTAATTGGTTCGTTTTCAGTAGTTATGATATGAGATAGTTTTCAAATCAATGAAACTTAAATATTAAGATAAAATATATACACAAATAATCCCTAGACTCCAACACTTTTTAGTCAGTAAGAGTCTGACACTCCCTCCCGCCTCACCCAGGCGGGAGCAGTCATTCGATGATTTTCCCCCCTTAAAAAAATAAATACTCCAACACATAATTCATTACAAACTGGTCTGTTCTTAATATACGTTTTTTTCTAAAGCAAACGAAAGGTTATTGACCCTAATATAATACGTAATAATAATTAATGTATTACATTACAGGTACCTACCCGTACGTGACGTCATCAAACTGCAGTATCGGTGGAGTGTGCACCGGCCTGGGCCTGTCTCCGCGCGTCATCGGCGACGTGCTCGGCGTCGTGAAGGCGTATACGACACGTGTTGGCGACGGACCCTTCCCTACTGAGTTGCATGATGTTAGTATGAGAGTCTTCTTCGTTTTTACTATGTTATACTTCTGTTGAGATGGTAGTGATCAAATCAAAACGAGGATACTTGATTTACCATTTTAATAAACGTAACTAAAAATCGCGGGTTACTCACGTGAATATACTGAGAAAAGCTCTACTAGTTTCGAACCACAGAGGGGTTCTTCCTCATGAGCAGCGTGCGCGGTCGCGGCGATGTCGCGCAGCCTACGGACTAGCAGCGTCAGTAGTAGTCAGTTAGTATGTCTCACGATAGTTATTATAAAAACATTAAAAAAACGTTTTCCTTTTTTGATTTATGAACATGATAAACAAGTGACCAAGTTATTGATCAGTGGATCGTGAGGAACCAAATGCTACAACCAGATTGAGGCGGTTGTAGAAGTTGTATGTATATACATAATTGTTTAAAGTAACAAAAAGAGGGATAGACTGGTTGCCAAGATGAGTTTTATGTCCAAACCGGCCGAATTATTATTGAAATTGTCAAGGCATGTATTGTAAAAGAACTTTTTTTTTAAGTCTGTCCATTAAAGCGTGTGCATACGTCCCCAGGACACAGGCAAACTGCTCCAGGAGCGCGGTCACGAGGTGGGAGTGACGACGAAGCGCGTGCGGCGCTGTGGCTGGCTCGACCTCGTCGTCGTGCGGTACACCGCCATGGTCAACGGGTACACCTCGTGAGTATTACTGTATTATACATATGTACTGTTTACTACATAACATAACATCACGCTTTTTATCCCCGAAGGGGTAGGCAGAGGTGCACATTATGGCACTTAATGTCACTGTACAATGTAACACCCACTTTTCACTATTTATAGTGAATATTTTAACTAAAAATCGTGGGTTACTCACCTAAATAAACTGAGAAAAGCTCTACAAGTTTTGAGCCATAGTGGGGCTCTTACTTATAAGAAGCGCGCGCGGCCGCGGCGATGTCGCGCGGTCTATTGACCGAGCTTTTGTCAGTTTATTCACGTGATTTTTGGTTAATTTGGTATGTCTCACGATTGTTATTATAAAAACAATGTGAATATTTCAGGCTATGTCTCACAAAGATGGACATCCTAGACACGTTGCAGGAGATCAAGATCGGCGTAGCGTACAAGCTGAACGGCAAGAAGATTGAATACTTCCCTTCGTCGATGACCGAGCTCAGCAGTGTGGAGGTAAGGAATTTCTTATTGAACTTCATGGCTTTGAGAGCTAAACCGGCAAATTCAGTAGATCTACTACATCAGAGTAGGTTTGATGGCATGCTGTTGAAATTTTCGCATAATATAATAACTTGTTGGCACTAACAGAATTTTAGATTTCATGGTGCCTAAGTGTGCTTTCGAAGAGTCTGTTTTTTATTTATTAAGCTCTTGCCCGCGACTTCTTCCGCGTAGAATATGAAATTTAGGACAAATTTATTTGTTGTTTCGATTTTCCAAAATAAGTAGGCTATGTTACTCGTCAGTACATCAGCTAGCTACCAGTAAAACTCCCGTCAAAATCAGTCCAGCCATTTTTGAGATTAATCTGTACCAACAGACAAACAGACAAAAATTAAAAAAAAAATGTTTTTGTGTATGTATCGCATGTATACTCATATGCATGTAGTAAAAAGCGGTTATTTAAAGATTACAAACAGACACTCCAAGTTCATTTAGCTGTATAGAATAAGATATACTCCATGCTACTTAGTACTGTATGTAATGTATACATATATAATATTTAATTTTCCTTAAAACTAACAGTTATTGTTCCAGAGATCTTAATATTAATATTCATTATGATCTACCCAGGTGGAGTACATCACGTTACCTGGATGGGCGTGCAGTATAGAAGACGTGCGGGAACTGAGCAAGCTGCCTGAACAAGCCAGGAACTACGTGAAGGCCATCGAGAACTTCCTACAAATACCTGGTCAGTAACCATATAAAAAACTACATAATTGGGTACTTGCCAACTTGTCAAATTCAATACCTCGGCTCGACCGGAGTGATCCCACGGCCTCACAGAAAACCGACGTGAAGCAACGCTTGCGTTGTGTTTCGTCGTGTGAGTGAGGTTACTGGAGGCCCAATTACCCTTCATTTCCCCAATCTCCCCAATTCCTGAATCCCCAACGATCCTCAAACTCCTAATCCCAAAAAGGCCGGTAACGCACTTGTAACGCCTCTGGTCCGGAGGTTATACGCCGGGGTCGTGCGGTCCATGGCCCTCTACGGCGCCCCTGTGCGGGCGCCGAACATGCTGCGGCGTCCTGCTCGGACGCTGCTCATGTCACAGAGGGTCATGGCGATCCGAATGATCCGCGGATACCGCACGATCTCCGGGGAGTCGGCGAACCTCCTTGCCGGATTACCGCCGTGGGATCTGGAGGCGAAGGTGCTCGCGCGCGTGTATCGCATGCGCGCGGAGGCACGTCGCCGGGGCGAAACTCCGCTGCCGCGCCAGATAAGTGCGTGGCGGGATGAGCTCCGGCGCGATCTCATGGCGGAATGGCAGCAACGACTGTCGCAACCGAGAATCGACACACCAGGCGTCGGGGATCGCGGGACGATCGGCCACCGTAAGCGCGGGCCTGCGGACGGCGAGCATGGGTCCCCGTCCGACCAGAAACAGACCCGAGCGTACGGCGCGTCGCGTTCCGCGCGCGCCTCAAAGAGTCATCAGACCACCACAGATGGGGCTCATTAGGGCCGATGCCGATTCGGAGTCGCGGAGAACCTAACGGGTAACCGGGGCTCCGGCCCGACGTGCAGGAGAAGGAACGGGGTGGTTTTTAGTCAGTAAGAGTCTGACACTCCCTTCCGCCTCACCCAGGCGGGAGCAGTCATTCGATGATTTTCCCTCCTTAAAAAAAAAAAAAACGCCTCTGGTGTTCCAGGTGTCCATGGGCGACGCCGATTGCTTACCATCAGGTGATCCGTCAGCTCGTTTACCGGCTTATGCCATAAAAAAATACTTTTTCGTACTGTCAAAAACGACAGTTTTCTATAAATTTTGTATGAGATTGTGTATTGTGACGTCACTTTTTTTTAGCGTCAAACAGCATACTTATTTCTTAAAAATTTTCTGGTAAAATACTAAAATCGAGTTAGTCATAAAATCAATTAATGAAAATGTGATTATTTTTTAAATATTTTATTGCATTGAACAGTCAAAATAAATTATTTTTGATTAAGGCAAGTACCCCATTATGTCGGTAACTTGATATGGGCATCTCATTACCAATGTATGAATGATGTATGTGACTGCATGATTGACACAGTCGCTGGGTAACCAGCTGTAACTCAACGTGTGCGTGTCGATTACCGCACGGGACAACTCTTTGACAACAAATTGTAAACTGCCATTGTCAATCTGTAAACTCCATACTCTTGGACAATGCAGAGTTCTATAAAAATGCTATTTTAAAATCTTTCAATCACTACATAGTATAAACCAAAGTCGCTATCCGCCGTCTGTCTGTCCCTCCCTATGTATGCTTAGATCTTTAAAACTACGCAACGGATTTTGATGCAGTTTTTTTAATAGATAGAGTGATTCTTTAAGAATGTATAAACCTTCTTATGCATGTATTATACATATAAATGTATAATACATGCATATTGCATCACTACATAGTATAAAACAAAGTCGCTATCCACCGTCTGTCTGTCCCTCCCTATGTATGCTAAGATCTTTAAAATTAAGCAACGGATTTTGATGCAGTTTTTTTAATAGATAGCGTGATTTTTAAGGAAGATTTATATGTATAATACATGCATATTGCGAAGCCTGCGCGAGTCGTAATAAATAAAATTATGTAATACAAGTAGACACAAGAAAATTGGAATCATAATATGTAGTTAGCATTGATCCCTGTATTCTTATCCTGGCAAAGTTCCAACTAAACAATTTTAATCTTAGATAAATTGTATAAAGTGATTTGCAAGCTTTGCAGAACATATAGACAGATTCGAATTAACAGACTTGCGTGTGTATACGTAAACAAGATATTTTTACAAGCACTGGTGTGTTATAAATAGGAAAACGATTTATTTTAATGTTTATTTATGAATGAGTGTGTGAATTGACTGGAAGTCTGGCTGAATGCTGTTTTATATTTTATTTTATAAGTATAGACACCCTGTTCTATTTCTGAATGTTGTTGGTCGTTGCATAATATCTATAACATTTCTCAACTATAGAACTAGCGAATGATTTTTTTTTAATTCAACATAACATACATAACATCACGCCTTTTATCCCCAAAGGGGTAGGCAGAGGTGCACATTATGCCACTGTACAATGTAACACCCACTTTTCACTATTTATGTTATAAGTCCCATGTAATAGGGGGTGAGCCTATTGCCATATATCGGGCAAAATTCCAGACTCCGTGCTACTACTAAGAATTTTTTAAAAACCCAGTAATACTTTGCCCGACCCGGGAATCGAACCCGAGACCCCTTGCTCAGCAGTCGCACGTGCGACCACTAGGCCAACGAGGCTGTCTTTTTTAATTCAAATACTTTTAATGTTTGTTATATCGAATACTGGACCAAAAATAAAACTTAAAATTCTTTTTACAGTTAAATTCATCGGCGTGGGCCAAGGCCGGGAATCCATTATCAGCACGGATGAAGCTTAACGTTGAAGCGGTACTCGCCACCTAGTGTCATTTCGTATATATTGTTGTTACTTTATAAGTGAGGCACGGGCTATAAGAGTTACGTCTTAGTTGCGCTCATAACACGTAATAGTAACATTTCAATGCTTGAAACGTTTGTCTAAAACTTTTTATTATGTTTTTAGTTCTTAGACGGTGATAATGTCGTTGTATCTCCGCCGCATGCAAGCCGAACGGAATCCTAAATCTGAGGATTTAGATCGATTTTTGACTGTATAGATTTTCTGCCGAAAACAGATGGATTCAGGTATTTTGGATCAGTTACACAAATCTTGTAATAAGTCTTTGAAAAATTCGAGTTTGCTATTCTTATGTGATGAGTGCAAAAGAGACCAAATTCCCATAGCACCTTGCTGGCTTACCTAACAGTTGTTTAATCAGGCAACATATTAATGTAATGTACTTAAGCCCCTTAGCTAATTCAAATCTTTTATAAAATAAGGGCTTATCAATTAGCCTGTCACTGGAATTGATATTGCAACACCAATTTTATGACAATATACATTGTAGCGTGTTTAAAAGACAAGAAGCCTTGCCTTGAATTGATATTTTTTTATATTTGCCTATTCAACCGATGACATTATTAGCTACTACTCCTAAGCTATAATTATAGCGTGCTCCCGTGTACTTAGTTTCAACTACAAAGTTTAAGGTGCTTTCATAATAATTATTCATATTAAATTTTCACATCTTTAGCGATTACGCACGCTGTAAAATGTGAGAGCACCTTAAATTATTGAGATCGTAAGCCTGTTTTGGACCATAAGCTAAACTTAAGTCCCGAAATACTTATTAAACAAAGCTATGTTCGTATGTTACGTACTAGTTTTGCTCTTGGCCCGTAATGGGCTTCGTACCTATCTCGAATACTTACTAAAATCTCTGACATTTGTAGTTGAAACATTACTAAACAAGCTTACTTCACTAGTCAATAATTGAAACAGAAGGTGCAGGTTTTATACAAGAATTATAATTCAGTATTGTTCATTGAAACTATAGCGTATGAGCTTAGGCCAAGACGAATAAGTTTTCATAATTGCTATCACTGTTGCACTATAGTTTTCTATGTATATTAAACAGTGATATATATGTATATGAATGTTTGTCTTAACCTATGTAGCAGATAATCTTGCCTCTGGACTTCTTTATTATAAGATGTGCAAGTTCATTGTTATCGTGACAGAATTTCGGAAGTTATGGTTGAAATATTTAGTATTGTGTAATAATGTTTCTATCTGAATGTAGGTGAAACTTGAAATTTTTAGTTTGTGAGTTAAACTGTAGGTAATTTTTTATCTTGGCGAAGTCACGTAGCTATGCGAATATATCGTCTATATGTAATTAGCTAATTTTTAATATGTACTTATGTATCTGTAATCGTGAAGTTTATAGAATATTATATTATATTCCACTGTTAACTGAAGTAACCAGGGCAATCTTACACTGACTGCAAGCTACTAGTACAGCGGATTTAGTACAAAAACTGTTTATTGACGGTATTTATTGGCGGCGAAATGCCAAGTTTCCTTTCGCAGCAATAATAGGATAATTAATGTATAAACAATCTGTTAAGGTGCGGTCGACACGTTAGGCGGCGTTATTATACTTGTAAAGTATTATTATAAAGACACCAAGGCTTAATTATTCCTTATGTTTATTTTTAGTTCACTTGTTCTAAGGTGTCAATTTTCGTTCCAGGTTCAACACAAATGTTAGCATCTCGCTAATTAATAAGGTATAGATAAGCACGATATCACAAGAGAAACCTGGAACGATATTCTTTCTTTTCTTTTTATTACTTTTTTTTTCCTAAGTTGACAACGTCAGTTTTTTGCACAAACGAAATAGCAATAATGTTGAATAAAGACCTTTGTAGTGTTAATATTATTAATCTTTGGTTGAAATCAATACTTTTTACTAATTTTTTCATTTAGGGCTATACTACAGCTTGTATAATCGTGAAAAGCGTTGAAGCAATTTAGACTTTATTTTAATAATTTAATAAAATTTTACAAAGGCCCATTCCAAAGATCTTTTCAAATGAAATATTTTATGTACTTATTTTTAACGAATCATCGTTTTGCTTCTACATTCTGTGAGTCGTGTTTTATGTGATATAATTGTGTATAATTATTGGAGATGTTTACATTAATATAGTACTTCCTATTATATCAATGTAAGTATTTGAATACAGTTAATATGCCAATAAAACGGTTTATTCTTTTATTTTTGTGTTTTATTCTTACTCTTGCTTCTTCATTCCAATCTACATTTTGAAGCGAGCACCTAGCTTCACTGACAAACAGGCTGACAGACTATCATTTATTTTATATTTGTGTTATCTTTATATACATATATAATTCTTCAGTGAGTGTGTATGTCACTGAACTTCTCTCAAACGACTGGACCGATTTTGATGAAGTTTTTTGTTTGTGTTTTTTGGGTATGGTTTAGATTCACAAATCAGCTCGGCAGATGGCGCTGCAGTCGATATTTAGGTTATTTATCCTAAACAGCTGAACTAATTTGAATGAATTTTTGTTTATACATTCAAGTGGATATGCAGGACAACGTCTGTTGGGTCCGCTAGTACCATATAAAAACCTTAATAACATTGTGTGTTGGAATATTAAAGTAAAAATATTTTCGAAAAATAAATTTTACTGCTATTTTTGTTCAATTGATTACTTGTTTGTAATGCCAGGGGGTTAGATTAGATATACAAAGATATTTACTTTCGTATAAATAAATAAAACATCAACTCATACCGCAATACATGTCTTTATTTCATATTTAATAACTACTTCAGTCAAATAGGTAATATAATAGTTTTACATTTAGTGAATATTTACATGAACACCTATACAGTAGGTATATACAGGACGATACACATACGTCAATACATTTTAATCTCAATATTACAATAATAATAATTATGTTTACAATTTTACAATTATCTTGCGACATTTCGTTAACCCTATAATCTAATGAAATATTTCTCACATTTTTATGGCTATTTTTTCTTTACATATCTAAAGCTCATTGCCAACAATATATTCCGAAGATTAGCTCAGAAAGTATCTTAGTTTAGCAGAAGATATATCAACCAATAAATTAAACGGCTTATGTTATCTAGAAAACATAAGATCGAAGATTTTCTAATTATTATTATTTTTGACTATACAGAATAAAGATCTTTTAATAATTTATTTATTAATAATTTTTATAATAATTATAATCCATAGACAAATAAAAGTTATATACCTTGTTTTTGTAAATAAACCAATATCAGGAATTTGTTGTTGGTCAAGAGATAGAGTAACAATACCGCCCCTAGATAGCATCAGTCACTTTGTCAAATCCCACCACTTTCATAATTATAATAATGAACATCTATGATTACTACTAAGAAACACTCAGTAAACACATTTAATATAATAAATCGACGGCAAAATAAGGACAATAGTTGGTTCTAATTATATTGTAGTTTAATACATCATCACGCTTTTTATTTCTTGGAAGATTAGGTAAAAGGGGAGTAGCCACTTCTTGCCTACTAAGATTATAAAGCAGCTGTGGACTGGCCTATTGTCTAACTTAAGTAAATACATAATAAGATACTCAATATGTGTAATATTTGTTTTATTTAAAATCAAGTTAACCCATTAAATGGTCAAAAGGATAATAAGTTGTGTCTTTAAATGTAAATGTGTTTATTTTATTTTTATTATAGAAATACAATATGTCTACCCCGAATTATTAAATATTCCCAAATTGGCACAGTGACCAAAAATGGGTAAATGAAATTTGAAATATACTAGATTTTATTTGGGTACGGTGATTTTGGTATGATGAAATGTTCTAATATTTATTCATCCCATTCTTGTATCTATTCATCCCATTTTACGCCATTTATTTTAAGTTGTAGACATAGTCATGATATAAACTTAATATTAACACACTGTCTTTCATGTAATAAAAATCGTGATGCAGTTGTTTCTGATGTTATCGTTCTTTTTTTAGATTCCTAACATCTATATTCAGGTATGATAAGCCAAAGTTTAGTTTTAGTTAATTTTGCAGGCAACATAGTAAGAATTATTTTACTACAATCATATTTTTTCGATAATTTTACTTTATTTAAATATTAGATTAATTTATAAACATAGTATGCTTATAAATTATTTTTGAAGTAACATGTATGTAGGTTACATTTTGAATCACAATAGAGAACATTTTTTTATATTTTTGCTAATTTACTCATTAAGACCTGTACAGATAAATGAGTTTTTCTACTCACCCCATAAAAATACATGCGTTCACAGAAATCTACTTAATTTTTGCAAGTGTAATTCTTAGTTTTCCTGAGTAGGTTCAAAAAGAATGTAATTGTAACAAAATTTTTCCCTTTAGGCAAACTTTCGGGATCTGGAATAAGTGCTTTAAAATCTGATGAATTTTGCTGTACATGTATGATGTTAATAAATGCAGTCACACGAGGTTGGTAATAACCCTGAATATTAAGAATCTGTTTCTCGTCTATATAATTTTTTTGCATATTTAGGTGCAGACAGTAATAAATTACAGTATTTCAATATTTTATAATATACGATTATGTTCTTAATTATTAGGACATTAAAATCATTTTCTTTTCTTTTTATCCATGAATAAATTCAAGTAAACACATATTATACTACCACAAACTGTCAATGTGTGAAGCTGGAATATAGACGATGTCTTTGAAGTTGGTTCTGATCCTAGGAGTATCAGAATGTAAAAGTAGCCTATGTTACTCCCAAAAAGGTTTTTAAATGGAAAAACCATTCTTCAAATTGGTCTCAAATTATATTGTTTGGTTGCGTTGACTCTTGGGTGTTAAATCTTTACAACATTAGCATTTAGTAGTATAGATGATAAGGTTGAAAATTGAATAAAATTGACAGATTAGTGATAGTTTGATAAATGGTGTGTAGCGTTTATGCATTATCATAGTAAAAACTAATGTTTATACGCACCGTCAAATTGATTATAATTATATCTTCCTTTGACCGCCGATACGTAATTATAAAAGCAAATGATTGTCAACGATGTAATATAGTACAGACGGTTTACTTTTGAATGCACTTCTGAGAGTAATGTTTATATATTACCCAATACTAAGATTTACAGCTTTCTAAATCCTTCATGAACGGCTCAAAATTCTTTTATTTAAGATGCAATGTATATTTATTAAGTTCTATTCCTGATTAAAATCAATAAAATCACGCATGCTATCAAGCAAACCGTCTGAACATGTCACAAAAGAATCAAATATAAAATATTATCATCATTATTGTCAATTAACTTAATCCTATGAATACAGGAACTTATTACAAACCTTTAATTGTATATTCAAATAAAATCATCTATGGCCATCGGTCAAAGGAAATCCCATACAATTAATGGAACTGTTTCATAGCTAAAAAGCGAACACATGCCATACATAGTCACATCACCCCATTTAGGGGAAGCTAAATTAATATAGTTTCTATTTTCTACCGCATCCAGTTTACCTCTTAAGCGAAATCAGTCCTTAGTCCCTTGTGTTAGGTGATATATTCCTTTCTCTCTTGCTTTTGGTTTTTGGTTGGGCGCGATGGCGGTCCCTTTTGCGGCTGGATGAGGAGCAGGAGGATGAAGGGCTGGAGTCGGGAGGGGAGCCAGCCTCCTCAGCGGTGAGACCCATAGTCTGAGACTCTGGGGTGGAAGGTTCTAGAACACTGTTGCGGAGAGCGCGCCGTTGTTCTTCTGTGTGTTGCGGGCAGCGTGTAGATCTGAAACATATCAAAACTTTTTTAGTTAGCGAAGAGATTTCCAGAAGTATTTCTGCCACAGATGATGAACTAAGAAAATATATTATGGTATTGATATTTCAGTTATCCCTTTTAAGCCTCAAGGATATGGATAAATCGAGGATTGATTAACACAATACGTGTTAAAGACGCGTTTAGAAGATAGATCATATCGTACCTAGTGCATAATTTCTTAGTGTGCTCGGAAACGACGCCGCAGATTTGCTGCAGCAGATTCTTCTTCTCGTTGGCACTCATCGTTTCGTATGTGGCGCCGTCGTTCGAGTCCGAGTTCTGCGTCCCGTTGTTGTGCCTGTCGACATTATTATATACATTATAGGCACATAAACCTGCATATAAAGCCACCCCAATCTTTAAAAGATTTTCAATTCATTCACAATAGGTATTAAGTTAGAAACCATTAAAAAATTGGGGAAGCTTGCTTGAATAAATAATGCTATTATGCTTGTGCATTGCGGATTTTGTATATGTGCAATAATAGACCACTTGATGGCGTTGGCCTGCTGCTCCTAATGACGTCACTTTGGAAGCATTTGGAATGTATGGTGTCCACATAATATACAGATACAAATGATTACAAAATAACGTCCCTATATGCACAAACACACTTACCGAATGTGATATAAATTATATGTATTGTATATTGTATTTTTAAAAAGCATGCAAGTGCTAGCTAGTTTGTATAATATAAAATGCGTAAGTAAACTATATTTTGTTTTCTTCTTCTAAAAGCTGACTTTCGGAACATTTTGAACGTACCATGAATACTGTAGCCAGCCAGGGCATTAGAAGTTTGAAACAAACAACAGTTATGACTATTAGATTGAAATTATTATCAATTACCTTACTGAAGGTATAAAAAAACTAAGTTTAATGTCTAAATATCCACCCTGTACCAATGAAATAAAAATATATTTACTTTTATAAATACTTATTAGAACTGCCTCTTACAGAAAAGGAGTAGGAAATATCTGAGAATATATTCTAAAATAAAAGAATACAATCTTAAAGGTAACTAAGTATAAGTGAGTAATATCTACATACTTATGCACTTTATTAGGTTTCCTATTGTTGTTATTCTTAATCCTGCGTTTCCGTCGCTCATTCTGCATGGAGCCTCCGGACCAGTCAACGTCATCTTCGTCATCACTCAGTAGTCCCGCGTAAGAGGTCGGCTCGCGGCTGTTTGAGGCGATACGACGGGAGGCTATGCGTGAACTGTTGCGGCCCATACCTAGCAACAAGAATACAAAATGATGTTTAAGTAGCTATGATAGTAATCATATTAGTACAAAGTAACTTCTGGCAGTGGCCTGTTCTCAATGAAAAGTAGCTTACATGTTATTCTATCTATAACTCTGTGTGTGTTCAAGTTTTAAAATTTCACTGCATGCATAACGCAACATTAGGTACATTGTTGCTCAGCTATAGAACAAGCCTGCATACTTTTCAACAGGAATTCATACTACTAGTTACATTTCCAATTTACTACTTGAGCTAAGGGCAATCATTTCAGATTCCATTCTACTACTTACAATTTTGATATGGCAAAGATTAAATCTAAGATTTTATTTTCTATAGTTGCATTTACATCCACCAATTCGAAGCTGATTCATCATCAAATTATGTAATTTCTAGATAATCTAAAATGGTTTTAATATGTTCGCTTAGCATTTCAATGCAGCAGTTGCAGAAAGCTTAGCAAAGGAGGTTTGGTCCAAATCTAAACATAAGTTTGATTATGAAATAAATCAATATTTTGTAAAGTTAATGCATGAAGAGATGCTATAATTTTCAAATTACTATGCGGACTACACCACTTATGTTACATAACTATGCAGAAGTGACAATCTGTAATTGATAATAAATTATCAAAATCATAACATTGACATTGATTCCACAAAAAGAAATGATGAATAGAGGTTAAGTCTAAGTAAATATGAAGAAGCATTAAAACATCAGTAGAAACCGGTTTTATGCAATTCATGAACATGTGTTATTTTTTTTATACTCTGCCTCTGAAGGCAAGTAGTTTTGGATAAAAGAGGTAATATTATAAGACAAAGATGAGATGGGAATGGCAAAGTTCAAGATCCTACTATGTAATTTTAACTACAAATAATGGATGGACAGTGATTATCAAAACGGTCAATTATTTACAATGATGCTGGGTTATTATTGTAAGATGACAGACAATAATATGAGGGAAATATAAGGAAGTTTATTAGATTACATTGTTAATGTGAGTCATATAGACCATGTGTAACTTCAAGGTGATTTAGAGCCAACTTACCCATGCATTTTTCTAGATGAGGAGCAAATCTTGTAGCTGAAACAGGTCTCTCACAGTTTGGACAGGAACAGTTTGAGTCAGGTGTTTTCTTCATCATTGAGAAACCAAAGACATCACATTCTGGTGTGCTCACTATTTTGTAAGGCTCCTCTTCTTCCTTCTCACCTTCCATCAATTCAGTCAAACCAGTCTTCAGCCCATGGTGGAACTCAAAAGCAAATCCTAGGGTCACATCGTCGCATACAGCATCGAAGATATAATTTGCTGCAGCTTCCGCATTATTTTCATTTTGCATTATCTCAAAAAACCTCACATTTAAATCGTGCATACTCAATTCACTTGTTATCGTATTCATTTTCATGTATTTCACTAATTTTGACGAAAAATAAAGCACTTCACAATAAATAATAATTCAGAAAAATTGGTGTTGTGATTGATTGATTACCTTTTCATTCATGGAAAGTGCTGTCCCTTTTTCTCATTTCCATAAATTAAGCCATCTCTTTCTTTTGCAGCATTAAAATGTCATTATAGGCTTCAAAAATATAATGATGGGATATTTTAGCTTTTTGATTAATTTGTAATAAAAAGAAATTATTAATTTAATTTAAAAATATTGGAGCACATTTACAACCAGAAGCACTGACTGACTAATTTATTATGTTAAGATTTTATTAGTGTGGTCACATTTTGTACAATTATTCTTTTAGTTTTGCGATTTACAAATTACACCAATAATTGTTAATTACAATATGAATCGTATAAAATATAAAATTAAATAAGATACATTGTAATACCGATTTAATATTTTTATGACATACACGCACTTTGCCGGTTGCGTTCCAGTTCCCCAAATTGACAACACCAAGCAAGAGCAAGATGGCTACATATGTTTTACATTGGAAAGAAAGAGAAAGGCATGTATCATCTGCACTGATATGATAAGACTATGGATGTGAAGCAACTACGAAAAAAACGTGCCTACCTAAACTTCACTTGGTCATTCGCAATGGCGGATAGAACTAGGGATGTGACTATTGAAACTGTAGAAGTATCGATATTTTGGTATTGGTTTTAGTTGATTTATCGATAAAATATCATTATTTTATGATTCATCTGGATTTGATTTTTATCTAGCTACTAAACATTACTAAAAATATTAGCGAAATATATTTAGTAGTTACAGCGTGCACTATTACTCCGGTCGATCGTGTCCATACATTCACATCATACCTTTCACGATACATATGTATCGTAATTTATGAAAAGGATTTACCATCAACTGGTTAACATTTACATACTTAAGGTTAAGTAATTTTTGAGGGTCGAAAAATAAGACTGTTTCAAAGTATTCATAAAATCAAGATTTATTCATAATATACATAGTTACAATATCTTTGTATTTTTCGTACTGTTTCCCAGTAATGTAATCTGCAACTGACGACTGACTGATTTCGAGACGACTCCAGAACTGGTTCCAAGTTTATTTTCATGCACAGATCTGGCTAGAGGCTGCAACATAAATAGTATAATTTAACTTACTTGATTCAATCGAACATAGATTATCTCTATAGATTCTATAGGTACTGTACTAAGGTCTGAATGAAAATGTTTGTACATTACAATGATAGTGATAGATAGCGGAGGAGTTATATTTCATTTGTTTGCTTCATTGGAGTCTCTCGAGCGGTATTTGATAAAAATACAATTTAGAAATAAATGCTTTTCCCACAAGTATTTTTCCGTATCTTATATTGTACAAAAATTATTCATGTTTTGTATTATTTATAACATTACGTAGGTATTGATTATGGTGGAATATTGTCGATAAAATAAAATTTTTGACGAGTACATATTTAATGTTTTTGCATTTTGTCATTATGTCAAATTAATGCACTTTATCATTCAGAATTTAGTATAGTTTTTGTTCTACTTTTGAAGCATTTATTAATATGAACGATAAAATTATCGATACGGGAACAAACATGTACATCACTATTTTTCAATGAAAAAATTTTTAGACGTATTTCAACTAAAATTAATGAAAATAAGCACTGCATTAGTTAGAAAAGTATTGTATTTAGTCAACTTGCAGCAAGCTCACTTGAATAGTTTAAAAAACAGAGATATTTTAATGAAAAATAACAGTACTTACCGATGTAATGTTACACCTGCCGATTTAGTGATATTTTTAGTGCTACATCCAATAACACTACACCCGGGCGTAGTTCTTCTCACTAACCAATAATTTCTTTGCTTACCACGCACAAAAATAACAGGAATTCAAAAAATTTTCGTAACAAAATATTATTGACCAATGCTTTGACAGCTGATGTACCACTGACATGCACTGATAACAGAGACCAAGATGGCGAATTCGGCAGAACTATAGTCAGAATTTTAATTAGATTCCAGATTTGACAATAGCTACTGTCATTTTGTGAAATAATGATACCACATATAATAGTGTTAGTGATGCACACAAAAATCGATAAATAATCAGTGTGTGTGTGTTTTATAATAAATGTTACAGAAAGTGTCAGGATAGCGATAGCGATGACGGCGACAATTTATAAAATAACTTATTACCATAATACATCTATCTGTTTTATTTGTCATGTTCCTTCATGATTACATTTTTTTATTTATTTCACACACAATTATAAAAGAAAAGTCTCAGATCGTTAATTAATCGTCAAAACTATATTATCGGTTCAGAAATATTTAATTTCCTGATATACTTAGTTTACGAGAGTAAAATTATAAACGCGAAGAATCGATCCAGAAATATTGCATTTCCAAATCGAATAATTTCGCAACGTCACTATTTAGTACTTGTCATAACGTTGCAGCACTGAAATTGTCAAATCTGGAATCGAATTAAAATTCCGAGTATAGGTATTTTTGATGACGTCAAAAAATTATTGCCAGAATGACAATAATGTGTTGTCTCTTTCTGCATAAGCAAAGAACAAAGTAAATAAAAAAACAACAGTATGTTTATGAATTTACCGTCGAGATGGATCTTAAATTCTACCCGTAGACAATAGTCACACATCTATGTTATATATCGCACCCTTAAAAATAAAAAGATGTAACTCAAAAACTACAACTTGTGGGAATCGGCGATTAAAGTTTTCAACTTATTCCGACTTGTCTTTGATTCAAAGTTTTAGACCACTTTCTAGGTGTTTCGATAATCTAACTACTGATTTTGATTGTCAAAACTATGGCCTTTTAATATAAATGGTTAATTTTATACTAATTATCTATTATACCTTAAAAAAATGAAGCAAAAAAAAAAGTTTTGAGTTAAATCAGTTTATGCCAAAAAATTCTAGTTAGTAGATCAAATGAACATGCAAAAATTCTAAATAATTCTCTTTTATACAAATTAGCAAGAGCATATTAAAATATATTCTAAAATACTTCGTTTTATTATTAACCAAAATATGATAATATTGGCTTTTATTGCATCATTTTGCAATAAAAAATATTGTTTTTTTAAATGAAACAAAATTTGCACTGAATAATCAACCATAAAATTTATTATAAATTAACATGCCGCCGCACATATTCATGATTCCCTTTTGGAACCTAGATTATAGGCAATCTAGTACAAATATTCTCAATTTTTAAATAGAAATAGTTAAACATAATTATTATCTAAAATAAAACCAATACCAAATAATCACTACTTCAATTTTACACAAATTTCAACAAAACAATAGCTCACAGTTAAACACTTTATAATCATTAAATAATAATCAAATTATTAGCAAGTCAGTCTTGCATTATGCATATCACTAGTTGAGATTCAAAATATAATATAATTAAGTAATTATTTCGAAGTACACTTAGAAAACAATCAGTCTAGTAATTTAATACTTAGTTTTAACTAAGTTCTAAAATAATAATAATAACATAAAAAATTAAACTTAAGATCAAAAATTAACAGTATCATAGAACAATTCTTTAAAACAGTTTAAAAGTCTCACTATATTTAAACTTTATTAAAAAAAATAAAAATACTTTGGCAGAAAGGAACTTAATTTGTGGCAATACACTCATAATTGTGTGTAAAATATTTATTACACTTTGTAAAAAACAGTATTCATCATTCTTTAAGTAGCATCAATATTAAACAATGGAATTATAAAAACTTGCATAAAAGGAGGGAATCAATTTCTTTGTTAGTAAATCTTTTAGATCTTTTTTCTTATTTTCACTTAGCTGCTGTCTTTGGCTATATGCTTTATCTAGAGTAATCGCAGTTATTGGGCCCATTTTTTTTCTTTTGTTTCTTATATCAACTTGTTTAAAATTAGTATCACTGTAGGAAGTTTTATAATAAAAATGAAATGGTTCTGATTTCACCATCTGCAAAACCTTTACATCATTCCAATTTACAGTATTCCCATCTATGTCTACACTAAAGTTGTAACCCCACTGCTCTTGAAGAGACTTTAAGTTGATAAAAGACTCAAACGTCATTTCATGAACATTAATTGCAGGTTTACTTTTTTTTGCAGTTTTAATAAGTGTAACATACTGGTCTGGACTATAAATTGGACCTGCTTTTAAATTTTTCTTTACCTCTTTTTCTATTAGGCTGTGCACACTGTCTGCTTCATTTTGTGTATGTCCCCTTATCATAAATTTATGTGTTATACTAGAAATATTTAGATTAGTTACTGCATACAAATATAATGTGGCGATATATTTATTTTTATTCTGCCCACAGCAGTTGTCTGAGTAAAAAATAATTTGTTTCGGTTCCTCGTCTTTTGCACACAGATTTTGTAAATATTCCCAAATGCAAGAGCCGATCTCATTAGCACCTCGTTTAGCATCTACCTCAGTCCAAAAGAAACAGTAAACATTGTCATATGCTTTTTTATCTCCATTTAGTAGCTCTGTCATGGTCAAATTATAGCTGTTTAGTTTCGACTTATAATAAAAAGCCGAAGTATCACCCCTCGGACACTGTAAAACAGCTTCTAAGTCATAGATAACTACTCTAGAGTCTTTGGTTATATTTTGACGATCGGCAAATTTTTCAGCACGACTCAAGGTTTTCTCCTGCATATGCTTATAGTATTTATCTTCCAAAACTTGTTTCTGTTCAACATTTGAATTGTGATATGATGTGCATAGATCACACTGATCTTTCTTTGGTTGGTGAAATCCCAAATTAAATTCATTGTTAAATATTTTGTAATATGCCATATAATTACCTACCTCCCTGTTAGTATTTCTTTGCTGTGCAGCAAAATCATTGTACAAATCCTTAATAGTCTTATCACCGCCAATGTACTGCTTTGACGTCGAAGCTCGAACATAATGTGAATCTAGTTTTGGAATCGTATTGATATGTTTTCGAATATCATCTAGTAACTGTGGGTTAAGTTTGTTGTGATTATTATGTCTCCCTCTCAGGTCATCAAGCATAAAACCATCGTTCATTCTAGATTGCACCGTGTAAATCATTCTTTCAGATATAGACAGTGTATTCTTTAAAAAAGTCTTACACACTCTTATTTTATTATCATTTAAAATAAAATAAAAAGCTTTGTTTGGACGTCTGGGATTTTGGGAATTACTGTATTTATATTTGGGGGTAATATTTTCCATACACGTTCGTAAATAGGCCCTCTGTGCTACTAAGTTCCCTAGGTCCCAAAAGGAGCTAAATAAGTGGTATCTCCCCTCATCATCGATCTTATCTTTACACTTTAATTTACAGTTTTCGTTACATGTGTCTTTCATAAATCGAGCCGGAACAGTTTTACGTCTTTTTGACATCGAGACATACGATTCGCCTTTATTACGAAGTTGCTTCGATCGCACTTGCTGCCACTTCTCAATTTTTCGTGATCTCTTGCGTCCTCGACGACTATTATTTGTTTCGATATTGGAGTCAGAGGAATCTGAAGTTGATCCTTCAAAGAGAAAGTTCTGTCTCCTAATATGCTTTCTAGGTATTGAAGTATAATCTATGGTAGGATCATCGTCGCTGAGATCAATATCACTTTCATCCGAGTAAATAGGGGAAATATTATAATTAGACACGCTGTTCTTATTTCGACGCGCTCTTTGCTGAATAACTTGTTGATCCTTACTAACTTCTGGAGCATTACTGGAGCTTGAAGAACTGGATGAAGATGAGGATGAACTAGAAGAAGTGGAACTAGACGACGACGAAGATGTGCTGAAGGATCGAGAACGTTGCGTATTATTGCCTGAGATCGGCAAAATTTGAGAGTCGTAATCAGCAGGCTCGGCATTGTTGTTTAGGTGTATACTATCATCATTTTCACTCACTGTTGAATCACTGCTATAATCAGGTACTAGGCTAACGATTTTTGTAACAGTAGGTGAATCCTGTTTCAAATCAAATTTTTCAACTGTTATTGGCATCGGCTCAGAATCTGGAGATAGATTTTCCTGATTTTCATTATCTACATGGTATTCTCTTCTGGTCTGAAATAACAATGACAAAACTAATATTAATATTAGTTCAATTCATCACTCATGAACAGGCAATTTTTAAATATAATTTAAGTTAACTAAATTGTTTACAATTTTCCTAGCGGCACCTTGAGGTAGGTAGGGTGCTCTGCGCTGTATCTGTTTCCATAAGAATTTGGAGATAAAAATAAACAGAGTTTAATCTATCCCAGTACCAATTTAAGTCTAAATCCGTTCAGTGGTTTTGCGATGATTAAGTAACAAATTAATATTAGCAAGTAGGTATTATTATTAGTAAGATTATAAATTACAAGTAACAATAAAGGGCAAAATTAGTATCTTAAATGACAGCTAAAAACTTAATTTATCTTATTTTGAACCCGTAAGTATTGGCTATGATAATTATATAATTATTTACCTCATCCTGACTAATTATGTGCTCGAGTTCTTCATTACTAGATGGTTCTTGGTTATTTCCAGCTTGAACCAAACCTAGAATTCTACGGGACCTCCAAGATGACGCCATTGTTCTATAATAACCTAAAAAGTTAAAGACGAACAATGATTGTAAATTATAATTTGAAAATGGTATTTTCGAATAAACAGCGGTAACGTTAAACATTTCATACAATTTCCCATTCGCGTAAATAGTAAAAAGAAGTAAATCAGAATCTTACTTTAGGTACTGTTTATGTTTTACTATAAAGCGATGGTTACTCAATTACTCCAATGAAAAAGACGTATTTTTTTAAATGAAACTGAAGTATTATGTTATAATTTTTCGAACATGCTAAATTTTCAAAACAAAACAGAATTAATACAAATCATCATCAAATTATTTTTCTAAAAAAACGAAGTATCTCAAAGATCATGCATTTTATTATAAAATAATTGTAAACTTTCATAGTTACCTTTTAGTCAAAAACAGATTAATTTCGTGTTACACCACCATTACACCACAGAACAACACTCCCACTCTCAGTCACTGCCGGTTCATCACTGAATCACGCCATTTATTAGAATCGTCCTGTCCAATCCTGTTTATTGAAAAGAGAAGACCGATCGCGTATCTCGCTCAAATTTGACGGATCGAGACGGCTGTTGAATTCTACCTAATCTTTACGCAATGAATATGCGTTTTATTGTAAAAAGTCAAAATTCGTAAATTTTGTGTTACATCTTTTTATTTTTAAGGGTGCGATATCTATGATCATCTGCCACTGACAATCATCTGACAATTTATATACTGCTTCGCGAGAGACGCGGGAAAAGAAATGGAACTGAGAATTTATTATGATAATGACGTGATAAGAATATTGTAAACAATCGACTGAACTGTTTGCTATGTAATTTGATAAGAATAAAATACATTCAGATGACGAGAATAATTTCGTAATATTAATTTCATTGCTCGTTTGTTCGGCCAGCAGAGTGGTGTTTTAACTAACAAGTTAATAAAATAAAATAAATATAAACCTAAAATGGTAAGTGTCGACCTACCTTCATAAAGAAACCTCATTATTTTTTTTAAATTAATATTTGAAGTATTTTGTATTCTAGAAATGTTTTAAAATTGAATCAATTCCAAATTAAATAAGTATTTCAAATTAATAGAGAAAACAACCTGGGTAAATACCTACCTACATAATAAAAAAAAAAAACATTTCCTTTATCCGCGTATGTTCGTGTTTAACTCAAAAAGTACTAAACATATTTTGTTCTAAATAGTTTTCACCAGTGGATAATAATGATTTTTAAGGACGATTATACCTAATTTGTTCACATTAAAATAAAAACCATTCGATAGTGATGCAGTGTACAAATTAGGGTACCTAGACCTCACTAAACATAACATATTTTTTAAAAGTTAATATGTTTTATAAATTTTATTTAGGTGAACTTCACTGCTCGTGGTCTAATGCCTCCAGTCTTCACTCCACTCAATGATGACCACACCATAAACTATGGAGTTATTCCCGCGTATGCTAAGTTCTTGGCTGATTCAGGGATCAAATCTGTTTTGGGTAAGGACTTCGATCATGTAGATACCTATGCATGCAGTGTCTGATATTGGTTTTTGTAAACTTGAATCGAAATGTGGAGATGGCATAATATTATATGACAATACCCACAAATAGACTAACGGAGGTCCATGGTCTAGGAATAGACTGCAACGCGCTGTTCATAACGTTTTACGTACAGACTAAATAAAAAAATATAGGCTGTCACTGTGTCTCTCTGCTCTGTTATGAATTTAAAAAAAGAACGAAAATGTTTTAAATAATTACCTATTGTACCCATAACAATGAAACTTTTTGATTGCACAGTGGGTGGTACAACAGGCGAGCACATGTCCCTATCTGTAGCCGATAGGAAGAAAGTCGTTGATGCTTGGGTGGTAGCTGCCAAGACTACAGGCCTTCATATTCAGGTGCAAGTCGGTGGAGCACCCTTAGCTGATGTTACTGAACTGGTGAGTTAATAGAATAATAATTTTGATGCTGAAAAAAAGTAAAAATCGTATAATTTTTTGTGGACTCAACGTTTTGTGCATTCTAGTGTTTATAGTTGCATCAATCATTGGTATTATCATTACATGTTTAGGTACTTATCTTTAGTTATAATACGGTTTCATAAGTTGGATACACGCAATAAGTTTGGCATCGATACTAAAAAAAGGTCGGACCTGTTTTCAAAACTCTTCTATTGTAATTTACGATTGGAAAGGATAAAAATTGAGAGTGTACTCCACTAATACATAATTTTGACCAATACAGAAATGGCCACTACAATTTATCAACAAATTTAGAGTAGATATCATCTAATTTATTATTCCGTTTACCTTACGATATTTAATCGTAGATATAACTAATACCTACCTACTTATCTAGATAAAAATTACAATTACCCAAAGTGATTGATTGCTTCGGTGTGGTGGTCAAGCCGTCACTATCGCCACTACCGAGTAACGGATCTCAGATCTACAAGTCGGGCAATGTGTTATTCACTAATTGGATGAATGTATTTACGATTGAATGTGGATTGATATCATAACTGGTGAAAAGTGAGTGTACCTACACAATTTTTATAATTGGTTTAGCCGGTAAACGAGGAAAAAGATCACCTTATGTTAAGCAATCAGTGCCCGCGTCGCCCATGGACACCCGAAATACCAGAGTCGTTACTAGTGCGTTGCTGGCCTTTTAGGGATTAAGAATTTGACGATTTTTGGGGATTCGGAGGATTTTTGCGTCCACGATGTACGTCCATCCGCAAGGTGGGCAGATGACCTGATTAAGGTTACAGGGGGCCTATCTGGAAGTAATTGGGGGAGGCCTATGTTCAGCAGTGGACGTCCTGTGGCTGCTATGGTAATGATGATGGGGATTCGGGGATTAGAGAGATTGGGGAGACGTAATTGGGCCATTGGTATGTTATTATAGGTGTACCTACTATTTGGTGAAATGTGCAGTAAACGGAAAACCATTCAATATATGCACATAATCATCTTGGAGTAGATACTCCATAGAGGAACAAACGTGTTAAGTAATTAATATTATATTTCGTGTATGAAAAATTCATGAACTGAGCGTGAAGTTTTACATTACTAACTACACTGTTGGCCGCTACATACTAAACTAAACTACGTAATTTATATTTATATTTTGCAGTATGATAACTGATAACTTTCAAGTAACCAGCTGTATGATGTTACTGACCCTATTGAAACCAATACAAAATAAAGATTTGAAAGGCACATTCACTCATATTAACTTCTTCATTTTTAATGGTAGGGTATGAAAATTAAAAATCTAATTAGTCCGTCAGTTAGGTAATGAAAAAATATTAGACACGTATTTTTTATTTTGTTGTATAATAAAATGATACTTAGACATAACGAATCAAAGTTTTGGAGTGGGGGCTAAAACGTCATTTCTACGTATGAAATGTACCTACATAGAAGTGACGTCACGCCACATTTCAAATCAATATATCGTTGAAAGTATTCGTTTCTGTAAAACAATACGTGTCTAATGTTTTAAAATAAACTACCAGATGGACATTCAAATAAAAATTTGTCATCTACCCTCTTCTAGGACTAAGAAATAACGTCTATAATGCAGTGGGTTAGAGAGGACATAGGTAGCTACACTACAGTGGGTATACCTATTAAATACTTACATAATGTCATTTGATAAATACATTACATTATCATGAAATATTGTTTTTGTAAATAATAGGCATGTACCTACGTTATCGTGCACTTGAGATAAATATGAATTATTTAAGTTGTTTAAATAATTTGTTCGTGATATTTCGAGTGGGTTCTCCCATGTCACAGATGATGTTAATTTGACGTTGTGTTCGTAAGTATTAATTGAAAATGCATGTAGACTTGCTGATATTTGTTGCTTTGATCTGGTTTGAACTGGTAAAACATAAACTAGGTACTTAAAAATCTTACAATCGTTACTGCTCCATGCAGTTCTAATAAGATGTTGTCGGCTCATTGCTATGGCCATCGATTATAGATAGGGTTGCCACCTTTTATTTTGGTATTTAAAGTACATTGACGATTATAGGTAAGAAAAAAGTACACAGTACAAAAATAAAGTACAATTTATCCTTATTTAGTATTATATTTAAAAATATACTTTTTATTGCTTTTTGCAGTTTGTATTAAATTAGTATCTTTACTAAACAATTGCATTGAAATACTAAACAATTGCATCTTTACTAGAAATTGTCTGTGGCGCTGGCGAGTGGCGAAATCGATTCAACATAAGTCGATAAATATCGATATCGAATTTTCCAAAAATAAAGTATTTTCGTGTACTTTATTATTCTTATAAAGTATAGAGTACAATTACCTACCTTAAATAACGTACAATACTTTATTATAAAGTACGGGTGGCAACCCTAATTATAGAGGCGGCGGCGCGCGGCTCGGGGTATAAAACTCAAGGCCATTTGAGTATTTCTTTGTGTCGGCAATAAAATCGATATTGATTGTGATTTGGGGAAATAAAACCTATGTAATAGTGCACTGCCTCGTTGGTCGAGTGGTCGCAAGTGCGACTGCCGGGCAAGGGGACTCGGGTTTGATTCCCAGGTCGGGCAAACCACTACTGGTTTTTGTTTTTAATTCTCAGTTATAGCACGGAGTCTGGATTTGTGCCCGGTATATGGCAATAGGATCATCCCTTATTACATGAGACGCATAATATAAATAGTGAAAAGTGGGTGTTATATTGTACAGTGGTATTTAGTACCGTAATGTGCGCCTTTGCCTACTCCTTCGGGGGTAAAAGGCGTGAAGTTATGCTATCGTGTCCCACACAGCGTATTTTATATGATTTCATAATTCTTACGATCACATTCATTTTCTCCACAGCTCCAACAAGGCCATAGATGACTACCCTCAGTCTCATTTTTTCCATATATACATAAAACACATTCACAAGTATCCCATTGCATTTTAACTCCAAAAACGTCACACTTAAGTGCAATTTCCTTTGTTTTTCTTCCAGGCCCGCTACTGCCAAGATGTCGGAGCCGACTCCTTACTTACCCTTCCTGAGTTATACTTCAAGCCAGCCTCAGTTGATGATCTGGTGTTCTACGTATCTCAAGTCGCTAAGGCTGCCCCCAAACTGCCAGTATTGTACTACCATATACCCAGTATGAGCAAAGTTGAAAGTGAGTGTTGTTTACTTTAAAATTAATCTTAAGTATTATGCGTTAAAGTTTCATTTTGATAAAAACGTATTTTTGTTTGTTTCGGAGCTCTGTATTTATATTTATGTAAAGAATTACTTAAATGGATGTTGTTGTTGTTGTTGATAAAAGGACTTTAGATACACTAGATAAGCTACATTTTGCCAAAATAAAATATGAAAGAAGAAATGTAGGACATTGAATCGGAAGAAAAAGAAATACCAATCGGGACTCTGTAACTACTTTTTCTATAAGTCGTGACTAACGGACAAATTGACGTATTTTACATAAGACTAGCGGACCCGACAGACGTTGTCCTGTAATAATAGGTAGGTATACATAAATAACCTAGAAACCGACTTCAGGGCCATCTTCCGGACTGATTTGTAAATAAATCTAAACCATTCCCAGATCCCCTTGAACACGCACAAAAAATTTCATCAAAATCGGTCCAGTCGTTTGAGAGAAGTTTTGTGACATACACACTCACAAAAGAATTATAATATAAAGATATGTGTGAAAATTGGAAATATCACTCAGACTTACAACCTCTCAGTAACTTGATCCAATATTGTGAATTAATTGATCGGTTAGTGCGGTGGCTGGGTAACTGGCTGCCACGCAACGTGAAGCGGTTTCGATTCCCGCACGGAACAACTCTTTGTGTGTTTCAAATTTCAAAGCATTTATTTCAATTACACCATAATTTGGTATATTTGAAACGTCAACAAATACAAAATAAATGATAGTTTGTCAGTAAAGCTAGGTGCTCATTCCAAAATGTAGATTCAAATGGAGAAGAACGAGCAAGAAACTCCATTGTATGTGAACTTGTATGTTTGTAAACGCACCCACGACACGGGAGAAAATCCTAATGTGGGACAACGATTAGCAAAAAAAACTCCTGCTACTTTGTTCCACTTCCAGTCAATATGCCAGCCTTCGTAACAGCGGCTACAGCGAGTATCCCTAACTTTAAGGGCATTAAGTTCACTTCAAACGACCTTAGCGAAGGCGCTCAAGTCCTCAGAGCCCTGAAGGATGGCCAGGAGATGTTCCTTGGAGCTGATACTGTGAGTGGTCTTACTTTGATAATGAGCTTCCGTTTTTGCACTCAATAGATGCATAGATGGCGGTAATGTAGTTTAAAATCTTGTCACTACTTTGATAATGAGCTTCCGTTTTTGCACTCAATAGATGCATAGATGGCGATAATGTAGTTTAAAATCTTGTCACTACTTTGATAATGAGCTTCCGTTTTTGCACTCAATAGATGCATAGATGGCGATAATGTAGTTTAAAATCTTGTCACTACTTTGATAATGAGCTTCCGTTTTTGCACTCAATAGATGCATAGATGGCGATAATGTAGTTTAAAATCTTGTCACTCTTTTGATAATAGCTTCCGTTTTTGCACCCAATAGATGCATAGATGGCGATAATATAGTTTAAAATGTTGTCACTATTTTGATAATGAGCTTCCGTTTTTGCACTCAATAGATGCATAGATGGCGGTAATGTAGTTTAAAATCTTGTCACTACTTTGATAATGAGCTTCCATTTTTGCACTCAATAGATGCATAGATGGCGATAATGTAGTTTAAAATCTTGTCACTATGGTAAACGTGTTGAAGTTGTCAAGTCTAAGTCCCTACAAATAACAATTTTAATTAATAGAAAAGTTTAAAATGAATGTTATGTTAAAAATTTAAGTTTGTTATTTATGTTTAACAGCTCATTGCACCAGCAGCGCTCTTAGGCATTAAATCTAGCATTGGAACAAGTTTCAACCTGTTCCCGAAACTGGCGCAGGAAATCTTGGATGCCGTCGAAAAGAACGATGTAGCCAAAGCCAGGGCTTTGCAGGAAAAACTAAGCTTAGCTATTGAAGCTCACACTGTTGAAGGTAATACCATTACATTCATAACATCACGCCTTTTATCCCTGAAGGGGTAGAGGTGGACATTATGCCACTGTACAATATAACACCCACTTTTCACTATTTATGTTATGACTTATGAGTCCCATGTAATAGGCGGTGAACCTATTGCCATATACCGGGCAGAATTCCAGACTCCGTGCTACAACTGAGTTTTTTTTTAAAACCCAGTAATACTTTGCCCGATCCGGGAATCGAACCCGAGTTCTGAGCGACAGTCGCACTTACGACCACTCTGCCAACGATGCAGTCTTACTATAGTATAATTATTTTTATAAATATGCTTAGTGTTGCTATGAAAGGTTTAATTAGAAGGGATATTATGAAGGCACCTTTATCCTTTTGCGCTCTATCCTGATGCATTAAGTACCTATGTATTTTGTGCTATTCCACCGAAAATTTTGGAGTCGAAAAGTTTTTAAAATTAGTTTAAGGATGGACTAAAGTGTGATCGATGGATTTAATGATGACATTAATGCAAATAGTATAAGTATAGGGGAATGTCATTACAAACAAATTGAGCAGCCACACTAAACAATCAAATTGGCTAGTTTCCAGGGTATCAAAATAAAAAATCTAATTAGTCCGTCAGTTAGATAATGAAAAAATATTAGACACGTATTTTTTTATTTTCTCCTACTAAGTTGCATTACTTAGATAAAATGTAAGTTTAGGAGTGGGAGGTTATTACGTCATAACGTGCTACAAAATGTGACACGCTGTGACGTCCCACGATATTTTAAATTAATATATCGTCGAAAGTACCTACATAATTTTGTGAGAAAAGAAAAAATACGTGTCTAATGTTTTAAATTAATCTACTAGACGGACATTAAAATAAAATTTAGGAAAATACCCTATAGTACCTACATATTAAATTTCCTTCCTTAAAAAAATGGCATGCCACTTTTCTATGTTTCATACACAATATTAGTCCTTAACACTTATGTGATAAAAACCATTATTAACTAAATCACTTTTTTATTTCAGGTCCCTGGGTACCCATAATGAAGGCCGGTATGGAGATAGCTACTGGCATCAAGGTTGGACCTCCATCACTCCCACAGAGGCCTCTCTCTTCCGAAGCCAAGCAAAGGATTCACTCCAAATTGAGGACCCTTGGTCTGAGCAAGTGATAATGTACCTTATAATCTTGAAAGTAAAGTTTATTCTCGAAAAGCATTTCTTATACAATCATGTTGTCCGTGTGGTCAGCTCGTCCCCTTCTCTATATTCTGAGTCAGCAGAGTTTATGTTCGTCGAGATATCCATAAATCTTAACAAGATCTTAATAGCCGTCTTATATAGTCCCAACCTACACATTAACTATTTTGATAATCTCGACACACAACTCAATAACCTATGCCTTAATTATCAGCATGTTATTATCATGGGCGATTTTAACACTTGCCTTCTTAAACAGGATTCACGTGCACATAAACTCGAATCACTATTGTCATCTTTTAACCTACATCTACTTCCCCTTTCGGCTACTCACTATCCCCCCAACTCGTCTCCTTCCTTGCTCGATCTTATGATTGTGTCGTCCCCTGGACATGTAGATGACCACGGTCAACTGACTGCTCCTTTCTCCTACCATGACCTTATTTATGTATCTTATCGCATTCGTAATCCTAAACCTAAACCTCGTTACTTGAATCTACGTAGTTACGGACGGCTGGATCTGGGGGCGTTACGGCACGATGTCTGCCTGACTGACTGGAGTTCTGTGGTTGATGCCGATGATGTCGATGTGAAGGTTAACCTGTTTAACGCGATAATTGTCGACCTGTTTGATAGACATGCACCTTTGCGCCGCGTGAGGGTTAGGCACGATCCTGCGCCTTGGATCACTTCTGACATTACAGAGGCAATGGCTCGTAGAGACAGGGCCAAGCGAAGGTGGAAACGTAGGTCTACAGATGAAAATCTTTCCTCTTATAAAAATCTTCGTAATCGCTGCAGTCGTCTGTGTAGGGATGCTAGGAGGCGTTACTTCGATGACAACTTGGCTAACCACAACGCCGCTGATGCCTGGAAGTTCTTGCGATCTGTGGGCATCGGCAAATCTCCTGTCAATGTCAGTAAGGATGTTGATCTTATCTCCTTGAATCATCACTTCTCCCACTCCCCTATTTCACTTGACAACCTTACAAAAACTAAAACTCTTCTCAACCTTTCCTCTCAACCGCTTCCCTCTTGTTCTCCTTTTGTGCTCTGTAGTGTGCCCGAGGATGATATAAAAAAATCCATGCTTGCCATTAACTCCTCTGCTGTGGGTAGTGATGGTTTATGCTCCCGTATGTTTATCCCCATTCTTGACCTCCTCCTTCCTATTCTCACGCACATTTTCAATTTTTCTTTATTCTCTTGCTCTTTTCCTTCTGCTTGGAAAACTGCCCACGTTATTCCGTTACCAAAAACTAATAACCCTTCTACCCTTTCACATTACAGACCTATTTCCATATTGCCTTTTCTCTCCAAGGTCATGGAACATATTGTTCATAAGCAGTTGACTTCCTTCTTGTCGTCAAACTGCCTCATCTCTCCCTTTCAATCCGGATTCCGCCCTGGCCACAGCACGGTCACAGCTTTACTCAAAGTGACCGATGACATTCGCTGGGCTATGGACAACAAATCTCTCACTGTTCTTGTGTTGTTGGACTTCAGTTCTGCCTTCAACTCCGTGGACTTTGACATTCTGCTGGGGGTCCTGAAGGCCAACAATTTCTCTTCTTCCTCTCTGGCCTGGTTTGAGTCCTATCTTCGGGGTCGCCGTCAGAGGGTCCGCCTTGAAGAAAATTTTTCTGATTGGTGTGACCTTGCTGCCGGGGTACCCCAGGGTGGCGTCCTTTCTCCTGTTCTTTTCTCCATCTTTATTAATACCGTTGCCAGGGTCATTTCATCTAATTTCCATCTATATGCGGACGATTTGCAGCTATACCGCCACTTTGGCCTGTCCGAGGCCCATTCTGCTATCGATGCCATGAATCGTGACTTGGATGGCGTTGCCGAGTGGGAGGTCTTTTGGATTGCAAATCAATCCTATCAAGTCTCAGGCCATGATCATCGGTAGCAGATATTATCGAAACGCTCTCGACGTCCCTAGCCTTGGTCCATTACGTTTGAATGGCACACGCATTCCATTCACTGATACTGCGAAAAACTTGGGGGTGCATATCGACTCGAACTTGTCGTGGGCTTTTCAGGTGAACGAGGTTAGTCGGAAAGTTCATTTCTCCATTCACTCGCTGAGGCGCCTCCAGACCTTGCTTCCGGTGAAGACTAAGATTCACCTCGTCCAGGCGCTGATCTTGCCTCTCATTGACTATGCAGATGCTTGCTATTTGGACGCCACAGAGGAGCTATTAAATAAACTTGAGCGCTTACAAAATGTATGTATCCGTTTCGTCTTTGGTCTTAGGAAGTTCGATCATATTTCTGAATTCCGTAACAGGCTCAAGTGGCTCCCAATCCGTCTTCGCAGGAACACTCGCATACTATGTCTCCTCTATAACATCCTCTTCAACCCAGCCTATCCTACTTATCTTCGAGACCGTTTCTCCTTGGTGCGCCCTCCTGAAGTCCTTACTCGTTCTCATCTTAAATCCTATCTTAAAATTGTGCCCCATAATACCGACTTCTACTCCTACTCCTTCTCCGTTCATGCAGTGAGACTATGGAACTCGCTCCCGCCGAACATTCGGGACGCCAAGTCTATCTCTATCTTTAAGAGACAGTGAGAAACATTATCTTTCCTCCTGAAATACAGATTTGTTTTTCTATATTTATTTATATATGTATTATATTGTATTATATTAATTTGTTTTATTGTTAATTATTGTTAATTCTATTGGTTTCTTCGGTCTTATTACTTTTTTTATTAATTGATTTTTATCTTGTTTGTGTAACACACTATGTGTCTCTGTATTATTATTTCTTTTCCTGCCACAGGCCCACAGGAAGAAATTCCAGTTGGAATATGTGGGGCCTATGTACTCTGTTTTTTATTATGTATTGTCCTCTGTGTTGAATGTGTGTACATAAATTAATAAATAAATAAATAAATAAATAAATGTTGTTAAATAAATTAACATTGTTAATTGTTAAATGTGTTGTGTTTTTCATTTGATGAATACTTAATGTATTCATTTTAATGGGATAAGCCGGTAAACGAGAATAGGCCACCCATGGACACCTGAAACACCAGAGGCGTTACAAGTGCGTAACTAACCTTTTGGGAAGTGGGAATTCGAGGATTGTGGGGAATTAATGGTTTAGATTTTAATGGGACCTCCGGTAACCTCACTCACACGATGAAACACAACGTCTTCACGTCGGTTTTCTGTGAGGCCGTGGTATCATTCCAGTCAAGCCGACCCATTCGTGCCAAGCATGGCTCTCCCACGAAATCTCCCACGTATGTAAGAAGTTATTTCATTTCACTTTACACGTAGGTTCCTAAGATATAGAGTCTAGTTTTGATTGTAACTATTGTCCATTACTTACATAAGTATAAAGGTCCTACAACTTAAATAGCTATATTAGTTACATAGCTTATAGAAACAAAAATTACAGCAAATCTACCAAGAAAGGATTAAATATAAACCAAAATTAAATTTATTAATCCGAAACCAAATAAAAATATTATACAAATTGAGGAACTAATAAAGAACTTAACAAAATAAACCGGTTAGTCCTCGATGGTGGAGTAGACAATATCGATGTCATAAGCCCTGAGTCTGGACTCGAGTCTGTACTTCTGTTCCTCAGTGAGAGCTCGCTGGGGAGGCCTGACTGGTCCTACATCAATACCAGTTACCAGTTTCATGGCTTCCTTATATGCTGCTATTGTGTTTCCTGGAGAAAAAAGTAAGTATGTTTAGGTAATGTAAGTATTATTTGGGAGTTCGGAAAAGATTGCAATCAATTATCATTTAAAAGAAATACATGATATATTGATCTACTAGCTGTTGCCCGCGACTTCGTCCGCGTAGAATAAAGACTTCTGGCAGAATTTAGGCTTTTGAATTAGTCTGTGTCAAGGGAATTTTCTACGGTAACGAATGTCGTCAGAATTGATTCAGTACCTAGTATGGTACCCCTCCCCGTAGATGATAGCGTGATAATATGTAGCCTATATAGCCGACTTGTTAGTAATATTCATGCAAAATTCCAAAAATATCCATGCAGTACTTTTTGAGATTATCCCGGACATACATACAGACAAACAGACAAACATTTTTAAAACCACATTTTTGGCTTCACTATCGACTGTATTCAATGTACTGTTTTGACTTTTCTACAATTTTATTATATGCATAGACTGCAACACTAGCCTAAGTGTTGAAAATCTATCGACTCGAGCTATCGCGCTCGGGTCACGGTATTTTAGCTGAGCACTGACCTTTTTGCACCGTATACACTGTTCTGTATTTTTTAAACATTTTCTAATAAAATGTTTTTCTTACTTCTATGGTCACTATATACCTAAGAGTTGAATGTTCAATTTCTTTGAAAACTTTTTGTGTGCTTGTTACCTATAACAAGCTGGTATCAAGTGCTAGTTTCCCTTTTAATTTCTGGACCCTACTTTTATGAGATAACGTCTTTTTATAATTGCATCCCTCGGGCGACGACATTACACTGCCGACCATTCTAAACACTTGAATGGTGTAGTATAAAGTCAAGGATTATCAAGTACCTTCCATTAATATGATGTCTGAAAGTCCACGAAGTCGTTCGTATCGTGACAGGGTCCTTGGTCTGTCGATCGCGTCACCATCAGCAATGATGTCCCTGATCTCTTTCGGGAAAATATTCAGTTCTACCATCACGTAATTATCGTAACCGAGTAACGCATCGGGAGCTAAGTAGAACTGAAATACAATATTTTATGTGAAAAAAGTATATATAAGTACATATACAAGGTGTAGTTTTGAAATTGTCTTTTTTTTTTAAAAAAACGTTGCCCCACACTAGGATTTTCTCCTGTGTCGTGGGTGCGTTTACAAACATACAAGTTCACATACACAATAACACCCAGACCCGAAGCAACAATTTGTGGATCACACAAAGTGTTGTCCCGTGCGGGAATCGAACCCGCGACACGTTGCACGGCAGCCGGTTGCCCAGCCACCGCACCAACCGTGCAGTTTTTTTTTCTCGGAGCCATGTCACAGAAGTCATAAAGGTTCAATGTAAGAGAAAATTTCGGGCCAATAGTTAAAAATACAGCTATAATAAATCGTTTAAGTTTGACAGTGTTTCAGAATAAGCGACAGCAATGTTTCTTATTGGAGTTTTATGGAATTAGGAATAATATCAATTACATGTTTGAGTTTGTGTGTGTTAAGCCGCGTTATAAAGCTAAATACACGACGGCGGCGTGTACTTCGCACTTACGGATTTCCGTAATAATTTATTTTAATAATTTTTTTTTATTGATTCGGACTCAGAATCGATATCCGACTTACCTCCTAGAAAATGACGCGGCTTTAAAATTACACCTTGTATATAATGTTGTGGTGGCCTGGAGGTATAAGACGCCCGCTTCTCATGCAAGAGGGAGCAGGTTCGAAATCTACCAACGGCTAGTACCAATGTGACTTTTTCTGAGTTATATGTCCTTTCTAAGATTATTTAGACATCACTGACAAACGGTGAAGGAAAACATCGTGAAGAAATCTGGGCTTATAATTTCTAATTATAAGTCTGTAATCACCAAGCCGCATTGAGCAAGCGTGGTGATTAATACTCAAACCTTTTCCGTGTGAGAAGAGGCTGTGCTCGCAGTGGGCATTTATAGTATACTGTTGATGAAAATGATGATATGGAAAAGGAAATAAAGTCCCGCTGTTGGTTTTAAAGTTAAAGTTGACACACACTAACATGGACTGAATTACTTAAATACATACATAAAAACAGGTTAAAATAAGAACCTCATTTTTTTAAAGGCAAATACTAAATGCCTAATATCAATTCCTTAATTCCCGTATCGTAGCCGTAAGCGTAACTTTTAATCACAGTGTAAGATAAGGAAATGTGGCATAATTAAGAAAGTTAAGCATATCTTACGGAGTCCCCAGCGTACAGTTTCTGGTCCTTAATTAATTTGTTTCTAAGTAACAAAACATTGTCAAAGACGTCAGATTTTACTCCTTGGAATGTGGTGATCCTTTCCGTTGCTGCTCTTACGAAATCCACCATGTTCACTGGAAATTAAATAGTTAATTCAGTGATGTGATATTATAATTTAACTAGCGGACCCGAGAGACGTTGTCCTGCATATCCACTTAAATGCATATAAACAAAAAATCATTCAAATTAGTTCAGCCGTTTAGAATAACTAACCTATACACTGACTGGAGCGCCATCTGCCGGGCTGATTTGTGAATCTAAACCATGCAGGGCGCCACTCAAACGAGTACAAAAAAATTCATTTAAATCGGTCAAGCCGTTTAGGAGGAGTTTAATGACATACACACGTACAGCAGAATTATATGTAGGTATAAAGATTAACTCGTAAAATTATTATTGTAGTCCCCTAAAGGTGTATAAAGTATTTTCACTTATTACAATTTATTTGATAAATATCTAACTAGAAAAAATATAGTACCGTAGACACCAGTATAGCGAGGATAATCATCATACAACAAAGGCGTTTCGGGTGCTGCTTCAGCAATGAGTTCCATGTAATAGACCAGGTCGTCTACCGCCCGGGGTTTGTAGAAGACTTCAGGTAAAGCCATTATGGCATCCACTCCAATTTTTTCCGAATACACAGCCTGTCAGTTGCAAATGAAAAGTATTAAATAATAGTCATAGGTAGGTACATGGTAGGATACGTGGTGGTACTATAAATAAAAATCACTGAAAGTCCCTGTTAAATTAAAGGCGTATTGACTGGTTTAATTACAATAAATCTTTATGATGTTTTACAGACATTAGAAAACCCGGGAGTTGAAAAAAAATTCACAAGCAGCCAAGCGTGACTTGGCGCCATAAGGCGCGAAATTCAAATTAGGTATTTTTTTTATTTTAACAGTCCCTAGGGTCTTGTTCAAATAAATTATAAATAGTCCCCATAGCGGTATCATTACCTATTTAAAAGAGTAATAGCTGGATTACATTTTAAAGAAAGGCTTTAATAAAGACTCAACACTGCTCAAGAACATTTGACCCGACCAACTGGTTTTCTATAGGTTCCATTTGTTAACTATAGGCTCTTTCTCCTTCATAATTATAACAAAAAGTAGTATGTCATTACATTAAAGCTAGTGACATACCATTTCCAATGTATCAGAGAAGGGCACGGCGCCGATACTTGAGATGACCTTCAGATCGAGTGGTGGAGCTGCTTCCATCCACGCATCAAGAAGCAACTTGTTCTCAGAAACATTCAGATTTGGTCCTTCTCCGGTTGTTGCAGCCACTGTAAAAGTAAATGGTTTTAGAATGCGAACTTGGGAGTGTGTTAAATTGTCGCTACATTACAACGCTACTTTGTCGCTACGTTACTACGCTACTTCGTCGTTACGTTACTACGCTACTTCGACGCTACGTTACTACGGTACTTCCACGCTACGTTACAACGCTACTTCGTCGCTACGTTACTACGCTACTTCGTCGCTACGTTACTACGTTACTCTGTTACTTCACTATTACGTCGCTACGTTACTGCGCTGCTACGTCGATACGGTATTTTGCTGCTACGCAGCTACATCACCACGTCGCTAAGTGACTACGTACCTAATACGCCATCAACTCCATTATCTTTTAAGTACTGCGCGTACTGAGGAACGATGTCAACGCGAAGACTGCCATCTTCATATACTGGAGTGAACACTGGAGCGATGAGTCCACCCACTTCGAAACACTGGGACATAGAATTTTACAGATATTTGTTTATTATTATCTATTAAAATTTCGGGTATGGTGCTAGGTATTATGGGTAAATCGGGTGGTAATTGAAACCGCTAGTTGCCAACAAAGTCGAATAAATCTAAAACTGTGTTGACCTCTTCCTAGTACGAAATGGTAGATGGAGAAGGAGAACATTATATTTCAAATATACGAGATTTTTTTAATTTTATTATGCAGTCAAATCCAAACTTACCGGTTCCACAGCTTCTGAGGTCGGCCAAAATAATACACAAGAAACGATTAACCAAAAAGCTAAACTTATACCCATTTTCGTGAATTTTAACTTGCCATTCGCAGAGCTATGTATATAGTTTCCAAATGTTAAAACCACCTTATATATTAAAAAAATGCTATAAATAAGATCGTGATGAGCATAAAACATATTTAATTATTAGCATTTTAGGTAAATATGATTTATTATATCACGAAATAGGAGTTTCAGTAGAAGCCAATAAATAAAATTGGTGATAGTTACGTTATTAGTCACTTTGAGACAAAATATGGCAGATAGCAAAATAAAATAGTAGTTCAGACTATTATCGATAGGTTTTCCAGGCGTGTTAGTGTCTGGGCTCGCTGTCATTGCAGCGGTCAGTTCCCTCTTAGAAGAGTAGCTTGAGAGACGCTACGGCGTCCTCACCTACCGCCTGACGCAGGTGCTTAACTTCTTCAGTAGGTAGGAACCTACCGAAACTTCTGTGTCCTTGAGGAAACGCCCGGGTGTCATCACTGCGACGGCCGCCAGGAGGACTTGTGTGTGTTGAGTGTGGCTTGCGTGGGTCGAGCACAGCCTCAGGGAGTGTCCTCAGGGATATGATCGGCGACGGCGACCTCTCGCGTCCGGCTCTGGTTCAGACCATGGTACGGGCCGAAGGGGACTGGGATGCCGTCTCCTCCTTCTGCGAAGCAGTCATGCTAGCTAAGGTGAAGGTGTAGCGCGTGAGGAAACAAACCTCCTCACGTCCCAGCCGTCGTGTTAGACACTACAGATTTTTAAACTCTCTTTAGTAATTCTCATACACTCATATTATTTATATATTTCGTGGTCAGACAAAGAATAAATATTTTGTGCGAAAATCGAATCCACGACAGGTTGTGAAGCTGCGGGTCATCTGGCCACTGTAATACTGTAACAGCCGACTAAGGGGCTGCACATTAGTGCACATTTAACAGAGACCGGGTATCAGCTTTCTTTGACAAACTTAAGCCGTGAAGTACAACACGCCTGCCTACCGCAGAGATTATGGCATGCACCCGTCGATTGTCGAGTAGTGGACACTCATGGGTTGTTGATGTTGATTAGTTATCTATTGGTATGCTAAATTAGTCAACTACTAACTTCATTACATCGTCTCTTGGTATTCCCGTTTGAGCATTAAATTTTTGAGCACCTATACATTTATGTAGGTATATTTATATATTTACACGTCTTGCACAATGGGTATACAATGGCGGACTTAATGCCTAGTGGCATTCTCTAACAGTCAACCTTAGGGTGATGCCACAGAAATATTTTTATTATATCTGTGGGTGATGCAGAGAGACACATTAGGAGGTGTAAAAGTTTAACATTGTTGTGAACATAATTTGATATTTAGATATATATAATTATACATATCATATATAGAAATATGTAACTATACAAATTGTTGAATAGTATTGCTGCTCAATGAGAAGTAGGTGCTCTAGATGCTCAAACAGGAATACTCCAGCTAGGCAAAGTATGGGTATTATAATGGTAAATTCTTCTGGGACTGTGCCTAGTGAGTAGGTGTTACTTAGCATCAGTGTTCTGTTTACTTTTATCATTTTATAATATTAAAATTGCATCTTGGGGGGAGGGGGTTAACGATAGCGGTTTATTGTTTAGTAAAGTAACCAGAGTTAATATATTACTGTTGTATTGTATCCAATTTTAAAAGGCATGCTCTTACTGGGCTTTTAACAATTGTTGTGTGATTCATTGTTAATTAATTGTTGTAAATAGTTGTTGTTAGTAAAAAATAAGGTAATAAAAAGTATTTAATTTCACGTCATCTCATTTATTGACATTCGTTTTGATTGAAGTTTTTAACCAAAAACATAATGTTATAAACAATAAGATTTATTTAACTTTAAAGTTGATAAACATCTGTTCTTTAAATTCAAGCGTAGACGTCGACACCTCTATACCTCAGTTGGTTTGCAATTCTGTACTTCTGTTCCTCACTTAGAGGGCGCTGGGGTGGTTTTGCAGGTCCCACATTGATGCCAGTAACCAATCTCATTGCTTCCTTTAAACCTGCTATCCAATTATCTGAAAAAAAATTTAAACGATTAGTGTTTGGAAGTGATTTTGTTCTTTTCTACAGATACACAACCAATCGGATATGAATTGTGTATGTATATTATTTTGTATGTATGTATTGTATATTACCTCTGACATCGATGATTTCAGCCAATTCTGCGAGTTTGTCGTATTGATCCAGAGTCCTGAACCGATTACCGTCCTTGCCATGTTTTACTATGTCTTCTACCAATCTTGGGAATATATTGACTATAGGCATTAAGTAATTGTCGTAATCTAATAAAGCTTCTGTACCGAGGTAGAACTGGAAAAATATTAAATTTTATTTGACTTTTCTATTTTAGCTGACTAGCGTTTATGCCATTTAGGTAACTATCAGTACTGGTTTGATTATTAAGTAATAAAAACATTCCAATTCTGTTAATATTCTCTAGCAGGGTATTTTCAAACATTTATGCTTTGCAACATAGGTATATTAATGTATTCTGATAAACAAACGCTTCTCCTATACAGAGTCAACATATGTGAAAAGTGTAATTTTGTCCGTGCTATATTTCATGTTTGTATCCCTAAGTCCTAAATCAAAAAATCCTTACGTCATTTGCAGCATAGAGTTTCTGATCGTCAATTAATCTGCTTCGGAGTAACAGCAAGTTATTGATGTCATTAGACCGTAGTCCCTTGAATGTGGGTATTTTTTGGGTCATTTTCTCGACAAATTCCACGATATCCACTAAAAATATAAATACTGTTATTAAACTCTGACTGACTCGTTGGTCGAGTGGTCACAAGTGCGACTGCCGGGCAAGGGGTTTCGGGTTCGATTCCCGGGTCGGGCAAAGTATTACTGGGGTTTTTAAAAAATCTCAGTAGTAGCACGGAGTCTGGAATTGTGCCCGGTATATGGCAATAGGCTCACCCTCTGTCACATGGGACTCATAACATAAATAGTGAAAAGTGGGTGTTACATTGTATAGTGGCATAATGTGCACCTCTGCCTACCCCTTCGGGGATAAAAGGCGTGATGTTATGTTATGTGTTACTGTTATTAAAATTGCGTCCAGATAGACAATAAAAAGATAAAAGAAAAAGCAATTGCTGGTAGTGCACTCGTATTTAGCGATTAAAGTCATTAAAATTACCATGAACTCCAGTGTACCCAGGTAGATCGTCGTACAACAAAGGAGTTTTAGGAGCACTTTGGGCAACCAATTCCATGTAGTAGACCAGGTCATCGACCGACCGAGGCTTATAGTACACTTGTGGGTACGCCAAAATAGCATCCACGCCTATTTTTTCTGAATAAGCCGCCTGCAAAATTGTGACGATTAATGATTATGAAAAGTGTTACATTAGTGTACATATTACATAATAATTACTTACAATTTCCAATGTTTTAGGAAAGGGCTCAGCGCCGACTCCAGAGACGATGAATAGATCTAGCGGTCGGACTGCTTCCATCCAAGCATCAAGAAGTAACTTGTTCTCAGACACGTTCAGATTTGGACCTTCTCCGGCCGCAGATGCCACTAAATTAAAATAAAGCTTACAATATTAATTTATACAAAGAACAATAACTATAAAATAAAAATACAAAAAGTTAAACAGTATTTAAAAATGTGTTTAGTAAAGGACTACGCGGTTCGTAGCACTACGCTGCTACGGAGCTACGCACCTACTACGCCATCAACTCCTTTATCTTTCAAGTACTGCGCGTATTGAGGGACGATGTCAAGACGAAGACTGCCATCGTCGTATACTGGAGTGAAAACTGGCGCGAGGATACCCTTTACTTCGAAACATTTCTGGAAAATAAATATAAATTGGTAATTTAGGTCTTAAAGTGACTGCCATAGTAATCAAAATGGTTTGGGAATATGTATATGCCATTCAGTAATAAAGACTTGAGAAAATACTTCATGGAATATCCATACAAAAATATGAGACACAAAATAAATGGATATTTACAGGTTCAACGGCTTCCGAAGTTGGCGAAAACGCTAACGTTGCAATAATTAGAAAAAACGCAGAAACTACACCCATTTCTACATATGTAAATAGTTCAGTAATATGACAATTATTAATATCGTTTGTACTTATATGAATTATTTAAAAGTGTAATTAAACGAATCGTGATTTAATATTGTTTGTTAGTAAAATTTATAGTTTTATTTAATCGCATTTTCTTCACGAAAATCGTGAGTTTTCAAATACTAAGTATTAACGGTTTCGGTGTTCGAGTAGTCACAAACGCAAGGAATTGTCATAAACGACGTATTTTGGGTTCAGTACATGTACTGGGTAAAATAAAATAAGCTGTGATTGCGAGTTATTAAAATTTTTTAGTAGTAGATAACACTAACATTGTGCCTGGAATGCGGTATCCTTACTAATATTATAAATCGGAAAGTGAGTTTGTTTGTTTGTTCCACTTTCACGCCGTAACTATTAAACCGATTGCTTTGAATTTTTACAGACGTAAAGTTAGAAGTCTGGATTAAATAATCAACAACTTTTTTAGAAGATAGCGAATTTTCCATTGAATGTAATTTTGTTACAAACTGATAACAGTGCGTGTAGTTTACATGTTATTTAACAAATAAATTAACTGTCACCAAAACTGTGGAATGATCCGTCGTCGGCGGTATTTCCGAACCGATACGACCTTCAAACCTTCAAGAAAAGAGCGTATTCCTTTTTAAAAGGCCAGCAACGCATCTGTGACTCCTCTGTGAGTGTCCATGGGCGGCGTTGATCTCTTACCATCAGGTGATCCGTCTGCTCGTTTGCCTCCTATTCCATGAAAAAACTTAATTCTTTGTTTTAAAATTGGATTCTGGCTTCGCATCAACCGGTTCATTTCTCTGCACTTCCCTTAGGTTAACTGTCAGAAAATGCCTTAAAACAGTCCGCCATTCACTGTATTTTTTTATGTAAAGAAGTTAAAAATAAATAAATAAATAATATGGTGTTTATAATAATAATTCTCTAATGTTTCTTTGATAAGAAACGACATAAAATAGCAAAGTATTTGAGAGCTGTAGACATTATTTCTAATGCCAGCTACGGACATTTAAAGCTATTTTGCCACGGATAATGTAATGTGAAAAACAAAAGTGTGCGGGCACGCTGCTCATGAGGAAGAGTCCCTATGTGACTCGAAATTAGTAGTGCTTTTCTCAGTAGGTATATTTACGTGAGTAACTCGTAATTTTTTGTTAATTCAGTATGTCTCACGATAATTAATATAAAAATAATTGTACATGTAAATTGATTAATTTAATTGATTAATTAACTAAACATTTAATTGATTAATTAACTTACGACTTCAAGAAACATAATTAATTGGAAGTATTATACAGCTATTCTAGGTTTATTTTTCTTTTCAAATTATCAATTTGTACTTTGGTACGAAATTATTAAATTGACTTCGAATTAATTAAAAAGGGGAATATTCTTATAGAACCTTTTATTTTAAATCAAGTACATTTTTAGTGATTCTTTAAAAAATATGAGATGTTATAGACCGGTAACGCACTTGTAACGCCTCTGGTGTCCTTGGGCGGCGCCGATTGCTTTACCATTAGGTGATCCTTCTGCTCGTTTACCGGCTTATCCCATACAATGGGTATGTAGGTAAAAAAAAGTACATTGTTTTACAGCAGTTGCGTGGTTTGTAATGAATTTAACAAGCTAAATTTACACATATCTATCATATAGATGTGTTATAAAAATGGATAATAAAAAAAACTAGTGTAGGTAGAAATACGTATATTTACACCAAATCATTTTTCACAATATTATACCTTTTTAAAAGTGTAAATAACACTGAAAAATAATGTAATCATAAAATGTTTAGTCCTGAAATTCTGACTTCACGATATCAACATCTGCGTCCCTGAGTCTTTCTTCAAGACGTATGACCTGATCAGTCGTGAGTCGGGTCTCTGGTGGTCGAATTGGTCCTACATCGATGCCGGATACCAGTGGCATAGCTTCTTTGAATGAGGATATGGTTCCACCTGATATAAAGAGTTGATTGCATTGTTAAAAGCTAATAATGAGTATTGAATTGAAATTTAATTATGTAGATAGATTAGAAAGTAAGAGAACGACTGAACAAAAGATCGGTAAACAGTTTTAGCTGCCATATATTGTTCGTTTGATTAGAAACGTATAAGACTGTTACAAATATCCAAAAAATCTAGTTCAGAATGCCTTGGCTTTTTTAATGGGAAAAACCCACCACAACCTCCTAAAACCGCTGCAACTCCTGTAAGCCAGGATTTACAGTAGATACAACCATGAAAATACCGGAACACTAAAGGCCGGCGCGTCCCAGGGACATGAATAACTTTTTTTTCTTTATAAAACGTTGCCCCACACTAGGATAATCTCCTGTGTCGTGGGTGCGTTTACAAACATACAAGTTCATGTACACATAACACCCAGACCGAAACAACAATTTGTGGATCACAATAAGTGTTGTTCTGTGCGGCAATCGAAACCGCGACACGTTGCACGGCAGCCGGTTGCCCAGCCACTGCACTGTGCAGTCAGACTGTCTTGGTTCCCGCAACGAAGTGAATCAGAAGATATTATAAGAGAAAGAGATTATAAGATTGTAATTTTAATTTAGATATTTGCTAAGAAGGCTAAACATGTATTGCATTTTCCAAAATCTTTACCTTCTTTAGTGATAACGATCCTCAGTTCCCTCATTTTTCTATACTTTGAAATGGCTGTCTTCGTGTATCCTCGGCTGCCATTGCTTACTATTTCTTCGATTAAGGTAGGGAACAAGTTGATTTCAATTATAATGATGTCTCTAAAACCCATTAGGACAGCCGGTGCTAAGTAGAGCTGACAAGAAACAAAGTCCAAAAATGGGTCATTTATTCCTGTGCAAATAAGGTAGTTTCCTAAATTTTATTTTAATGTCCGTCTGGTAGATTGATTTAAAACATTAGACACGTATTTTTTCTTTTTTCACATAATTAAATACTGTCGACGATATATTAATTTGAAATATCGTGTGACGTCACAGCGTGCCACATTTTGCACGTTATGACGTCACGACCTCCTAAACTTAGCGCCATTTTATCTAAGTATTGTAACTTAATACGACAAATTATCTAACTGACGGACTAATTAGATTTTTAATTTTGATACCCTAGAAACTATCCAATTCTCAATTTGTATATGTACTAGTAAAAGCGCTAATGAAAAGTTATAAAATTGTTGAACTAACTTAACATTGATACATACAGAATTTGCAACAAAAATCTTCTGATCATCCATCACTTTGTCTTGGAGCATCAATGAAGTCTCAAATACAGCTGACTTAATGCCTTTGAAAGTTGGGATCCTCTGAGTGGCCAGCTTCCAAAACTCCACCATGTCCAATCCTAAGCAATAAGTTACAGTTAAAAGAAGCAATAATTCGTCATAGATCGTTTTTATTTTGAAAATTCTCATAGAGATAGTAGAAAGCAGAAACTCCCTCTTTGTCTTAGATCAAGACCCTTGCAAATTAATAATTTTTGCAATATATTAACATTTAGAACCCTAACTACTAATTGGTCAAATGTAGATTCAAGTCAACAAGAAATTAATTACCATCAACATCGGAGTATGAGGGCACGTGGTAGTACAAGATTGGCGTCTCTGGTGCATATCGAGCGACATCCTGCATGAAGTAAACAAGCTGTTTGGCAGTTTTAGGCTTATAGTACAACTCAGGTATGGTCATAATGGCATCAGCGCCGGCTTCCTCTGAATATGCTGCCTGAAAAATAATAAAATGTACCGAATATTTAGAATTTTTTAACAATATATTTTTAAGTGTGGAAGAGCCATGTTTCGGCACGAATGGGCCGGCTCGACCGGAGTGATACCACGGCCTCACAGAAAACCGACGTGAAGCAACGTTTGCGTTGTGTTTCGTCGTGTGAGTGAGGTTACCGGAGGCCCAATTACCCTGCCCTTCCCCAATCTCCCCAATTCCTGAATCCCCAACGATCCTCAAACTCCTAACCCCCAAAAAGCCGGTAACGCACTCGTATAACGCCTCTGGTGTTCCAGGTGTCCATGAGCGACGCCGATTGCTTAGCATCAGGTGATCCGTTCGCCCGTTTACCGGCTTATGCCATAAAAAAAGTGTAAACTTTGCTGTACACAACCGAAGGTACCTATACTAATTTGCGTTTAAAATTTTGTAAAACAAAAAACATTCATTTACTTAAGTTTACTTTTGTCATTAATTTTACATAGTTTTGATCGAGTTCTTAACCAAATACTAAGGATCACAAACATAAGAGTCGAGACTAATATGCTTTCATGATAACTTACAAGTGTTTGTGCGTCAGGCAATGGTCTACCTCCAACTTGTATGATGACTGAGAGGTTGAGTGACTTGGACACACTTAGCCAAGCATCTATCAGATGCTTCATATCTGTTACATTTACAGTAGGACCTTCTCCTGCGGTTCCTGCCACTGCGAAAACAAAAAAAAACATAATTCTAAAATCTTTAGTGGTCGGAGTCGCGGAGAACCTAACGGGTTACCGGGGCTCTGGCTTGAAGTGCAGGAGAGGGAATGGGGTGGTTTTTAGTCAGTAAGAGTCTGACAGTCCCTCCCGCCTCACCCAGACGGGACGAGTCATAAGATGATCGTCCCTCATTAAAAAAAAAATAAAGCTGGTTTTAGAATCGCGCTTGATCGCAGACTGACCGTTGACACTGACAGCCGAGATATATGAATTTTAGGTACCATACGCGCAGATAGTTACGCGTAATCCCAAAACGCTTCCCAGAACTTCATACATATCTTGGCTATCAGCGCTGACGGTGCGCATGCCGACAGCGTCAGACTAAAACCAGCCTAATAAAATATGGAACCTCCATGCCTTGCTACACATTACATTTCTAGCTTCATTAATATGTGTTAGATAACAGTTGTAATTACAGATGAAGAACATTGCGCTAGCGTTAATTGTTACGTTTTTGTGGTACCTATGTGCTGTGGTGGCTATGAAGTTCATTTTTTTTATTTCTTTGCTGGTTAACTTAGTTTTCACATCTTTATTTCTACGATTTCTAAATGTGTAAAGGTAATCTTCTAGATATATGACTCTTCTTAAGATAATAAAGTAGTCAGTCATACGAACCAAGGATGCCATCAACTCCTTGATCCTGTAAGTACTGGGCGTATTGAGGAATGACATTCAGGTTGAGGACTCCATCGCTGTCCACTGGCGTGAACACCGGGCATATTATGCCGCCAACGTTGAAGCACTGGAATTAATTAACATTTTCTGATAACCAATACAGGAAAATATAGTTTTTTATTTCATTAAAAATTCCTTTATATTGTAATATTTTTCACGGAATTTAAAAACGCAACATTCCATTATGTTTCATTGTAATTCATAACTTAGTTAGATATCTTTATTTAAACTACTGTAAAAATACTCTGATAGCTACATACCGTTTTCCTTGCTTCTAGTGACTGATAGAATACACAGAAAATTAAAATAAAACGCGATAAACGTTCCATGTTTTTGACAACTAAAACACGAATACAAGAATTTTATGACTACAAACTATTTATATGAGGAGATAATCGCACCAATTTTATTAAAAAATCGTGTGCGGGTAAAGCAAATAAATATAATAAATGTGCATGATAGGTGAACATTTATTTTATTAGTTTTAGTCTAAAAATAGGTACCTACCTAATGAACTGATAGCTATGCGTGTATCCTTAGTTTCTTTTTTTTATGGCATATTATAAGCCGGTAAACTAGCAGATGGATCACCTGATGGTAAGCAATCGGCGTCGTCCATAGACACCAGAGGCGTTACAAGTGCGTTACCGGCCGGGATTAGGAGTTTGAGGATCGTTGGGGATTCAGGGATTGGGGAGATTGGGGAAGGGGAGGATAATTGGGCCTCCGGTAACCTCACTCACACGACGAAACACAATGCAAGCGTTGCTTCACGTCGGTTTTGTATGTGGCCGTGGTATCACTCCGGTCGAGCCGGCCCATTCGTGCCGAAGCATGGCTCTCCCACACTTAAAACTTTTTTTTTAAAGCCAAGATATCATAATATCGAGGAGGAGTAATGACTGACTTATTACTTAGACTTAGTTAGGTTGGTATGCATCATATGTCTTAGTCGTTATATTCAAACGAAAATGCTTATAATGAATCTGCAGCAGTGCATCACAAATAATCCGGGCATCGATCGATCGGTACCCAAAATGAAAATCGAAAAGAGCACATCAAAATCTACAAAATTGCCGATTTTCGTAACTCCCGGAAATCTTTCCTGGTCACCCCCATATTTCCCTCCTTGATTATTATCGGACTAGAACGTAATTTGCATACAAATTTGAATGGAATTGCTTAAGATTCATAATTGACGAAAAGAGGATGTTGTCTTTTAAATATAATTTATTTAAACACATCTCGTGAAGAGATCTCTCTGTCAGAGGTTAAGCATTGCCATACAATAAATAGCCTTCTGGGTACTTTCCCTACTGATGTCGATGCGGACGAATTTTTTGATGCTTTACCTCTATTTTTAGTTTTCTTTTATTGAATTTTTATCTTAAGTTATTTATATTTATTAATAGTTAGTATTTATTTTATTTAAGTTTATATTATTTGTAAATAAAAATTTGTCGTGAACAGGGGTAGATTATGATTTATTTACTACATAGCGGTTCATTTTGCAACTATACATTCATTATTACTTGTGATACACATAATTAATGGTCATATTGTGATGATTATTCACAAACACCAAAGAATATTTTTCTTCTAGGTCATTCTGTCATTTGTATCTGTACATCTAAGTCAACCAAAGAGTTTCTTAAGTCTTTTCTTTGGACACAGTTCAATGGTACCAGGGGCGGGCGAGTTGGCCCCACCCTTATCCCGGTCGTTAGCTCCATAGCAGTTTTCATTGATGGAACAAAATCACCTGAAAGGATTACGCTAAGCTTTAGAATTATAATGATAACTATCTAGGGTCCAAAGGATAGAACTTAGCTTCATAATCTGATCAGTTTGTTGGTTAGTTATACTTATACATATATATGTATATATACAAAAATGGTAGGAAAGCCAGGGGTGTGATCTACAATCGATACCGAAGCTAAAAATATAGTACCTATTTAGAATTTTTGTCTGTTTGTCTATGTCTGGAATAAACTCAAGAAGTACAGAATGGATTTACTTCAAATTTTGCATCAGTATTATTATTAACAACATATTATAGGTTACATATTATCACGCCATCATCTACAGGGGAGGAGCTATGAAAAACCGTCCAAAGTCAATATTCCACGCGATTTGCAAACGAAGTCACGAACTCAGCTAGTTAACTATAACCACTGGTGGGAATTGAATAATTCTTTACCTGTTGGATGGTCCATTTATTCCAAGTTATGATAATATGGATTTTAAAAAAAAAACATCGTATGGCTGCTCCCGCCCGGGTGAGGCGGGAGGGAGGGTCAGACTCTTACTGACTTAAAACCAACCCGTTCCTTCTCCTGCACATCAAGCCGGAGCCCCGGTAACCCGTTAGGTTCTCCGCGACTCCGAATCGGTATAGGCCCTGTTGGGCCCCATCTGTGGTGGTCTGTGGCTCTTTGAGGCGCGCGCGGAACGAGACGTGTCATGATAATATGGTAGAGGAGTAATGACAGACTTCTATAGTGAAAAGTGGGTGTTTCATTGTACAGTGGCATTAAGTGCACCTCTGCCTACCCCGTCGGGGATAAAAGGCGTGATTTTATGTAGTCCATTTATAGAGAAGACAATAAGATAATTATCACGCTACGGTCAAAAGAAGCCGAGCATCAGGTGAAACCGCGAGGGAGTCACTATCATATGATGAATATCTAGGATCTAAGGTTGATTGTATAAGATAAGAAATAATTCAAAAACCCAAGTAGATTACGAGATTGAATGAAAAGAATGTAAGAGAATTAACGTTAATATTGGCGTATCTACAATTACCTGTTAACATTAATAGAGCATTGTCTCTCTTAAATTAATTCTGTTCATTTCTTTGGTGTGAAGTTTAAGACAGTATTTAGTCTTGTTAATGATGAAGTCAAAGTTAGAATCATTCATTAATTTTATATTAGACTAAAAGATAGTTTAGAACATGTACATGATAACAAAAAGCTTATTCAAAGTTTAGCTTAGCCCGTACGCGTCTGACCAGAAACAGACCCGAGCGTACGGCGCGTCGCGTTCCGCGCGCGCCTCAAAGAGCCATCAGACCACCACAGATGGGGCCCAACAGGGCCGATGCCGATTCGGAGTCACGGAGAACCCAACGGGTAACCGGGGCTCCGGCTCGGCGTGCAGGAGAAGGAACGGGGTGGTTTTTAGTCAGTAAGAGTCTGACACTCCCTCCCGCCTCACCCAGGCGGGAGCAGACATTCGATGATTTTCCCCCCTTAAAAACAAAGCCCGTACGTCGAGACGGCAATATTAGCACAGAGGGGAGAAAGGTTAAATTTCAAGCTTCATATTAAGATATTCCAGATTTTTTCTATATTAAAACATTCTTTAACCTCTTGCTTGTCGCAGAAATTATATAAAATGGCAGAACAAGATCGCGATATCTTACTTAGGTAATTTTTTAATGCAGTAGCATAGTGTCGTTTTAGGCTCTAAGCACTGATGAAATGAATTAGATTTTGATTACAACTTTGATAACATATTAAATCGATAGAAATGCTATTAAATCACCTTTGGAAGCAATAGCATCTACCAAAGCATTTAGTCGTCTTTGAAGAAGTTTCCCTTTCACAACTTCTCCGTCTTTCACGGCTTGCCTGATATTATGGACCAGTTCTGGAAATAGATTGACCACAGTGGCGATACTTGAATCATGGCCCATTAGGACAGATGGTGCAATATGCTGAAAATAAAGAAAAAAATTAGGAATCTTCTTCAAATTCTTTTGTTTTAAGAAAAGCACAGGCTTGTGACCAGTGAGAGAGTTTTCTTTTCATAGTTCGATTCACATGGCTAACTGTGGAGATATATAAGTTTCGTCATTGATACTTCCTCATTGTGGCATTGTACCGTCATTACCGAGGGTCATAAACCGCCATGGGAAACCAATTTCTCTTTAATGGCAGTCCCGTATCAGCCCCCATCCTGACACATGAGAGTATACTCATTTCAGTGTCAGTGATGCAAAAGCAAAAAAAATATATACATACATATTACGTGAAAATATGCACTTTGGTCTCGTTAGGTTGATTATTCGATTAATCATTGCTGTGAATTAGTAAAATTTTAAAACATTAAAACTCACATGGTTAGCAATGAAGATTCTTTGATCTGAATCCAATAAATCTGATACTTGCTCTGCAACATTCAAATCAGCTTTCGCTCCTTTAAAATTAGGAAGTTTGGAAGAAGCTGACTTAAACAACTCTTTCATATTTACTGAAAAGAAAAGTATAGGAAATGGATCAATTATGGTAACATATATCTTTGTTAGGCCTGGTCAATAAAGTCAAAGTCAACGTCAAAATCATTAAGTCATATAAGAACACAGTACCTATTAAGATAAAACGAATTAAAGTTCAGAAGTGGGACGTATAAAACGTCCCTAGAAGTGACGTCACGCGATATTTCAAATCAATATATTGTCGAAAGTATTTGTTTCTGTTAGAGAATAAAAATTACATGTCTAATGTTTTAAAATAATCTATCAGACGGACTTTAAAATAAAAATTAGTCATCTACCATATAAACTCACCATTGACTCCAGACATCATTGGAAAGTCATAGTACAACAGAGGCTGAGTTGGGGCTGCGGCAGTCACTTTTTGCAAGTAACTTATCAACTGATCCACAGTCCTCGGCTTGTAGTACAGTTCCGGGAGAGTCATTATACCGTCGACGTTCAACTTCTCTGCGTGTTTGGCCTAAGACAATGGTGGAACATAAAACAGATAACTTATATTGTTCTCCTAGTTAATCAAAACCCTGTGTCTTATGTGAGCGATGAGTAGTACAAAACATAGTTTTTTGCTTACGTAGCTGTCTGCCTCGCACAGCACAACTATAGAACGATCTGTCGTCGGCAGTATCTTCGAACCGATACAAACTTCAAACCTTCAAGAAAAGAGCGTATTCCTTTTTAAATGGCTGGCGACGCACCTGTCACCTCCTCTGGAGTTGCGGGTGTCCATGGGCGGCGCTGATAGCTTACCATCAGGTGATCAGTCTGCTCGTTTGCCTCCTATTTCATAAAAAAGGACCACCCAGTTAGGACCCAGGAAATAACAAACTCAAACTCAAAAGCATTTATTTCAACAAATATGAAATAAATAATAGTCTGTCAGTCTGTCCGTCAGTGAAGCTAGGCGCTCGTTCCAAAATGTCGATTCGAGTGGAGAAGAACGAGGAAAAAACTCCATTCGTTACTCTTTTAAAAAAAGTCTGTTTTACATTGCTCTGATACATATTCCAATATTGTACACACGTGTGAGAATAATGTAAAGACATACCTGACGCAACATACAAATAACAGAACGTACAAAAAAAAAATAAAAAAAAAATAGCATCTTAGTATTCGCGTTAGATAAATAAGCATATTTTCTTATTTTGTTTAAGTTAAGTATCAACAAAAAACGAATGTTAATATTACCAGTTCCAATACATCAGGTAAGGGTGCTCCTCCAACCTGAGCAACGACGTTAATATGAACTGGCTTAGCAACAGACACCCAGGCTTCAAGGAGAGACTTCCTTTCTTCCATGTTCAGGGACATACCTTCGCCTGTGGTTCCACACACTGAAATCGAACCTCGTCTACAGTACCTACTCTTATCCGGAAAGAATCTTTCTTGATTTTTTGGAAGTTTATTATGAGTGATTACTTTGTGCCATCTACTGAGAATTTCGGAATATGTAATAACAATTATTTTCTAAGTGCTTATTTTCAAGTTACTTCAGAAATTGGATTTGTAAAGATTAAATTCAATTCATGATTGCTGATGCATTTACCAAGAATACCATTGACCCGGTGTTTCTTCAAATGTTCCATGTAAGTAGGTATGACAGACAAGTTTACAGCTCCCGTCTCTGACATGGGAGTAAATACTGGTGCCAACATGCCTTCTACTTCAAAAACCTGTAGGCAATAGAAACAATGTATGGATTATTTAAATTTTTAGTAGTCCAGAGTACAATACATGGTCTGTTTATTCATCGTGTGGGTGTTCAGAGAGACAGCAAATGGAGTTCCTTGCTCGTTCTTCTCCACTCGAATCGACATTTTGGAACGAGCGCCTAGCTTCACTGACGGACAGACTGACAGACTATTATTTATTTCATATTTGTTGACGTTTCAAAAGTACCAAATTATGGTTTAATTGAAATAAATGCTTTTGAGTTTGAGTTTGAAAGTTTGACAGAGACTGGGCCGCAGCAGGTATATCAGAGCAGTTCTCTGATAAATTTGAACCTTTTAATGCAATCTCAAACTCGTCTAGAAAGTGTGGATATAATATGCCATTTTGTGTAGAGGAGCCCTAGTTCAGAAGTGGACTTCCTCAATCTATTTGATAACATTATGACATACGTAGATTGTATTCATCAGTTTCTTTGTTTCTAGCAACTGACAGAAAATATTAAAAATATAATATAATGCGATAAACTTTCTATATTAGGGAAATTTGTAATACGGTTTCATGATTGCACGCCAATTTACAATTTTTTACATTTACAATTAGGAGAAAATTGCACCAATTTTGTACGCATTATTGAGGATGAGGTGATAATTTTATTTATTATTGTTGGTTTTGGTGATGAACGAGTAGTTAACTTAATTAATGTAATTTTGAAAAGCTTGGCCGGCTAATAAGTAATTGCTTTATTACAGTTTTAACAAAGCAAGAGTTGTGGTAACTGAGAAAAGTCTCCGTTTTGACCTATCACGGACCAAAAGGTAGTGTAGTTCGAAATCAAATATTTCAAAATTAAGCATTCCCAAAAGTACATAAATTAACATCTACGTACATACATTAGACGCTATTGTTTAAGTATGTATAATAATAATAGTGTGGGTGTAATCTAGTATTAGCTCGAACTAATCTGAGATCATTGACCGCACTAGAGCAAGTCCTAAGTTAGGACTTGCTCTAAGTTTACGAAAACTATGTTAGGACTCCTAACATAGTTTTCGTAAACTTTCAATTGTTTGGTTTTATGAATATGTACTAAGTCACTATTTTCCTGTTGACCTAGATTTACTTATGTTGGTTGTGGTACACATAAGATTATACTACGATTGAATTAAAAAGTATTGTGGGCTGGGGAATAACCGGATTAATAATATTATAAGGGTTGCTGTGCAAAAAATAAGCGCTATATAACTACGTATAGACTACGGTGTTATCGTGGAGAACCTAACAGTCGCGGAGAACCTAACGGGTTACTGGGGCTCCGGCTGGAAGCGCAGGAGAAGGAACGGGGTGATTTTTAGTCAGTAAGAGTGACACTCCGTCTCGCCTCACCCAGGTGGGAGCAGTGATTCGATGATATTACCCCCTTAAAAAAAATACGACGGTCTTACTACGTAATATTTTAATACAATTTAGTTGGTTGTGAAAATGAGAGTCTTCTTATTTGTGACGCTAAGAGTTACTTAGCGTAAGCGAGCACCTAGGCTAACCTGTACTGTTAGGTGTCGCTTATAGGTTGGTGAAAACTAAAAAAATTTTAAGTGTCACCTATTTTAACTTAGGGCTTTCTTAAAAAAAAGATAGTTTGGTGAAAGCGTAATTAGGCTTTCAGAAATATGGTAGAAATACATTGATTAGTGATTGTCTTAAATAATTCATCATCATCAGCCTATAAGTAGCCACAACCAAAAGCCTCTTCTCACACAGAGAAGGTTTGAGCATTAATCACCACGCTTGCTAAATGTGGGTTGGCGATTTCAAATTTATAATTAGAAATTATAAGCCCGTTTCTTACTATGTTTTCCTTCACCGTTTGTCAGTGTCTAAATAATCTTAGAAAGTACATATAACTCGGAAAAAGTCACATTGGTACTTGCCCTTGGTAGGTTCCATCATATCTTAAATAATAAAGTCCTACAAAATATTAAAATGTGAGTACTACAGGCAGACTACTACGTCTAATGCTTATTATTATACACCACTAAGAAGGACATGAAAAATGTACTTACCATTGTAAAAAAAATTATTAAATATGTAACTAAATGTGCAGAATCGTGCAAACAAGTATAAGACCGCGAGATAACTGAATGATTTCATACAGATATCTGGAAACATGATACTAGGAAAGGGACAGTCGGTGAGGGGTATAAGCTATCACTATAGTAGACGTACCTATGTAGTCAAGATAATATCTAATTACGTAGTTACTTAGGACTAGGAGCTAGAAGCTCACCCTGGCTTTGCCAGGTGCAATTCATTAAATCTATATATCTTTACTTATAATAAATCTGTAGAGAGGTCAATTCTGTACATAAAATATATTTAAAAAATAACTATCAAGGGGTGGTTAGGGATCGCTACTGATGCCAAAAATGCAATCAGTAAAATTTTTGTCTGTCTGTCTGTCTGTCTGTATGTTCGTTATGGAAACAAAAACTACTCGATGGATTTTAACGAAATTTGGCACAATTATTCTTCATACTCTTGGGCAGGTTATAGTATACTTTTCATTACGCTACGATCAATAGGAGCAGAGCAGTGAAGGGAAATATTGGGAACACGGGAGAAGTTACTCCATTTTTTAAGCTTCCGTCGCGTGTGCAAACTTGTAGGTTAAAGCTGCATAGAAATCATGTATGACGGAAATATTCTCCTTAAAATTATATTAATTCTAAAAATTATATATATAGGTAGATCATAGTCTGAAGTGATACATAGGCATTTTACCCCTGGGATCGCGGGCGAAGCCGCTGGCAGAAGCTAGTATTTTATAAGTAAGTGGGAAACTGGACTGGGTACTTATATCAATTTTCGTACCACACAGTTCTTACTCTCAATGATAGAATTAATAACAACAGTGTCCACAGCAAGGAGACATCGATCTTAAAAAATTAATCTGTCAAAATTGAAAATTGGTAGTGTCATGATATTATCGTATTTTTTAGCAACAAATATTTATTTAAATTGAAAAGTATGGGTATTTTTTTCTTTGGATTCATGGTCTTGTAAAATTTATTTTAAATAATATGGAAGAGCCGAAGTGGGTGGTGAAGCGCCACCAAGGAGTTGAACTGTGGAATAAGCCCAGACGTTACGATTTAAAACGAGAAAAGAAAGTTTTAGTCATTTACACTGGCGGTACCATTGGAATGGTTAAAACGGACGAAGGTGAGCTAGTTCGTTTGTTTAAATTAAGTAAAACAGATCCCAAAAATTATAAATCCTGGTTGTGGCCTGAAACCAGTCAAGTACCTACAGTCAAACAGTTACGTGAGCAAAAGCGGAAAAACATAAAGAGCACCTTAGGTAAGCATCTCAAGAGCGCTCCTAATTTTTTATTGACGTCGCCTCCACTCTAAGGTCACACGGAGCCCCTCTGTACCCTGGCACCCTACGCACTTGCTTAATTTGCCTTAGGGATAATACTGCTCTGTACGGCTGAGTAAGCCTTAAGTATATTGTAATTTAAATAGGTATTCAACTAAATTAACTAAAATCGCGGGTTACTCACTGAATATACTGAGAAAAGCTCTACTAGTTTCGAACCACAGAGGGGTTGTTCTTCCTCATGAGCAGCGTGCGCGGTCGCGGCGATGACGCGCAGCCTACTGACACTGACGATTTTTAGTTAATTTAGTATGTTTCACGATAGTTATTATAAAAACAGGTATTCAACTCTTTATAGGGCTTATGTATGTATGAGCTTTTCAGAACCAGTAAAAATGGTCATCTTTTCCAAATAAATTCATCTATTAAGTTATTGTGTTCCTGAGGAAACTTGCATAGCAACAAATTGCAATTGTTGCTTTACAGTTTCAGATACGGTTTGCGTAAAATTATCATAGCATTCGTTGCTATTGCTAGTTGTTGTCATGATTTAAATTACAGGCTCCCCAAAGTTTATTATTAATTATTTAATACTTATCTTTATTTACATATTTGGGTACATAAGAATACCCTCACAAGATTTGATAGGAAGGATTTTGACCTCTGTGATATTTTGGGACATAATTATATACCTATTATGTTAATTGTTAGGTTTATCTCTTAATTTAAGCATACGCAGGTCTAATGTCAAGGCCAATCAAATCACGCAGTAGTAAGAATCTAAACTGGAAATGTCGCATAACTAAAGAAGTTGTAAGTGCCATCTTATATTTATGAACGTGCCGATAACGCGAGACTTGGAAGCGATTTCAGTCGCCAGTCACACAGTCTGAGTTTCAGTGCCGCGTGGAACGCAGCGTTGTTGGCTGTATACATCGTTGACGTTTGCGCGAAATAAAAAGTTCCTAAAAAAGTATAACTGTCAAAAAATGGCGGTAAATGGTGATGATTTGAAAAAATTGAATAATATCGATTTGATGAAACTTGGTGCGGACCTTCATGTGGACTTTAATACGGGGAGAAGATTGTCAAAGGCAAATGATGCCGGTGAAAGGCGTGTTTTGGTTATATACACCGGTGGCACAATTGGCATGGTGAAGACCGACGATGGTGAGTGTTTGGTCTAAATAGTTTTGTGGAGTTTCTCTAAAAATACTGTCCTATTTTGAGTATACGACAAAAATAGATCGTTTTGATTCTCTACCGAATATTAAACGTGCTACTGTATCTAGTTGTTATTGTATCTAAGGGAACATTGTGTTTTCCAGAACTATGTATGTTATGATGTGTTAAACATAAATAAATATTGTATTTATTTCATACTTCATTTATGACAACGCAAAGAGACATTCACGCAAATTGATTTTGATCTAATATGAAATTAAAGAAGTGACAGTAATTAATATTAGCCTCGAAATGTTTTCAAACATTAGTAAATAAACTCTGATAGAGTATTACTTAAAAAGTTAAAAAGTAATGTTTGTTTATTGATTGCGATATTATCTGAAGGAGTTTTCTGATTTGTACCTATAGTCAGAATTTTAATTAGATTCCAGATTTGACAATAGCTACTGTCATTTTGTGAAATAATGATACCACATACAATAGTGTAGTGATGCACACAAAAATCGATAAACAATCAATGTGTGTGTTTTATAATAAATGTTACAGAAAGTGACAGGATAGGAATAGCGATGACGGCGACAATTTATAAAATAACTTATTACCATAATACATCTATCTGTTTTATTTGTCATGTTCCTTCATGATTACATTTTTTTATTTATTTCACACACAATTATATAACAAACGTCTCAGATCGTTAATTAATCGTCAAAACTAAATTATCGGTTCAGAAATATTTAATTTCCTGATATAATTAGTTCACGAGAGTAAAATTATAATTATTATAAACGAGAAGAATCGATCCAGAAATATTGCATTTCCATATCGAATAATTTCGCAACGTCACTATTTAGTACTTGTCATAACGTTGCCACACTGAAATTGTCAAATCTGGAATCGAATTAAATTCCGAGTATAAATAATTACTTTCTTAGAATTGATAAAAGTATGAATAAAGGTCTTATTTATTATGATTCGTAAATCGTAACTATTACATGTTGTGTGAACTTTAACTTGTTATTGTTGACATAAAAATAGTATCAACTATAATAATTATAACACAGTGCTATGAACCAGTTTCATGAATTAGAGTTTTAATGTAAGTAGGTACCTAATTTACTTAGTTTTTAGTGCAAAAGGGCCAATCGTTTTGAGATTTATTTTTCTAGTAAATCAAATAATCAGTTTGTTTATCGTTCTGCAATGAAAATCGCGATGTTTATAATTGGGTATTTTCCTGGGTCAAAAATAAATTATTTTGATTTTTCAATCCAATTAAAAATTCAAAAATAATTACAATATCGTTCATATATTTGACGAAATACTTAATTTTCGATTTATTCTAGCAATTTTCTTCAGAAATAAATGTGTTATTTGATTCGAAAATACGATGACGTCATAGGATAGTTTTTCGTACAAAATTCATAGAACAATATCGTTTTTGAAGTTTCAATAAAAGTATTGAATTTGATTAAGTATGTAGTTGTAAAATATCGTATTGCATTCGTTGTTTTGGTAAATTCGATCTTTACTATGAGATTAATGACAGTAAAATGTCGATGATTGAATTTGATACATTGTACATTATCCGGAAAACTAACTCGAAAGTGACTTCGTAAAATGGTTAATAGTTATAGTCATAACGTATTGATAATGTGATCCCTTTTCATATTATATTATCATCTTACAATAATGAATGGGCAAACGAATTATTATCTTAATGAATAGATAAAGAACATATTCACCAGTTCCACTTCCGACCAGTTCTTATTTGTTATCAATCATCAGTAGCTATATAAATATTTATTTATATATTTGATGGCACGATTGGTGCGGCGGCTGGGAAATTAACTGTCGCGCAACGTGTAGCAGGTTCGATTACCGCACGGAACAATTTGTGTGATCCACAAATTGTTGTTTCTGGTCTGGATGTGTCTGCATGTGAACTTGTATGTTTGTAGACGCCCCCACGACATAGGAGAAAATTTTAGTGTGAATTTAAAAAAGAAATAAGTTAAATGATCCACTTTAGGTACATACTTACTTATTTTTTTTATGAAAAACTTTTCTTACACCATTTGCATTAGAGTTCATATTAGTAGCTAAGTTGAAATAAGGTGGAGGTTTGTATTGTAACTTTCGTGAGACATACTAAATAAATTATTATGTTTTCGGCTTACTCACGTAATAATTTAACGAGGAACTCAACTAGTTTCAAGCCATGCTAGAGGCTCATATTTATGAGCAGCATTTCGCGACGCGGCGACTGTCGCGCTGCTACTGGCTACTCGAGTCGAGGTAGAGGTTTGAAAAATCGATATTACTAGTACCTAAGTAAGTACTTATTCTAGACACATATCTAGACGCCGCGGCACCTGCACCGATGCATTTTCGTTTGTCCATCTTTCTCTTTCTCACTGGCACACCACACGTACCTACTTATCTTAAAACAGTATAACTTTTGAACCCAGAATATATAGTACAAGAAAAATAGCAATAGAGCACTGATGATTGATGACTACAAATATTGCAATACCGATAAATTGACGAACTAACTATTATAGCTAACTAGGTATATTGACTTGCTATATTGCTTGCAACATAATCAGTTCTTGAAGAGTAGGAAAGTTCTTAAGACTAGATAAGTAGCATTTCCAATTATGTAGCAGTTAAAATTGACGTAATCACTACATAGTATAAAACAAAGTCACTATCCGCCGTCTCTCTGTCTATCTGTCCCTATGTATGCTTAGATCTTTAAAACTACGCGTCGGATTTTGATGCGGTTTTTTTAATAGATAGAGTGATTCTTAAGGAATGTTTATATGTATAATACATGTGTATTGCACCTGTGCGAAGCCGGGGCGGGTCGCTAGTAATATATATTTTTCTTCCTTTTCTTCTATCAAATGTGCCCTAATTCGTGTCCTTTTTCCAGCAATTTTAATTGCTTTTTTATTCATTATTTTTTATCTAGGCCAGATAATATCATCTTAAGTAACTTCTGAAATTGAAACACGTTATTATAATCCTGTTAATACGTGTGTTACGTATAGTCAATAATACTGCTCGTTTGACGTACAAATGTTAATTTGTTACGCATATTGGGGGCGCGCCATATTTGTTGACAATTTGTTCGTCACGAAAATAAGGTAATATTAACCTTTACTACGAGTTATAACATTAGGTTTAGGCTTCACTTTCAGATACCTATCATGTGGGTACTTTGGTACTTACATCAACATTATAAAGGATTTGCGACTAATTTGATTGAGTCCTGGATATAATGGTTTACTAGGTGCATTATTGGTGAACAATTCACCTTTATGATCCTCAGTATAAGCCATCAAGGTAGCTAGTACATAACTAACTTGGTTTAACCATACTCTATAATGTACGTATCAAGGTTAAAGCAGAGTAAAAATATTATTGTAAATATTTACTTTTACGTTTTATAATATTGAGATAAAATGTACCAAGACGTCGTGCGTATTATATTTACTGTTCAATAAATAGATACTTTAAGCCTATTCTTAGGTCAACTAATAGTTCAATAATGATTCATTGAAGTACAACTGCTGAGTATAGTAGGTCATCATCATCAACAGCCTATAAACGCCCACTGCTGAGCAAAGCCTCTTCTCACATGGAGAAGGTTAGAGCATTAATCACCACGCTTGCTCAATGCGGGTTGGCGATTTGAAAGTTATAATTAGAAATTATAAGCCGAGGTTTCCTCACGAAGTCACGATGTTTTCCCTTCACCGATTGTCAGTGGTGTCTAAGTAATCTTAGAAAGTACATATAACTTGGAAAAAGTCACATTGGTACTTGCCGTTGGTAGGTTTCGAACCCGCACCCTCATGCATGAGAAACAGGCGTCTTAAACCTCCGAGCCCCCACGACTCAGTATAGTAGGTATGCTCTCATAATGGCGAAAATGGTCACCATTTTTACATAATATTGCATAATAGGTTAGTCATACCATAAGTAATCAGAGAAGAGACTCTTCTCCCATCTTGTAATTATCATCTACCTCTGCTTATTAATTCAGTATGTAATCTGTCATTCTCATTTAATTACAAGTCTAAGAGTATAAACAACTCCTTCCTCTTATCACAATCTTAAACTTCAATCTCATTATGCGATGATTGTGTACTTTGATAAGGAAATTAGATTGTTGATTGTTAAATGACGTATCGCTTAGGTGTACATACGTAATTTATAATGTCTATCTAAGTGTATTTTCTATTGAATAATGTGTTTCAATTACCCTTCAATTTCTCATTTTATATGATAGGCCATTTTATATCTTACCCCATGTTTCGTTGGTCACGTTGTCGCAAATGTTGCTGTTGAGAAAGTGGCGTCGTATTGATGTTTTTATGGGATAATCCGGTAAACGAGCAGACGGATCACCTGATGGTAAGCAATCGGCGTCGCCCTGGACACCTGGAACTGGAACACCGGAGGCGTTACAAGTGTGTTACCGCCACCGGCCTTTTGCGATTAGGAATTTGAGGATTGTTGGGGATTCAGGAATTGGGAAACGGGGCGGGTAGGGGTCAATTGGGCCTTCGGTAACCCCACTCATATGACGATTCTCTGGTTGAATTGGGTTGAATAAAGTGTTGATCTTTCTTTTCGATTTTTTGCCACTAATAGCACTGAGTCTACAGTTGTGACCACGTTACGTAGGAGTAAAAAAGTCAAAATCATTTATTGCAATTAGCACATTTGAACGTCAACAAAAAAAATATTAACAGACCCCTAGTGAAGCTGTTTGCTCAATCCAAGGTATAGATCCCGATGGAGAAGAACAAGTAAGAAACTCCATGGGTTATTCTTTTTCAATCAAGTTCACACTACAATTCTTTAATTACATAGTGGTGTTTAAAGAGATTATTTTTCCCGTGACATCCAAACTCGGAATAACAATTTCTATATCACAGAAATACTTGTTCTATGCGGTTAGGAGACTTGACTTGACTTTGACTCGTAACTCCGATCATCAACTCAACTTGTAACCATGTACAAACCATTTTGCGCCAGTATTATAATATGAGATTCATATAATAAGAAGCCGCCTGTCGTCTATTACAACTGCTATAGTACTTGTTTCTATAATAATATCAATTTGCCTCCAGCCGTGCAATATTATGGAAATCTCCCACAGGGGGTTAATGGATTATACAATTGTAGGTACATGTAGAGTCAATGTAACATGATGCTTTTTATTTGCCGCCGGATTAAGTAAAATGAGGAGACATTGTTCTATGTCCAAAAGGGACTATAGATGTGCACATAATAAATGTAACTCGCTTTTACTTTTCGCCATTTATATTATTTATTTATTTATCATTTCATGTACCTACACCACACAGACAATATTACAAAGGACAACACATTATAAGCATGAGGTACATAGGTACTGCATATCCCTTAAGCCTTAAGGGATTTCTTCCTGCAGACCTGCGATTATTGTTACAAATCGGGAGAGTGTCTATTACCATATTCCGGACACAATTTCATATACCATGTTACTAGAAGATTTTTAAAAGTAACGAAACACGTGTCGCTGCTTCGTTTGTAACGGAATGCTGTTCATGAATATGAGTCCCTAGAATGGCTTGAAACTAGTCGAGTTTCTCGTCAAACAGTTTTTTTACATAAGCCGGTAAACGAGCAGACGGATCACGTGATGGTAAGCAATCGGCGTAGCCCATGAACACCTGGAACATCAAGGCGTTACAAGTGCATTACCGGCCTTTTGGGTCGCGGAGAACCTAACGGGTAACCGGGGCTCCGGCTCGACGTGCAGGAGAAGGAACGGGGTGGTTTTTAGTCAGTAAGAGTCTGACACTCCCTTCCGCCTCACCCAGGCGGGAGCAGCCATTCGATCATTTCCCCCCTTAAAAAAAAAAGGCCTTTTGGGAATTGGAAATTTGAGGATTGTCGAGGATTCAGGGATTGGGGAGTCTGGGGCGTTACGTGAGCAAGCTGAAATAATTAATAACAAAAACCAAGTAGCATTATGCCCGGCTTCGAAATCGAATCTGCGACTCCGTGCTTTATAGTCGCGCTGGCGGCCACTCGATCAATGACGCAGTTAAGTACATTTCAAGAGTACTTTGTAAGTAACCTTTCCCATAATGTGAACAAATTATGTTATTCCAAGAAGTGATTTATTTTGCGGAACATTGCAATCATTGTAACGTTAATACGTTCACTTGATGCAATATTTACGAAGTATTGAGTTGCTTTAACACTACATATTTCGAAATTTGAAATTCGAAAAGATTGATGACTGTCGATGAAGCGAAAGAGGTATGTAGGAATCGTAGTAATTGGCGTTCCATAGTCTCTGCCTACCCCATGGGAGACAGGCGTGAAGTTATGTATGTATGTATGTATTATTAGAACGCAGTTTAACGAGAAACTAAAAAGCTAATCATGGGATTAACACGAACTTTCGTTATTAGTACATGTCAAAAGCGTTTATGAGATCGGATCATCAGAGTTTAGATTAAATAGTTGACGGTTACAATTGATAGAACAATAGGTTGCGGTCACCGGTGACCGCTCGGTGTTTGACAGTTTAATTAATAATTTGCGGATCGATCTCAATTTTTGTTAGAACCTACATGTATCTGCGACTGCACGGTTGGCGCGGTGGCTGGGCAACTGGCTGCCGGTCTGATATATTGTTGTTTCGTGTCTGGGTGTCATGTGTATGTGATATTGTATGTTTGTAAACGCACCCACAACACAGGAGAAAATCCTATATATAATAGTGTCGGGCAACGTTTATTTAGAAATATCTACCTATATTAATAATTTCGTCAAGGGGTACGGTATACTCGATCGAAACATTACCTGAATAACAAAACATAAAAAAATATCGATTTCGATTTCTTTTCTTTTTTCTTTTCTTTTCTTTAAAGAAACGTTGCGTTCTTTAAATAAATTTTCTTTAATATTTTATCATTATTCATTCACTATACTTCACTAGTTCCAATAATATCGTTCGGGATACATAGGTATTTAAACTGTCAAACACCAAGCGGTCACCGGTGACCGCGACCTATTGTTCTTTAATTGTGTCTATAAAACCGGTACTCGACGAGTTAAGTTGTAATGTATATTATTATATTCATATACTGTGTCCTGACTTCCTACATAGTCGACGGTGTGTAATATAGGTAATTGTATACTTACCAACTCCTTTAAGTCAACAGTGGTTAGTAAACATTGCTACAGTGTTAGCGCCATTATTTTGCCTGAAGTAGGTAGGGCATGGTGGCCGTAATATAGGAAAATTGTTCGATTGGACATACGACATGATTTTCTAGTAGTTTTACTTTGGTATGTAGGTAAGACATTTCTCTCATAAGCTATATGGATGGTTATCGCTTGGCCTGTTATTGATCTAGGTTCTTTAGGTACGGTTTTATTTTGGTCTCATTTTGAGAGAATCTATTGATTTATTCAGTAGTTTAGGTACTGTGAGATTTTATCTTACTCATTGAAAAACTCAGAGATTTCTATTAGGTTATACATTTAACTCGTCGAGTACCGGTTTTATAGACACAATTAAAGAACAATAGGTCGCGGTCACCGGTGACCGCTTGGTGTTTGACAGATTAATTATGGATTTTCTGTCTATCGGGTACATTTTATCTTACTCTTTGCAGATATTATTCTATAAGATTAAATTTGTAACTGTCTCGTTGACCGAGTGGTCGCAAGTGTGACTGGCAAAGGGTCTCGGGTTCGATTCCGGGGTCGGGCAAAGTATTAATAGGTTTTTAAAAAAAATCTCAGTAGTAGCACGGTGTCTGGAATTGTGCCCGGTATATGGCAATAGGGTCACCCCCTATTACATGGGACTCATAACATAAATAGTGAAAAGTGGGTGTTACATTGTACAGTGGGATAATGTGCACCTCTGCCTACCCCTTCGGGGATAAAAAGCGTGATGTTGTGTATGTATGTTATGTAAGATTAAATTTATTGTTCACAGGACTGTCACCAGGCAAAAACATGTTCAAGCCCTCGATACGACGATATCCACAGCTTCATGACGAAAATTATCACCAGAAAATTATGAAAGCGTCGCCAGCAGACACGAGTTTGGAAAGTTTCTTTGTGTTACCAAGTAAGTTCATAAAAATATAACTCCCAATTTAAAATTACAATTTCATTGCTGTACTTAATGTTAGTTTGTCTTAGAAACTGATGACGTAACGTGGAGAATTTTGTACGATATCAAGGAGTACGACCCGCTGTTGGACTCATCGGACATAACTGAAGCGGATTGGGTGAAAATTGCTAAAGATATTCAGGTAAGTTAGACCTTTTTTTAAGTCCTGTTATAATTGTATAAGAAATAAGTGTGGGACAGCCATACTTCGGGCACGGGTACGAATGGGCCGGCTCGACCGGAGTGATACCACGGCCTCACAGAAAACCGATGGGAAGCAACGTTTGCGTTGAGTTTCGTTGTGTGAGTGAGGTTAACGGAGGCCTAATTACACTCCCCTTCCCCAATCTCCCCAATACCTGAATCCCCAACGATCCTCAATTTCCTAATCCCTAAAAGGCCGGTAATGCTCTTGTAACGCCTCTGGTGTTCCAGGTGTCCATGAGCGACGCCGATTGCTTTCCATCAGGTGATCCGTCTGCTAGATTACCGGCTTATGCCATGAAAATAAATCACTAACAAGCGGTTGAATATTGATTGTCAGTGTTTTTTTAATAGCACGATTATTTCGTTTTTTTATGTGATTGTTTTTGTTATAGAGTGACTACGAGCAGTATGATGGGTTTGTAGTCCTTCATGGCACAGACACGTTGTCTTATACAGCATCAGCTCTCTCCTTCATGTTCGAAAACCTCGGCAAGGCTGTTGTACTTACTGGTTCGCAGGTAAGCAGCTGTAGCCAAATGCCATTTAGCGCTTGTCTACATGTAGAATAGAAAACCAAATTATATGGAATTGACGTAAAAATTTGGACAATTGTCAGTGTCATTTCCATTCATTTTGATTTCTACTCTCTCTGTAGACAAGCGCTAAAGTGGCGTTTGGCTAAAGGCCCTGATCTGATCGAATTGTGTCGTGCTGGCAACTCTTCAGTGATGCCCGAAGCTAAGGTCTATAATTGATTCTGACCTCATTCTCTTTAGATTAGTAAAGGTACTCTTTCTTGACTACACGGTTGTCACGGTGGCTGGGCTTTGTAGCGGGATCGATTCCCACACGGAACAACTCTTTGTGTGATCCACAAATTGTTGTTTCGGTTCTATGTGTCATGTGTATGTCAACTTGTATGTTTATAAACGCACCCATGACACAGGAGAAAGTCCTAGTGAGTGCAAGGTTTTTTTTTTACAAACAAAAACAAACTATTATAGGTAGAAACGTGCACGAAGTAGATACTCTGAGATATGCATAGAAATATTTTTTTATTATGAACACCTAAATAAGCTTATAAAACCAACACAATACATGTTAGACAGTTTTAACTACATGACTTACGAATAAAAAAACGTAATGGCTTATTAAATGGAGCGACCTTCATTAACAAAGATGGATACGTTACTACGCATCTTCAATTGTTACAAAATTAAATTAATTGACCTGATAAAACCAATTGATGCTTTGACATGCTTGTATAGATAGATATTGATGGTCATTAAATTATGTCTATTGAGTTTTTAATGCCCGCTATATACTTTTTTAAGTCTATTTTTTTAAACTACGGTGCATATTGTTGCTGCTTTCCTAGTTTTTTTGTGGAAAGGAATGGAATGATGTTGCAGTCACATGTATGTTTCATGATTTTGAAAGATTTTTCGTTTTAAGCATTATGTTTTCAAATATAAAGCCTTGTTTGTGAAGAAATCAATAGGTAGGTGTAGGGGAAATTATTAAACGGAACTAATTTCGATTAAGGCCTTGATGGTGTGCTAATGATTGTAGATATTAGTCGTTACACCACTGTAATAAAAAAATGTCATAAAAAAACAATATACAGGTGTCCCTGAAGTCGACGATCAAATGGCACCATGTGATCGGCAAGGATCCTACAGTTATCAGAAAAATATTGAAAAAGTCCAAATCAGATAGTTTATAAATTACAATGACTTATGTGTTGTCCACGAAAAAGTACAACCTGTGCTAATCTTTTGACTCTTGTTGCAACAATTCTTCATTTTTTCGTCTGTATTTTTGCTTACGTTATCCTGAATAGTGCTTTAGTATTATGGAATCATAAATTCTGAGCTAACTGCTTTAGTTTGGAAAAAAATGTCGCTTTCTAACGAACCAAGTGTTCTTAATAAATTATTAGACTTACTTTAAGTGACTGTACTGAAAAAAATTGTACGACGGTAGTAGTGGCAGATTTCATAAAAGTTGGCACATTTACTATGGATTCTAAAATGGTATATCACTACCTACATTATATCCTCAATTCGACACAAAAAATATTTTTCAACGAAAACCCTGTTTCGAACAATTTATTTGTTCGTATAGACCATAATGCATTAATGTGATTGAGGCGTAAAAATATGCGACAAACGCAGAAATTATATGCCACCAGTCTATTTCTGCTTACCTCAGTGGGGCAAAGTCATGATTTTATGTATGATATACTATATATTTTAAAATATGAAATGTTTTGTTATTAGATTCCAATCTTTGAGCCCCGGAGTGACGGCGTGGACAACTTCGTGTCATCTCTCATTATCGCAGGGGGCTACAACATCCCGGAGGTCACCATTTTCTTCTACGGCAAATTGCTTCGGGGTAACCGGTATGTTTAACTCATCTTATCTTATCTTATATCTTATGTTATATAAAAATGAAACCCATTTCCCGTTCTCATGCCATTACTTGAGAACGGCTAGACCGATTTGGATGATTTTTTATTTGTCATGTTTATTATTGTCAGGAGAAAGTTCTTAAGACAGAAAAAATCCTGAAAATCTTACGGGAACGGGAGAAAACGAGATTGCGCGTACGAATTCGCGGACAGAAGCTAGTTATAAATATAAACTCTTTAATAAATCATTGTAATGATTAAAAAAACTAACTAAATTGTTTTTATTTTTTATAGAACGCGGAAAATATCCGTGAACAATTTTTTCGCATTTGACTCTCCAAACGCTGTCCCAATCGTGAAGGTTGGGCTGGATATGGAGGTAAATAAGGCTGCTATCTTCAAGCCCACTGTCATCGAGAAGTTCCATGTCCACGCCATGATGTCAAAGCATGTTTCTCATCTCAGATTGTTCCCCAGTATCAGCACAGAAGCCGTGAAATCTGCTTGCCAGCACCCTATTCAAGGTAAGTGAAAATTCATTCTGAAGGTGGTATACATTATTCAAGGTGTAGACAGCTATATTGTGTTTAAATGTTTATATACAGTTTTTCTTACAAAACATATTCCGTTAAACGATCATAATATTTATGAATAATGTAACTAATTACTTTATACAAAGGCGAGGAAAATAATCCAGAAATGGTTTATACTGGACCACTTTTTCTACTCTATCGTGAACGCGCTATAGTGATGCCATGAAATATGTGTTTAATCATACATTGCCTTTATTTCCTCTACTTCTTAGGTTTAGTGATGGAGACGTATGGCGCTGGTAATGTTCCATCAACTAGGCATGACATTCTGCAGGTGATAGAAAGAGCTGTAAAGAGAGGAGTCATCATTGTGAATATCACTCAATGCACTACGGGTGCAGTGGCTGCACTTTACAAGACTGGGCAGGTAAGATAGTCAAACTATTTTTTTTAAGGGGGGAAATCATCGAATGACTTCTCCCGCCTGGGTGAGGCGGGAGGGAGTGTTAGACTCTTACTGACTAAAAACCATCCCGTTCCTTCTCCTGCACGTCGAGCCGGAGCCCCGGTAACCCGTTAGGTTCTCTGCGACTAGATAGTTAAACTATAGAGTAAATTTTATGCTTCTTGGGAGGACCTTTGACAATCCAAGCACTTCGTTTCTTCATAATCAGCCTTTTTTCATTCACTGCTAAACATAGATCTGTATAGTAAGATAATAGTGTTTTCAAATAAAATATTGACATTCAGTCGAATTTGAACCTTTGCGACATACAGGAGTAAGTCGTAAGTCAGTTAGCTTGTTTTATACGTCGTATTCACGATCACTAAATAACTTTGTTCCCAACACCAAACAAGATATTTTGGTCAAATCTGTTATCTTGGATCGAGTTATTACTAAACTATTACAATAATAAAAGGAGGTTATTTTATGATGAAATCAAAGTCACCGTGTGGGACGGTAATTTCCTGTTATAACATTGGCCTTACTGACCGCAGATAACCTCTAATAAAAAAGGTTAAGATAAAGAACATCGCACCAAAGTTATTGTTAATGAAAAGTAGTGCTTTACCCTCAATAGCATTTTTTTTTAAATTAATAAAAACGTTACCCTATACTAGGATTTTCTCCTATGTCGTGGGTGTGTTTACAAACATATTATAAGTTCACCTACACATTACACCCAAACCCGAAACAACAATTTGTGGATCCACGGAATATAGAATGTGTGGATCACACACAAATAGTTGATCCGTGCGTGAATCAAACCCGCGACACGTTACGCGGCAGTCGGTTGTCCACCCGCCGCACCAATAGTGTCGTCATTGTTTTTGTATGTTCATTTTGCCTAGGATTTTTAAAGAGAAATATGTAAATTTCATCAAAATAATGGATGAAACATTTTGATGGAATGGTTAGCCAATTTGTAAGTGCTGATACCGATTACGTTCAAAAGAGATTTAATGTTTGATTCTTATGCCAGTAGTGCATTATTTTCTATCAAGAATATATGTCCTTTTCTTTGGTAGGTTATCACACAAACGCTTGTTTCGAGCGGGATAAAAAAATGGCCAAGGAGAAGTTGGTTGCCAACCAAGTAGTTAAAGTTTATAATATACTTGATCTTACAGAATATTTTTTTTATGGCATAAACGAACAGACGGATTACCTGATGGTAAGCAATCGGCGTCGCCCATGGACACCTGGAACACCAGAAGCGTTACCGGCCTTTTGGGAATTAGGAGTTTGATGATTGTTGGGGATTCGGGGATTGGGGAGATTGGGGAAGGGGGGAGGGAGCTGGGCCTCCGGTAACCTCACTCACACGACGAAACACAACGCAAGCGTTGCTTCACGTCGGTTTTCTGTGAGGCCGTGGTATCACTTCGGTCGAGCCGGCCCATTCGTGCCGAAGCATGGCTCTCCCACACTTAAAATTTATTTTAATGACAGTTTCTGCTAACAGGCAATAGCGAAGGCGGGAGTGATATCAGGATACGACATGACGCCTGAGGCTGCCCTTACCAAGCTCTCCTACGTGCTCACCAAGACTGAACTATCTTACCAACAGAAAGTTGATGTGAGTTACAAATAATTCTTTTATAAACTACTAGCTTTTACTCGCGGCTTCGCTCGCGTCACAAAAGGATAAAAAGTAGTCTATGTGATATATACCAATACACACAGCGCCATCTATACCAATACTTTTGTTTTCCCTCGGGAATATCAAATTTTCCAGGTTAAAAAGTACCCTATTACTTAATCCGGACTTCTAACTTTACATCTGCAAAAATTCAAAGCAATCGGTTTAGTAGTTACGGCGTGAAAGTGGAACAAACAAACAAACAAACTCACTTTCCGATTTATAATATTAGTAAGGATGTTTAGGAAACCACCGAAGTCGGTTAATTAATATACTAAAACCTTCTCCTAAGTGTCCTTTTCTGAAACTTACTTACTAAACCACATCGAAATCGGTTCCGTGAATCGCGAACAAACACATACATACAGGTCCAACTTAAAACCTCCCTTTTTAAGTCTAAGTCGGTCGATAAATCATATAAAGCCTTATCCAGACGATTATGATTTTAGTTTAGCATTTAAGCATTTTAGTCTGTCAGTTTATAAAGTTTCTATTAAAATTAAAACTTATTCCCAATATTTTTGTAAATTTGTTATTGTATCCGGTACAGTATATGCATTGCACTAAATAGTTTTCTTAAGAAGTAAATCTTATGTCATGTATTATGATTTCTGTTGGCCCAATAACGTTTCCATTTACAGATGATGTGCTTGAACATCAGAGGAGAACTTACCAATCTCTCTTCTATGTCTATTGTTGTAAGTATAATTTAATTATGTTAAATGAAACACATCTTTATCACTTTATTTTCGACGAATACTGAATCGCGGCTATTTTACGGTTCTATGCGCAATTCGTCCGCCTAAAAATATAATTTTACTAAGAGTTTGTTAGATCTACTTATTAATCCTGCTTGTATTTTAGGATCAATCGCTTAAGGAGGCTTTGGGCATTAGTCTGAACATCCAGTCTCCAAAGAAGCTGGCAGAAGTGGTTGCGAACGTGTTCTCTTCTCTGCTGCTGTATGGGATAAAGCAAGGAGACGAGGGTATCGTCAAAAAGCTGTTAGGTAACGTGATCTTTGTTATATCTTGATATAAAAGTGGTTCAATCTTCTTCTAGCTGTGTTACTTCCACATTATTTAGGGTCTGCTCAACATGTTTGTCTTTAGTAGTCGGTGAGTGTGCAGGGAAATTGCACAACTTAATTCCCCTAGTCCTTTCCATCATCGTACCACAAGACTATCGGCGAAGCGTCACCGATTCATGGTAGATGTCCCACCCACACGCACGAAGCGCTTCGCATCAAGCTTCCTTGTGCCTACTGATAAAGAGTGGAATTCTTTGCCAGTCTGTATTTCCTGAAGGGTATATAACCTGGGAGTCTTCAAGGCCCGAGTGAATAGGTTGCTTATGGGACGACGTGCTCCATCGTAGACCGCATATCGCTTACCACCAGATAGTGGTCAAACGGCCCATCAAATATAAAAAAAAAACTAAATTAATCACTTTAATTTATTAAAAGTAATTAATGAAGGAAGGAAAAGCTCTTATTTACCATCTTATACACATTCCATTAATTGTGATGATTATTCTGTTTCACAACAGCAGACTAAATTGTTACTATTTAGTAACTTAATGGTTTGTTTTAGCAATTTTCTTTAGTTGAGTTGAATGTCATATTTATCGTGTTTGTAATGATATTAATGGAGCTATTTTATTTTTCTATACGCAAATATTATTGTTGTCTGTCAATTTATGTAAGTATAATAAATGTGTTTATTCTATAGGGGTTACGAAAAATTTTGATACAGCCAGTAATTCATCTGCAAATTAAGAAGAATTGAGCTGCTGTCTTGGACTGACTATCCTTAGATTTTAATATTTTATATTAGGTTTAACGTAATATATTCAACGTAACATAATTATTATGTACCACTATTTTTTTGTATTGTGTATAAGAAATATTAAATAGGTAAATAAATAAGACTGTAAAATGTCCGGGGCATTAATCGTAATTGGGTTTGTTAAGTGTTGTGATGATATATATAAGTTGTTACGAACATGTTATGTATAAATATGGTATATAATGTATAATGGAGTATATTATTTTTTGGATTGGGTATTTGCCACCTAGTCAAATTCAATACTTTTTTCAAACTGTCAATAGCGACAGTTTTCTATGAATTTTGTACGAGATTGTGTATTGTGACATCACTTTTTTTTGAGCGTCAACAGCATACTTATTTCTTAAAAATTTACTGGAAAAATATTAAAATTAAGTTGTTCATAAAATCAATTAATGAAAGTATGATTATTGTTACTTTACTGAACAGTCGAAATAATTTATTTTTGATTAGGGAAAGTACCCAATTATAGTTCTATAGTTAGTATTAGGTAACTCGTACCAGTGTAATAGCAAGACTGAACTTTATTCGATCTTTTGTAAAAAATTGGTGATTATAAACAGTATTTACTTGATTTTGTTATTTATGTAGTATCTAAGGACAATATTAAACAGACCTCAAAAGAAAAAAATAAAGTTCTCAGTTTGACCTTTATTGATGATATTTAACCGAATTTGATGCGGTTTTTATGAAAATGTTTGTTATACTTAGGAGAAGGTTTTAGTATATTAATTAACCGGCTTCAAAAAAAGGGGTTTGGTAACTTAGTTTATAAAAGAAATACTGTATGAATGATATCCATTCGGTTATGATAAATTTTGTATGTATCTCTAATGCGGGTTAATATCTACCGGTAAGTGAATTTATTTCTGCAAATAGGCTACAAGGCAGCACTTTTACATGTCAATACTTTTTTTACATTTACTTCGCAATAGTGATAGTTATAACTTTACTATGGTGAGACGTACTAATACGTAAATTAAATCAGGATATAATGCTCGTGTCTGTTTGAGCGTGCTCAACTAGTTTCAAGCTACGACTGGGTATCATAATTATAATAGGGTAGAACACTCATTTTTATTTTAATGTCCGTCTAGTAGATTACTTAAAAACATTAGACACGTATTATTTATTTACTTACGGAAACGAATCGTTTCGAAGATATATTGATTTGAAATATCGCATGATGTCACTTTTGAGTACGACTTATACTTACTTAACTTTGATTCATTTTAGCTAAGTATTTTTTTCTTATACAACAAAATAAAAAAATACGTGTCAAATATTTTTTTACATTACCTAACTGACGGACTAATTGGTTTTTTAATTTTCAAACCCTGTCATCATCCTTATAGTAATAAAAAAATGAAACCTGATACAGTGTGTCAATAAAGTTGATAGCAATCTATTCGTTTAGGCAGTGAAGCTGATTCACAATTGCACAATTTTTTATCAATAATATGGTATAGTATAAAAATATAAATGTATAGGTACTAAACTACCATTAAATGAAAATATATATCAATTTCATGTTACCATAAAAATAATATTAGATATAAAACGATTTTAATAAAAATAAAATAAATTCAATATTTTATTTGTGTTCTATTACTGATAGATTCCTAATAAAAATAAAGAAATAGAACAAAAGAATTGAATTTGAGATTGAATATCTCTAATATATAATAATGTATATAACCAGTATACATACAATAAAAATAAATAATAATATATACACAATACAAAATACTGTCTTACTCATTCAACGTTACGTACGTTTGTAATGTAACAGGAATTCCCCTTTAGTTAATTTTCACTTACATTTCTTATCTAGTGATGGAACATGACTTGCACTCAAAATTAATAATCGACTAAATGTGAAATCGATTTATATTTAACCCCTAGTATGCCGTACGTAGATATACGCGAAACACAATGTATTTTCTATTGTGTCTCACATGCCGGCAGATAAGAGGTTAATAATATGATACTATTTTAAACCATAAACAATAATGATGTAAAACTATAATATTTACACCTTAAAAAAATGTTATATTAAGGCATCAAAGAAAAATTAATATTATTATTTATATTTTAAGTTGTATATATTTATTTAGTTTAAATTCTTATCAATAATGTAATAGTTAAAAAATAATGATGTTAATTTTTTGCGTGAAACTGAACTGAGATGCCTAAAAATTATCTAGATAGGAATGATAAATCTTTCTAATTTGATTTAAGTACCCGTTGTATTTTAAACGATGTTACTTATGTTGTTGATAGATATGGGCGCAGATGTTAACGCTGAAGATTCAGAGGGCAAGACTCCTCTTCATGAGGCTATCCTGACTGGAAACCACCAAATGGTCGAATGCTTACTGATAAATGGCGCCAACGTGCATTTCAAGACAAGGTATGTTAAAAAAAATTAAGACTGGTTCTGGATTACAAAAAGTGTAGTCAGTCAAAGTCAAAGTCAAAGCATTTATTTCAATTAAACCATAGTTTGGTACTTTTGAAACGTCATCAAATACAAAATAAATAATAGTCTGTCAGTCAGTCCGTCAGTGAAACTAGGTGAAGCTAGGTGTACTAAGTGGAACCTTAAAACCGTATTTAAATTTACTCTTTCTATTCTAATAACTGGTCTGTCTCTATTGAATTAAAAATAACAAAAAATAAGAATAATGTATTAGAATATAGACCCTCGTTGGACTGCCTCGTTGGCCGAGTGGTCGCAAGTGCGACTGCCGGGCAAGGGGTCTCGGGTTCGATTCCCGGGTCGGGCAAAGTATTACTGGGTTTTTAAAAATCTCAGTAGTAGCACGGAGTCTGGAAAATGTGCCCGGTATATGGCAATAGGCTCACTCCGTATTACATGGGACTCATAACATGAATAGTGAAAAGTGGGTGTTACATTGTACAGTGGCATTAAGTGCCGAAATGTGCACCTCTGCCCGTTGGGGATATAAAGACGTGATGTTATGTTTATGTTATGTTATGTAATATAGAACCCTCCAGTTGCTTACAGATCCACTGTCTAATTATCTATTTATTGGTTTAGAACCGGCGAGTGTCCTCTCATCACGGCAGTGTTACGCGAAGATCCTCAGATCATCAATTTACTGCTGAAGTGTGGAGCTCACCTGGCCAATGCCGACATATACCCGATCTCGGAAATCATGACCACAGCTATAAGAACCGGATCCATATCCAAACTGGAGTCGTTGAAGCTAGCAGGCGCCAAGTTTGACATAGTTGATGAGCTTCGACAGACACTATTACATAAGGTGAGCATTATATAATTATCAGTATTCTGTTTTGACTGCTCGTTGGCCGAGTGGTCGCAAGCGCGACTGCCGGGCGAGGGGTCTCGTGTTCGATTGCCGGGTCGGGCAAAGTTTTAAAGGGTTTTTTTTTAAAAAATCTCAGTGTTAGCACGGAGTCTAGAATTGTGGCCGATATATGGCAATAGGCTCACCCCCTATTACATGGGACTCATAACATAAATAGTGAAAAGTGGGTGTTACATTGTACAGTTTCATTAAGTGCCGTAATGTGCACCTCTGCCTACTCCTTCGGGGATAAAAGGCGTGATGTTATGTTATGTTATATCTATGATGCTAATCGGGCTGTAGCATCAACACTACCTAATAATAACATGCGATGGCAATTAGTAAGTTTTCTCAACACTACTGGTGTGTTCTGGGTGAATACCCGTTTCTTCAACTACATAATATCATAGCGCTTAAACTGTAAGTTATTAAGTATAATAACATCAAGGAGTAGGTACTTAGAAATTGAGTCATTGGGTTTTCCATGAAGATCTATAGATTATAAGGAAAAGGGATTGTTTATTTTGAATCAACAATACTTACTTTAGTTGATAGTTATAATATTATACGAGGAGAGTGTCGCGGATAACCTAACGGGTTACCGGGACTCCGGTTCGAAGCGCAGGAGAAGGAACGGGGTGGTTTTTAGTCAGTAAGAGTCTGACACTCCCTCCCGCCTCACCCAGGGGGGAGCGGTCATTCGATGATTTCCCCGCTTAAAAAATACGAGGAGAGTAGGGTGGTGTACAAATGTGTTTTATCCTGCACTACATAGCTGAATATATAAATATTTCAATATCAGACGGCCTCGTTTGTCGAGTAATTGCAGGGTCTCGGGTTCGATTCCCGAGTCGGGAGAAGTATAACTGAATTTAAAAAAAAATATCAGTAGTAGCACAGAGTCTGAAATTGTGTCCGGTATATGGCAATAGGCTTCTATTACATTGGACTCATAACATAAATAGTTAAAAGTTGGTGTTAAATTGTACAGTGGCATTAAAGGCCGTAATGTGTACCTCTGCCTACCCCTTTGGGAATTAAAGGCGTGATGTTATGTTATGTTCAATATCAGCTAATCTTGTAAGTTTTCCCCAGGCTGTGCTGTGTAATCGGCCAGAAGCAGCAGAGTTTCTCCTCAGACAAGGTGTAGATAAAGAAGCTAAAGACGTCCTCGGCCACAGTCCAGCTGACTACGTGATGAAACTCAACAGGAGGAGCCTTGATACATATTTCCACTAAATCGTCGCCAATTGAACCATTATAGTATTTCCTTTGGATCTGATCTTTCAAAGACTTTGTAGCGCCACAGTTGCGCAACAGTTGTGATTAATTTTCGTTTCTTTCCTTGCTTGTGGGGTTGTGTTTGTCCTGTGCCGTGATTGTCAAGTTGGGTTTAAAATTAGAGATTATTAGTTGACTTTATTTATTTTATAATAATTATATGTAAAAGGATATGATGTGAAACAAGATTATATTTATGTGGGATGAAACTGTATGTTTATTGCATGTCTGTGAAGTTTATAGTTTTGGCTTTATTTCCAATGTCATTTGCAGGATTCTTACAAAAACGCAATACATAGGTAAAAAACTAATATGTAATATTATTATGAGGTTTACTTTTACACAAATAAAATTGGTACATTATCTTTGATATAAATAGTTTTATTATATTGAATTTAAATGGGTACAAAAATTTGTAAGAAAGTTGTCAAACAGTTGCTGGCAATAGTTGGGCCACTAATACTACACACATCGTTTCTTAAGGTTGCATTGTGAAGTGTATTCATTGTAGTATGTATTAAAGTCGTTTATTGTACGAAAATTGTTTTTTAATAATATAACTTATAATATTTATAACTTAAACTTAAAATAATTTAGGATTTCTGACATTTTAAAGTGGAACATTTTATTTACAAGCGGTATTTCATGTCACTCTTAATGTAAAAGGAATCTACAGATTTTTGATACACTTTCTGGCTGATCTTTTTGGACCTTCGTGTTTGAGATTGAAAAAAACAAGTATCAATCAATATTTTATGGATATCTCATTATCCTTTCATAATAAAGTTGATAATCTTTTTTCTATCGCTCGTTGACGAAACTTCAAAAGTCGGGTTAATTTTCCTAATCTCTTATATGTCTAGCCCAGAGGAGACATGATTAATGAATTAATCTATAAATGCGAGGTAAGAATAGTCTGTTTTAGGACAAAACACAAAGTTCCAACATGTTATTTGAAACCTGGTGTATTGGTTAGTATAGCTAGGTTAGTCATTAACATTGGTACATGGTGTTCCTGGAGAGGGCATGGTCCGTAGCTACTGCAGCTGCGTCCGTGTCGTCCGGAGATCATCGCGTCTTCCACCGCCGAAGAATTCACCATCGACGCCAGAAGTTTGTTGCTGATAAATTTTACGAACGACGATTATTTCTGAGTTTCATTTTTAAGATTCTGTGGTACATAATATGTAGTTAGATACTACAAACTAGCATAATTGTATTACATAAGTGCAATTGAAAACGCAGCTTAAAATTGGCTAGTGTGTACCACTACTGACTGTTGAAATAATTACGCTACTTATCTCTTAATTCTAGTTCCATAATTATAGTTTTTTAAACAAGCTAGCTATGGGTGAAGCTATGTAAGGGGTACTAAATTCTAACAAGTTAATCGGTATTAACTTACTTCACAATTTGATTGATAATCTCCCGAGAGTTAGTATATTCTTGCTGAGCAGCCCAGCAAGCCACCCTGAGCGGACATCCTCGGAGTCCATGGCTGCCTGACAGTATTTGGTGAGCGAAGTCCAAAACAGCATCAGCACTGAATTCCGCGTTGTCTAAAACTTAATAAAATTTCGTTAAAACATGTAAAAAAACAAGGTTAAAAGGTTTTTTTCTTTCATCGCTCGCAGTGCATACAGAGTTAATTGACAGTTTTTTCCTATTGTCGGTATCGGTTTACTATTTTGGAATATCCATACGTTCTTGAGAGCAGTTATAAATAAACTCTATCACTACTTCGTTGATGTAACGACATGGAATTCCCAGTTCAAAGCCTGCTAAAGATAATGAGTAATTTGGGAATCCTATAAAAATATGATTTTTTTGTAATATGGGTCCGTAATCTGCTTGTATCAGCATTATAATTAATGCTATTAGAGAACCAAAGAGTACAAATTATACCTTATAAGCTGGTCAAACGACAGAAAGATGTTTTCTATAAAAATCTTGTTGGTTACGTTTCTATTTTCAAGTATCACAAAATGTCACCATTATGTCAGTAGTATAAAAGATAAAGAAAACACCACACAATTTCGGGTTACAAAATAAAATTATCAGTGCCAATAGTGATGGTCTACTTCACATAGTTTAAGAAAACTATTTAAGATCTTACGTAAGTATTTTGTTTGCTAATCGTTGTTTAATTTCTATAATTTTTTCACTTAGTACTTCACATTATCTTTGTTATTTAAGTGTATTGTAGTGACAGAATTTGATTGTCGTTTGTGTATTTGGGCAACAAGTTCTTCATATTATTTGAGCATTTTATAAAGTGTTCACATATCTCTAACAGTATTTTCATACAGTTATTTTATATGCATAAATGCGTAGATTTTATTGGTAGCTCCTGTTTACTTTTATTTTATGGCAGGCGCGAAACCGAACACAGGTTTTTCAATTACAATTAATATAAAAAAAAAATTGTTCCTCAGTTACAAGAACTGATGTGAATATTCTGACACAAAACTGTTGAACTCGGCAGGTCATGGAGCAAATGTACCTGATTGAGATATTCGTAAACAAAGTGACCGTGTTTGCAAAGGATGACGAAGAAGGCACCGGAAATAAGAACCTTATTATCAAAATTGGTTTTGGGCCTAAAGTACAATTTATTGTCAAAGAAGGTCAATTAGCAGTGGTCGGGAGACCAGATGATATTATCGAAACTGAAGAGAAAACTGGTCGCAGACAATGGACGAGAACTATACGAGTTGGTAAATCTTATCTTTTTCCTTCACATCCTGATACGATACTTCAAACATTAAGTAAATTTCCGTTAGAAGTAGAAGTTTGGAACGACGATGACACTGAACTTGAAAACAATACGTACATTGGTGTTGGTAATATGCACTGGGATAGCAAGTTTTTCTTTATGTTGAAAGAAACAAAAGATTCTTGTAAGTTGCATGAACCATTGGCAATTAAAACTAAAGTTCCCCTGATGGCTGAATGTTGCTGTAAACAAGTTGGCGAGATTGATTTTATTCTTCGTTTGAGTGCTTTAGGGAACAGCATAATTACGGAATTTCAACAACTAATGAAAGATCCAGAATCATTTGTGTTTAGGACTAACAAAGCACCGAGTATGTTTGAATGCAAAAGAATAGAAGGTGATAACCCCAACTTTTGTATGGTTGGGTCTCTATATGAGACTACCACGTTAGAAGACCCAGATATTCTGGATAGAGCTCAAAATAAGATTGAAGTGTGTACCGAACTACAAAGCTGTGGTATGGTTAACAAACCGGATCAATACGTGTGTGATCACACTGATATAGCATCAACGAGTCATAAAAAGTATACAATAGACAAGATAAGAATGGGTGATATTAGAGGTCCATGTGGTAATCCTAATTGTAATTTAGCACATAAAGTGCGGAAATATATCAGAGCTCTGGATACCTATAAGGGAAAAGCCACGGGTATCGTAGATATGAAGCTACCCGATGACAGAAAAGTATGTGGGAAATGTATCTGCAAAGACGACCGGTGGCACAGAGACACTTGCCCGGAAACAACAAAGATTAAGGTCAAATGCAAAGGCTGCGAGGGAACTACCGAACCTGGTAACACCTGTGAAGAAAAAAGAGAAAAACTTTTTGGCACAGGAGCGACCCCGCAAACGAGTAACACGCAAATTAATTATGTTTTCAGTATTACAAAATTTAGAGATAACAAAAGAAGTTTGTTTGGACAAGACACTATTGTTGAAAATTGTTTTTGTGCAAAGTTTCATACTTCGGTTGATGATGAACATAAAGGTCGTCAAGACCAATATCCATCTTCGAACGGTGGGTGTAGTTGTCGTCAGTCGGGAACAACTAAGACGATGGGAAGTAAGTCTACGATGTATAGCGTAGCCACCAACCCGATGATATACAATGTTGAAAGTAATGCTCCAAGATACAGTGGAAGAATGTCAACCGCCGTGGCTTCAGGCGCAGGAACAAATTATGCAATGACATACAATGTAGGTACCAATGTTGGCAGCGCAGACCCCAAGCGTAAAATGCAAGTTTTTAATTGCGAAGTAGCTGACGATAAAGAATGCAAATGTAATCCAAAAAAGCCAGGCCCACCTTGTAAAACGTTTGATTGTGATTGTCTATCAGAAACAGAAAACATGATCGCTAGGAAATTACATCGCCCGTACTGTCCTTCATATGTACACAAAGTTAATTGTCCCGTCACTATGATGCACGAGGAGGAAGAACTTAAGAAGAACGAAGAAGATGAAGAAGAGGTAGCTCCTTTGCCATACGGCTTACCACCGATTCAACTCGGCCCATGCCCCATCTTAGGAAGACCGTGCACAGTGCCTGATGGCTTTGCCAGAATGTATAAGAATGCTCAATTGCCAACCCAACCATACAGCTACAGTGAAGAAGGCAAAGTATGCTGTTCCAAGGAATACGAAAGAATAAAGAAGGCTATAAAGGAGTACATGAAATACGAAAAAGATCACGATTTCCGCTGCATCAACAAATTTAATGTAGACACAGAGAGACGCTGTTGTGACAAAGAACAAGTGTTGATGTCTCTAATGGGGAAGGCATGCTGTGGTTCACATAAAATGGCTGTTCAAGACAAATTTGCCGAAGATAAAAAGGACTAACAATTTCATTGATGTTTTATTTTGTAACCTGATTATATCTTTTATACAACTGGCAATATTTGTTTCATTTTAACAGAATCTTAGAACACGAAGAAGCAGTTGGTTTTGATTCAGCTTAGAAACAGTTTGGTGGTTAGATTAACTGTAGTTAATATGCCACATAGATCGCGGTCGCGATCGCGAACTATGCGGCATATTATTTTAATTGAACTATATTTGTTTAAAAATTTTATTCCCTGAAGCAGAATGCAGGAAAAGGAAGGAGAAAAGGATAATGAAAAGGACAAGAAGAAAAAAAAGAAGAATTCTTCTTCAAAATACAATTATAATTTTGGCGATCTTTACCCGGGTAAATAAACAGTATTCCTATTTATTATGTATGTCGTAAAATCTAGCTTCAGTGGTTTCCATCTTTTGTTAAGGTTTATAGAATAATTTATGTAATAAATTTATTAATTTACTGTGACTACCTAATATTACATCGTACACATTAATACATATTAATTGACATAAATTATAATCAGTCATACTAATTTTGATGAACCGAATTTGATGCGGTTTTCAGAAAAATTTTTCGTCACATTTAGGAGAAGGAATAAGTATGTATATTAATAACCGAGTTCAAAAAAGAGAGGAGGAAGCGGTGATAGAAGATGGCTTAAAACGTAGTTTGTTAAAGAATTAATTATGTAACTACATAGATGATTTTCATTAAATTATATTTATTTTTTGTAGGAGTATGTATCGGGCACAAGCACTGTCTTTTCAACAGACCACCAGCTCTACAAGTGCCCCCAACAATGGGCTGGTTGTGGAATGCACCAGACGTGCCAGGCATGAAGGTCCATGTTTATTATTTATTTCATGCTCTCACCTTTTATTTAAGTTCCCTGTGGAAACGTAGGTATTAAATAATGCTGTGTAACGAATACTAATAAGCTCTACTCTGGCACACTAAGGGCTCGTACACAAAACTGCGATGCGACATCGTATCTCCTAAGAAATAACAGAAGTGCACACTTCATTTTACGATCCATGTCACGACCTAGTTTTCAATTTAAAATACGTTTGGTACGGTTGACAGTCGTCGAAGGAATGGTCACCCTGGGAGACGCCTTGTCGCACGAAATCGCATAGCAGCAATTCGCATCGTATTTTTTTGTGTTGCGAACTTGCGAATTCGCATCGCATCGCAGTTTTGTGTACGAGCTCTTATATAACCCTGTATATAACTAAAATAAGAATGTAGTGTGACTTATTTAGGTTAATTCATTTTTTGTCACTTGTGCACCTAATATGGAATAAATCCTTTGGTGTTTTAACACCATTGAAGTTTATTCTTCTATGAATTAATTTAGGCTTCTAATAGTGTTACTTATTATAGACATTTTTTTAAACCTGTTTAGTCCGTTCGCCGCGGTTGGTCACCAGGCGTCATCGGAAAGAGTGTGGCAAAAACTATGACGTTTAAATTTGCACGCGGAGGTCCCGAAAAAGACAAAAATAAAAAGAAAAAAAAGAAAGGGAACAGGCCAGGAGGTACTGATGTCGGTGGCGGAGACTCCGAACCAGAAGAGCTTTGGAGCCTAAACCCACACTCAAGGTCCAAAGGAAAGGCGATGTATTTACTATACAGGTAATGGTATTTTTTCTACTTAGAATGCCACTGATATTACTGAACACAAATAATACAAAATTATAATGGATAGAATCTGGTAAGGTTGAAAACTATCACATAAGTTTATAATTTTCCTTTTTCTTTATTTTCAGGTGTCTCCATTAAAAGACTTGACTGATATTTTGCCCAATGAAGATCCGTACGTAGACTGTGATCCAATGGTTTTCAAAATTATAAAGAAGAGAAGTCCAGAAGAACAAGCGAAAGTCGAAGCGAGGAAAATGGTAAAATTAAAAAAACAGCGAGATGCAGAAATTCGGAAGGCTTTAGCGGAGGCCGTGGAGGATATATGCAAGTGTGCCTACATGGATGTGTACTGTAACGATTTGTCCGCAATAGATCGGGTAATTGACAGCTGTCCAGCTTTTAAAGAGCCTGAGTGTATTTGTAAAGAAGAGTCATTGAGTTCTTTATCAAGTAACGCGACCTGGGACATAGAGTACACGCCTCCGTTTGGGTGCTTCGACTTGGCGCCTAGAAAACGGAAAACCTACATTCACGTGGAGACACAATACATACCGGCCGACGCTGGGATAGTGGAGCCGCCACCACCGAAACCTAAGTGCAAGAGATCATGCGCTTCGATCCGACCAAGAAGGAGAATCTCTAAGAAGACTTGCTGTGGTCCTTGTGCTTGCTGATTCCGGTTTTGTTTGTCTTGGTGTAGATGAAGTAATACGCCTTCATACATCTCACTACATTTTTAATATGAATGCCATACAGTCCTTAAATCGATCAGTGGCTGATAGATATTATTAAGTGGAGTCTTTCTTTAAATTATCTTTAAAAATGTTCTACCGTTAAATAATATACCAAGTAAAAATATATTTGAGAGTACCAATCTTGATCAATGTTTTTATTAAATTTAAAATTTTATTTATTTTGTTTTGTTAACTAGCGCCATAAGTAGGAGTTATATTTTACTTACTTCTTCCATATCGTTCGTTGGTTTCATGAGCGTAATACTTGAGGATGAATGGTACTGCAATACTGGTTCCTAATACGACTGCACCGCCCAGAGCTAAGGACGCTGGGTTGATGTTTATAGTTGGAAAGTCCTGGCAAACACACAAGTTATTTCAGACTATAGATAAGATACAAATTGTCTATACCTGTTTAAGATCAGGGAATAGTTGTCTACAGCCTAAACACTAATTAATAAAATTTTACCGCAAAATAAATATGCTAATTTACATAAACATAATATTACGCCTTTTATCCCCGAAGGGGTAGGCAGAAGTGCACATTACGGCACTTAATGCCACTGTACAATGTAACACCCACTTTTCACTATTCATGGTATGAGTCCCATGTAATAGGGGGTGAGCCTATTGCCATATACCGGGCACATTTCCAGACTCCGTGCTACCAGTTACTCCTGAGATTTTTAAAAACCCAGTATTACTTTGTCCGGCCCGGGAATCGAACCCGAGACCCCTTGCCCGGTAGTCGTACTTGCGACCACTCGGCCAATGACGCAGTAGTATGCTAATTTAACAAGACACAATTAGCAAAAAAGTAGTCAAAGTAGCTGTTTCTATTTTATATACTTTCTAGCTACGTCCGCGCGGTTTCATCCGCTCTGCTCGGCGCTATTGATCTTAGCGTGATGTTTTATAGCCTACAGTTTTCCTGAATAAATGGACTATCCAACACAAAACGAATTTTTCACATTGGACCAGCAGTTCCTGAGATTAGCACGTTCAAACAAACAAACAAACTGTAACTTTATATAATAGCAGATACAATGTCGTGGTGGCCCGAAGATTTAAGACGCCGACGACGACGGGTTCGAAATCTACCAACGGCAAGTACCAATGTGACTTTTTCCGAGGTATAAGTACTTTCTAAGATTATCTAGACACCATTGACAGACGGTGAAGGAAAACATCGTGACGAAACCTGGGCTTATAATTTCTAATTATAAGTTTGAAATCGCCAACCCGCATTGAGCAAGCGTGGTAATGAATACTCAAACCTTTTCCATGTGAGAGGAGGCTTTGCTCAGCAGATGATGATGATGATTATGATATCTATACATATAATAAAATCGTAGAAAAGTCAAAACTGTACATTGAATATTTTTTTTAAAGAATACTTCGGGCTTGATCAACAGTCGATACTGAAGCCGAAAATATGTTTTTTTTTTTAATTTTTGTCTGTTTGTCCGGGTTAAATTCAAAGTACTACTGTATGGATTTACTTCAAATTATTACAAACAGGTCGGGTCAACATATAGGCTACATATTACCACGCTATCACCTACGGGGTAAGCGCAGTAAATCACTATTCCACGCGAACTTAGTCGCGGGCACAGCCAGTAAGATATAAGACAAGATTTTAAAGAAAATATCATGTTACTCACTAATCAGAAACACTTATTTTTAAGCGAGAAGTTTAATACCTATGAGTTATATCTACTGACAAGGAGCAGATTAATAATCGCAAAAAGTGATACTATGTAAAACCCACGCCCCATAATCAACTTTAACATTTAAAAACAACATACCAAGAGTCCAAACGCCGAGTTCACAGTTTTCTTAACAGGTATACTTAGGAATGGGACGGTAAAGTCGAGATCTATCTGGAATTAGTAGTGAAAATTAGTTTCTATAAGTACATGTCTAATCCAAAATTGGAGCTAATTACTAGAAAGTCTTTGTAAAGCATATTAGGGAGCAATTTCAAATACACATTCACAAAATATAAGATTTTTCAATGTATTGCTGCTAGGCCTCTGGCTCTGGTGTAAATTAATCGATAGGGCAACCTTAGTAGTTAACACATAGATTCCAATTTAAATTGATGATTTTTTCATCTTGTTCCTATTTGTTTTTATAATCTTGAGACTAAATTTAGTATACATTTTTACTAGATAATTTAATATAAATTAATAGACAATTTAGTATGAATTAACAAAAAATTATTACTCTTTGTATAAAGGGGTTACTCTTTATATTGTAAATCACTACTCACTTAGCAAGTGCGCTAAACTTTTTTCCTTTCTTTCAATTCTTCTTTAGCCATTTTCTAGAGTTCACTTATTACTTTTAGATATGTACTTTATTCATGGTATGATGGTAAGCGATCAGCGCCGCCCATAAGTCACAGGTGCGTTGAAGGCCTTTGTATGATATTTTTATTATTTCGGATTAAATACTAAATTACCTTTATATCCTCGTTTAGGGTGTTAAAAGTGAACAACTTCCCCTGTCTTCCTTCCCTTCTTTTGCGCACGTCCTCACTTCTCACCGTTAACATCAAAATACATAAAACAACGGACACTTTCGACATTTTGAATACTTCGAATCACATTTTTAATTGAGCCAATAAACTGTGATGCTCGCACCAAACCTTAAGGCTGTTTGTCACAATTTTTATGTTGTTTTCATTTAAAATGGTGAAAGAACTTAATGAGCGTGACAACGAACAAGTTTCCGTGTATTGTTTGACAAAATAACATGTCGCCTCACAAGTTATATGCTTGTGTGAAATTATTGTGACGGTGTTAGAATGTATAGAGAAGGCAACACCAAAATATTAAGAAATTGAGTTTTGCAATCGTTACGGTCTCCATAATTATTGACCACTCCGTAGGTGGAGTGTTCGCTATGCAAAGTTCGGTTCCCGGGTTGAAAATTTTTCAGTAATTGTTATTACTAAAAGTAGTGGCCTATGGCCTATTGCCATGTTCAGGGATTACAGGGGAATCTTTGGGAACATTGTTTCACCATATATGTCTCTAACTACCCTTTTTGGATATTAAAAGGGTACCTGGGTACCCATGTACTCGTACCTACGTTGTTTTGTTGGTACAAAATATTTTTATGGAAACTATAAAGTCACACGTACGCTACTGTTCTATCTAATCGTTGTTAAGTCTGTATTTCAGGCAATTTGTACTATTTTCACGGTTGTGATGAACATAATGTCTTTTCTTAGATTAGCGAGTACTCTGACATTAAATATGTTTTATTTCTTTAATATAAACATAGTTATTAGACAGACACTTTCACAGATTTTACATTATAATAAATAAATTATAGCGTAATCAGTAGGCATCAATCTAATATTGAATTAAATATTTTTTTACTGACATCTTCGGTGTGTGTTTGAGATGAAGAGTAAGATGTGTACCTATAGGTACACAGCGTCAGACATAGGTACTTATTTTTACATCGTTCATACTTAAAATAATTTCATGGCATCATCGGTACTTTTAGCGGCATTAATTTAATTGTGAAAATTAAAGAGGTGCCTAGGTAAAATTACACCCAAAACTTATTTATCTCGAAGCACCTAATAGTATTTAAGCACCACCTTGTAAACGTTTGCTGGAAGTTTGTATTTGTATGTGCCTGTTTAGAAAGTTACTTATTAGATGTTCTATTCCGATTTATTTATTTCTGACAGGTAACATTTTCAGTAATACAGGCACCCTTTGATTAATTTAGGGTCAATTTTTCAATGCTCTAAGTGTGGGAGAGCCATGCTTCGGCACGATGGGCCGGCTCGACCGGAGTGATACCACAGCCTCACAGAAAACCGACGTGAAGCATCGCTTGCGTTGTGTTTCGACGTGTGAGTGAGGTTACCGGAGGCCCAATTACCCTCCCCTTCCCCAATCCTCAAACTCCAAATCGCAACGCACTAGTAACGACTCTGGTGTTCCAGGTGTCCATAAGCGACGCCGATTGCTTACCATCAGGTGATCTGTCTGCCCGTTTACCGGCTTATGCCATAAAAAAATGCTCAATTAAATTTTACTCAGGAATAACTTTCGATTATTTGACAATACCATTGTTATAACTGTCAAATATCAATTTTATTTAGATTATACAGTTAATTGAATGAACACGTTAAACGCCATGGGGGTCACCGGTGACCGACGTTAGCATAGGATTTTCCGTCAACAGTTTCTTATTGACAGTCAAAGGCTTAACTGATGATTGAAAAATCGGTCCTAAGTATTAAAAGTAGGTACCCTTAACCCACGAGCATGCATAAAAAGACTAATGACTGTTGATGAAGCGAAAGAGGTATTTATGAATCGTAGCAATGACGTTCCTGTCTACCCCTATAGGAGACGAAAAACGAAACAGTGGCATTAAGTGCTGTAATGTGCATCTCTGCCTACTCCTTCGGGGATAAAAAGGCGTGATATTATGTTATGTTATAAAAAAACGAAAGAACGATGAGATAGCGATTATCTTACTTAATTGCATGGCATGTAAGCAAAGTATTGTCCTCAAAATATATTACGATATTATTTTGCAATGAAACAAGAATGCTAAGCCGGTAGCAAGCATTTGTTCTTGGAGTCAAACAATGCCTTCACGCTCTGAATGGAATAATAGATCAAACACGATGATTTCTTCAGATACGGTAGATGTAGAACTCTACAACAATTTGTCAAATTACAATACATTTTCAACATCAATCTAATAAAAAAGATTGAACTTCGCAGTTGGTTGAATGCTGGTTAAATGTTAAGTTTAATCAACATGATAATATCTAAATTTATTAAATGACGATTTGTGGTAGCTGTTTCAGTCGATTCGTTGTTAATGTGGCTGTCATTAGCATATTATCAATTCAAAATTACAATCTGTTTGTTATTACTTTGTAATGTTTGTCTTTTACAGAAAGGTTGAAAAGGCAAATGGAAAAATTTACATTAATGTCTCTACCTTCACTTTCAAGGAATAACTGACAAACTGACACGACATTATTAGTTACCCCTCAGTAATTTTAAAACTAAATGTACCTATTTAGAGATATGATCTGTTTTTTGGGAAAATTAGTCATGTTCAAGGATCACAAGGTAAGACCTACAACAGATGACTGCTTTTATCAGCTTCTCGCTGGCACGTCTTTCACTAACGTGTAGAATTAATATTCGTAGAGACTTTCTTAATTTTACCCACCATCTTCACACCTATTCTATTACCAAACATTGGGCACAATTGCAAACTCTATTAATTTTCATTTACCATCCCAATACGATTTACCAGGTACTTGTTGGAACAAGGAAACGTATAGAGAGGTGCACAATGTAAGTCAGTAGGGAATTAGCTAATTAGCTTCCTGATTTTTGTCTGAGACTATCGGACAGTTTCGGACCAGAACCGTAACGTGTTGTCGTAAAGTATTATGCAATGTAGACCACATGTGACAATGGTGTTTCCCCATGTCATTGTGTCGGGGCACGCGACGGAACGCCCTGTATATAGATGTATGCGGAATTGGAAGACGTCAGTTAAACCCAAGAGCCTGGTAAGATGGGTCCTAAGGTGTCTTGTGTGGTACTTGCAGCGTGCCTGGTGCTGGCAGGAGCGGAGTACAGGAACGATGGGTAAGATGCATTTTTCGTTTAAGATCATCAGATTAGATTCGAATTTGTAACTAGTGGGTAGGTACTTCCTTAACAGGACTCCCAAACTCTTGTTGGTTTTTCAAGTACCTATGTTTTTTTATCTTAATCTGTCCTAGTTTTGATTTCAGAGGCTTCGTGCCGAGTTTCCAGAGGACTGAGGACCAGCTTGCAGAACCTTCAGCCAGGATCGAGAAAAACCGAGATGAGAGAGACAACCAGGCTGACAGAACGCAGAGATTTGGCATATCCTCGTATGGAAGCACTGGGGTGAATATCCTCTTTTTATTTTTTTTAAGTCACCCTACTTGACGAAATTGACGATAACAACATTAAACTTTTATCGGAGCCGCAGGTCTTGCAATAGGAAAGATTTCGGAGTTTGGCTTCTAGGATCACGTGATATCAAGGATTTAGGTAATTACTAGGGAATGCCAATTGTGTCGTTAGTGTGGTGTGAGATCCACCCTAAATAAGTTTTTGCATCTAATACAGAATTACTAAAACCGGCAATATCAAATTTGGTACGTGATTTAGATACAGAAAATTATAGTTGTGATTTTTTGCCTATTCTTGAAGAATTGTCATTTGTCAGTGCGCATCTTAACACACGAGGTGCAGACGACGGAAAAATGATATAGTTTACTTGAGTAACCAAGCGGTAAGAGAATCGAAACATTTGGGAGACAAACAGTATTGTTATTCTAACTGTAGTTTGATGACCTTTTGAAGAGCGGCAAATACTATTAAGAAAGACAATCATTTGGTCATTCTGCAGAGAATTAAAGAAAGATCGAAAAACTAAATAATCATCAGCCCGATCCGGAACAGACTCCGAAAATCCTTTATTGGAAGTCACGCTCCACCAATGAATTCGTTTCATAGGTAGATCAGATGTATTATTTAAATACATTATAGTAAATCGTGCCTCGTGGTATTTTGCGTTTCAGGGTGGTAGCTACGGCAGCACTGCTCCGGGACTTTACGGACCAGTGAAGATAGATCTAGGAGGAGTGCTCATAGGATCTATACTGGGCTTTGGAGCTGTCATCATCCTACCTAAGATCATCCACGCCTTGTCTTACAGCTACGGCGGAGGATACGGGCGAAGTAATTTTTTGAAATTATTAATTTTACTACCGTGTTATAGATAAAGAAAAAAATGCGTTCAGCGAAGTATGCTTAGGTTGAAAACAAAAACAACAATGTTCCTGACGGATTTTCTTCTGTGTCATACCATGAGTGCGGTTACATACATGACACACTCATACCCGGAACAAGAATTTGTGGAACAAGACCAAGATTTTTCCGTATGGGAATCCAACCCGCGACACGTTGCCTACAACCGTCGCCCAACCGTGCAGTCAAATATTAATACCTGAGTTCACTGCATTATTTCTATAAGAACAAAAATCTCTCTTCAGGTCTGGACACCGACTTTGGACAAGTATCAGAAGTGTTTGGTAAAATCGATGAGATGTTGAGCAGATACAACGTGGACTCGACGGCTTGTATGCAGCGGCTGGCATGTTCCTACGTGCAGTTGGCTAACGAAAACATGATCAGCGGTAACGCCACGGACTTCGATGTTTTATTGTCTTCGTTGTCCAAGTGAGTACTTTTGAAAAGACTAAGCACTTCTATTGAGTTTGCATGAAAAGATTGCTAAATGTCGAAATAGTAAAAGAGTGGCAGTCGACTCGATCGGCTTAAAAACAATTAATTTGAAGTGCCTACATTCAAACATATAAATGTGTAATAAATATCTTTCTACTGTATTTCTTTTTTCCTCAGTAACACTTTAGTCCGTCGTATGCTGGACGGTACGGCAGTGTTCGACGCGGTGTCAGCAGGACGGTTGCCAGACTCGGACTGCCACGAACTCTACCACAAATGCAAACTAGACAAGAAGACAGTCGTCAAAATGCTCACTCAACTCGTGCCCTCATAGAATTTATAACAATGTTACCTCATTCTAGAATACATTTTTAATAAACAGTTTGAATATAAATACTTGTCTTACTATTATTTATTTAATACAACATTCCGTTTGGACTTCGATACGATACAAGACAATGTTAAAATCAATTTCTATACTTAACCCTAAAATAACAACTTTTACAGATCAATTAGGATGGGATTTACAAGTAAAATAAAAACGCCAAGATACAAATTTAACAATTTTATTAAAGTCAACACCAAAACCTATCTACATCATCTGATATGCTGGGCAATGCAATCCTTGAACTATCTTTACCGCACCATTGACATAAATATTGTATTCCCTGACATTGTGTACTTCTAATTATACTAACATAATTCATATTATCTAAGAGTTTCCACTTTATATAAAAACCTTATGCTTTTTGAGCATTCTTTATTTACCTTGATTGTTGTTTTGATGATCGCCGACTTCAGTGCTTATTCTATCGATATATCCATTGTTGGACTTATTATCTCGTTACACCCGTTAGAATCCGTTTGTTTGATCGACATTTAGCAATTTACACGGTAATATGTACTGTATACCGTATTTGGGTGAACACATAAAAGAGATAGGAGATAGAACTGTTGTGCTGTTGTTATCGATTTAACAATAACTCGAGCCCAACATAGTAGGTAACCTTTCATAAGATTGCTAAACTTCTAAGAAATCAGAATGTAGCAGACCACCAAAACAAAATTTAAGTCAAGTGCACACAGGAGTATTCAATACACATTGCGTGAAGCCATAAGGCTGTGCATCCACAAGCTTCTTCTTACGTAGGTATTATACTAAACCATTCATTGAACAACTTCTAGTGTACAGTAAATCCTTAAACTGAATCAACTTCATTCGTTCTTTAAATCATGAAAACCGTTTGCTAAGATTCCCACGTTTCGCTAGCACCTTCATTAATATTTAATTCAGTTATAAAACTGTGCACTACAAGTTACTCAAATTACTATTCATCTATTGTGTACATACTCTTATAATAAAGCTAGTTTACACCAACGTTGGTCATTATAATTCGTAAAAAGTAATTTTATTGCGTAATAACATTATGCTATTTACTTTCTTTAAAAAAAAAGGAGCAACTCTTGCTTATATAACAACGCGTCTATCAATCATTTTGCGACCACTTCCATTCCATTCCGTATTTCCGAAAACAATCGTTTCTTAAGCGCGTGTACAATATTAATAAACTACATGTAGACACGGTAGAGTTGAAATATTTCGTCTTTTTTAAATGCAATCATCATTTTTGGATCTTATAGTAACATTTTAGTATAATTGGAATAATAAAAATAAAATGCACGATTGAGTTAGACAGGTAATAAGTGGTAACTAATTGTAGATGTCAAGACATTAATAGACTGTAGCAAATAGCACAGATATTAGCAATCTATGCTTCAAGAAAAGTTGTTTAACTTTTTAAGGCATTTATTAACCTGTATCCAGATTTTATTCTCTAGTCCAAGAATGTCCGTATTCAATGTTAGAACGTTATATATTTTTAACTAAATGCAAAGCTTGTACGTCGGTACGTTGTTCGGCTAAAGTCTATAGTTAAAAGTATCAAATATATACATTTTTCATTATTAAATATTAAATCTTTGACATCATTCAGTGATGTGTGAATGGCTGGGTAAATATAAATTTCCATTTTTCAGAAAATAATATTAAAAAATAAAAACAAAATTCATTGGCGCTGTTGTAATATAAGATTAACATTCTTGAGATTAAATATAATTAAAGTAAGTTTAAAATAATAACAACACAAAATCTAGGTGTCCACATAATTCTTTTGGGATTATTGTGACCTAAACTTTACCTAGTATACACGTATTTCGATGAAAAGAGACTTAGATCAGTAATTAGTTGAATATTGCCACTATGGTACTAGGTGATAGCGAAAAGGCCCCTAAACGCGAATATTTAACGGTGCAATGCAATAAATTTCGTTATTTTCTTGGGATTGTACGTTTTCCGAGCCATTACAATAATGACCTCAACAAATCGTAAGTCTCAAGATAGCTTTTGCGAGGCAAGTTTCATGTGTAATGAAAATATCAATAAATACCACATGGTAATTTACCGTTAAATATTCGCATGCACTTACGATGAAATAGTCACAACAGCGCGTGAAAATAAAGTTTACAACTAAGACTTATGAGTATAATGTACAAGTAGTTGGCAACACTCGTAAGATATTGCATTGCTATGCTACACGTACGATCGAGGAAACAAGTTTACGCAACAAAAACTATGTAGAAACAATTATAAATCCTTCAGGCATATTCTTATTTCCTCAAAAATACATATTATAGTATTGTCTTGAAGAATACCTATGTGATATTTTACCCAACGCTCCTCCATTTTAAAGCCTTACAGTTCTGTAAGTTCTATTTCTAGGTTGCACTTTCTACGTGTTTTGCTATCTGACACAATTTGAGCTAAAACGCAAAAAGTTTCGTTCAAATTGCTTCAGTAGTGTATAAAATATGAAGTGGAATCATAAAGCGAGGTCATTGTAGTAGATTTGAACACAGATCGTATTAACAACTTGTAATAAAAACATCTAAAGATAAATGACTTGTTTCCTAATAACTGATTCAAGTTACTGTTAGCTTAACAGACGCATATTTTGACACACATTTCGAATGGAAAATATTCAAATTTTTCGCCAGTTATGAGTAACAGAAACTTAGTAACTTAATGTGAAATATGATTATATTAACTATCGTGAGACATATTGAATTAATTAAAAAATTACGAGTTACTCACGACGTAGCGCAGCCTACTAGTCGCCGTGACCACATATGCTGCTCATGAGAAAGAGTCTCTCTGTGACTCGAAAGTAATAGAGCTTTTCTCACCATATTTATGTGAGTAACTCAAAATGTTTTAAGTAATCCAGTATAATAATTATACAGCAGATTTTAGGGTAACAACAACATTAACTATGTATATCTTCCGTTGCAGTCGGACATGATTTTAAATAACGTTTACCTACTTTGTACCTATCTGAAATAATTTAAGTACTGATTTCCTATTGCTTGACTTGCACGGTTAGCGCTGTGGCTGGGAACCGGCAGTTGCGTAAAAAATTATGCGAATTCAATTCTCATACAGTCTATAGAACAAATATTTGCTTAAGTAAGCAACATTTGCGTTGCAAATGCACCGGCAGTAGGAAATCCTAGTGCGGTGCCACGTTTAAATAATGGCTAACGAATATTTTTGTATAAAGATTAGGTAGGTACTTATAGTATCTATCTCACTCAGATTTTGCCGACCCTAAATAATTGACGTTTTATGACCAAACTGGTTTGTATGGGTTGAAACCAATGTGGTGCCACTATGTAGTGTTTAACAGATTTGACGAACTTGTGACGAATTATAGACAAATGATAGAACTTAACAACATAAAATAATATGTTTTTCTTGTGTTTTTAGTACATGAAAGAGATAGTGATAATGTAGCAGTTGTTGGGCAACAGATATTAGGGCCCGTTAGCGCCACAGGAAACACATTCAATTCATATAAGGCAAATCTCATATTATTAAACAAAATGATAACATTTTAACATTCGCATTTGGTATTAACGCAGCAATTACCGAAACTGGGGTTATTTTAAGAGATGATATTATAGTATATAAGTGAAAAATGAGTACATTACTGTGTAGTGCATTTTGAGATTATTGTTTGGTATTAAAAATTAAGTTTTACAGTCATCTTGAACGAGTGGAGGAGCGCTCGTGTGTTTGGTTTGCGGGTGTTGACGAGTTACTAACAGGCGACACCGGCGGTACCTGATCATTGGCACAGCATGTTGAAGAACGAATTCGCGTACGCCATCGGCTTCACATCCGGATGTGGCTGAAATATAAAACAATAAATGTTCATAAATGTTTGAGGAAGCGTGGTGATTAACCCCTCGAGCGTCCTTATGAGCACCCGGTGGATCATAAGAAAACATACTCCATGCTGCTTTCTCTTTTATAAAATCTATTATTAATGTTTTGTTTTTATTTTGACTGTATTTTTATTTCTATTGTAATGAACCTTGTTTTGTGTGCCAATGGCCAAATAAATGCATTTTCTGTCTTTCTTTCTCCAAATTTCACGTGTGCACCCGTTGGATCATAAGGAACGCGGACGCTCGACGGGTTAATAATGCTCAAACCATCTCCGTGTGAGAAGAGGACTTTGATCGGCAGTAGGCACTTCTAAGATGTTCATGATGATGATCATAAACCCTTACATGTTTTGTTTAAGTTGTCCAAAAGTTCACAATACATGGTCCGAATTGCAATAGACAAAGTATAAATAATATGACCGATGTCGGTTATTGAATGACACTAGTTTCATACTTTTAAGGTCCAATGCTTACATTCCTCGAAATGAATTGCTCTAATGTTATTTTGGAAGATAACCATACATTATTTACCAAAAGATTAGCGAATGAACTGGCTTTGTCTCTTCAATTTACTTATTTTATTTTATTCAATGAACAATAAAGCCAGATGCCTTAGTATAAGTTTGATTTACGTTTAAAGTATTCCAAACGAGTACGCGTTCGGCAATCTGATTGGTTGGTTCATTTTAGCCGGCCAATCACAGCGCCGAGCGCTCTGCTTGCTAGTCTGGCTGATGTAGGCAGCCCTGTCCTAGGAAGCATAACAGTTATTTTAAGAAAGTTAGACAAATATAACTTACCACAGCTTCATAAGTAGTAAAGTTCGGTTTCAAGTCTTTGCCATTCATTGTGATGAAAGCACCAAGGTTACCCATTGTATCACTGTAAAATCGAAAAAAATATTTTTGTTAAATATATACAAAACTAATATCAGTGTGACATTTTAACAGCCAACTTATTTACTCTTTTCCAGAATTACTTAATACTTTATTGCTTTCCACATGTATGACTTAAGTGGTAAAGATAATTAGGATTTAAACTGTCAAATACCGCGAGGACACCGGTGACCGCAACCTATTGTTCTTTAATTGTGTCTATAATAACGGTACTCAAAGGGTCAAGGGATAACGAACAACAGTTCCTAGAGTAGGAAACTTGACACATCACAGTTATAGCTATAGCTTTTTTAAATAGCTTTTTTAATGTTAGAAATTCAAGAAAATTGAAATTCATTTAAACATGGGTACATAATACATAAAGTCTACAGTTTCTCCATATTTTACCTTCACTTGGCATGCAAAGATATGTTATAAAAAGTAATTATATAATAAAATTAGGTCCATTAAATTCGTACAGGTACATATTACCTATGTCAGCAAATGATTAAATGAATTAGAATTTTAAATTTTTAACCAAAGAGTTGTTAAATCTATACCTATATGTATATAAAAAGGAATCCCTTTTTTCCTTGGTCACGGCATCACGTGTGAATGGCTAGACCGATTTCACTAATTATCTTTTTTTGTATTTGTTATTATTGGGAGAAAGTTCTTAAGACAAAACATCCCGAAAATACTACGGGAACGGGAGAAAACGGGATTGCGCGTACGGAGTCACGGGCAGAAGCTAGTATTTTATAAGTGACATACCAGTAATTAGGCGCTGAAAACACAGTAATGCATTTGCCATCATGAGCTATTTCATAGCCGTCGTTCTTGACTTCGTGGCTGCGTATCACGTAGTCCAGTCCATTACGTTGCAAGAAAGTGTTGGTGACGTCAGGCCCGAACTGGCAGCCCACGCCGCGCTTGGACGGCGCGCGCCCTAACATCGGCTGAGGGTCCGACCACAACAGCTCACACATTATACCTGTATACAAACATACACTTAGCTGTCTTCAAATATCAGTCAATTCAGAAATTAATATTTTTGACTATAAACTATTATTTCTGTGGTAGATATTACAAGTACTTTGTAAGAAAAGAACAAAAAAAAATTGCGTGCCTAAAATCTTAAGCAACATAATACGTAGATAGTAAAACATAAATAGTTTTCTCAAATATGTAATATATCTTTCTATTTATTTAATCTCAACACATGATACGATTTAGATAGTCAATTCTGAAAGCATATAATTTAGATTTACCGTCTTCCGGCGGCTGCTTATTCCTATCCACCTTCCTTATATCGTCGAGCGTGATGTCATCCTTGGAGAAGAGACCTCCGTGCATCACCAACACTCGGCTATTGATACAGTGAGCTAAGGGCAGCCAGTTGTACACCTCAGTGAAAAGATCAGCCATCTGTGAGGTGTACTTGGATGAAACCTCACCTCGGAACCCATACATGCGGTTCATATCTAAAGTCTCATGGTTACCTGCAATAGTTTCATTCAATTGTCAGATGAACTCTGAAACGAACTTAGGGTTCGTACACAGAACTGCGATCCGACTTCACATCGCAAAAATGTGCGAGCTCCCCTACGCATCGCAAGTTCTTGCGAATTTTCAATTTAAAATACGTTTAGTACATTTGACGGTCGTCGAAGGAATGCTCAACCTGGGAGACGCCTAGTCGCACAAAATCTCAATCTCAACGCATCGCAGTTTTGTATACGAGCCCTTACTCTGATATGCCAAAGTGCTAAAGATAATGAGTTGATGCATTATAACTTTTTACTAATTTAAAGGTTTTAATTTAGTTATAAATATTATAACTATGTATTTCAAAACATCTTAATATCAGTGAAATATTTATATGACAGTATAATATTATGTCAACTTGCCACAAAGTGCAAGTTAATGCTAACAACAATATTTACTAGTAGCACGTTATATAAGCCACAAAACATACGTTTCACAAGGTTAATCTTACCTCTGGACATGTAGAAGTGGTTAGGGTATAACAACTTAAAGCTGAACAGTGTGAAAATGCATTCCACACTGAAGGAACCTCGGTCTACAAAGTCACCATTGAACAGGTAAGGGTTGGTCTCTGATGGAAGACCATTCAACTTGAATATGTTCATCAGGTCATAGTACTGGCCATGGATGTCTCCACAAACTGTAAACTTGGCTTCATCTGCGACCTTAATATCAACGAGAGATGGCTGCTTTTGCAAATATGCTTTTACATCAATCAGTATCTGCCAAATAAATATTATTATAGTATTTAATATAGAAGACCGTAATATTATAGCATTGCTTCGTTGGGCGAGTGGTCGTAAGTGCGACTGCCGGGCAAGGGGTCTCGGGTTCGATTCCCAGGTCGGGCAAAGTATTACTGGGTTATGAATATTCTCAGTAGTAGCACGGAGTCTGGAATTGTGCCCGGTATATGGCAATAGACTTACCCCCTATTACATGGGACTCATAACATGAATAGTGAAAAGTGGGTGTTAAATTGTATAGTGGTATAATGTGCACCTCTGCCTACCCCTTCGGGGATAAAAGGCGTGATGTTATGTTATTATAATATGTTATAGCACTTGATTTTTTCAGAGAGTTAAGCAGTACACTTAAACAGTTCAAGGATATTCATGTTTCACAAATTAGAAATTCCCAGTAAGTAATTTTAATATTTTATGATCACTACATTATAGGCAGGTTAGTTTTACCTTGTAAGCATATTTCTTATGTAGTTTCTTCTGTCGTTTGTAAAACTCCATAAGTTCAGTGACAAACTTGAGGGTTACTTTCCCATCCTCGAGTGCTGGACCAACATATTCATCTTCAATGGCTGTCGACAGAAAAGAAATTTGAAAATTGTGCAAATAACAGTTACCGTTACTATCAAAACATCAGTGAAAGACAATAAATGCAATATTCTTGTAACAGTCTTATGGTTTTGATATTACCACATTTAAAACACTTTCTGAAGAACATCATAATATTATGGTAACTTAAAAACCATTTCAATCACTAAAAGCGTATTATCAACATATGGGACCTTTGTTAGCACATCATACTAATAAAAGAGTGAACATAAAAATAATCACAGTGAGATAAATGAACGAAAATATTTCGTTATCAGAATAACATTACCACGCAATTTATATTAATCAGATATTGATATATTTAATAGATACCGAACAGGTACTAAACCAATTAAAGTTTCTAGGTAGATACTAGACCTTTAGTAATTAATTTACATAACATAACATCACGCCTTTTATCCCCGAAGGAATAGGCAGAGATGCACATTATGCCACTGTATAATGTAACACCCACTTTTCACTATTTATGATACGAGTCCCATGTAATAGGGGGTGAGCCTATTGCCATATACCGGGCACAATTCCAGACTCCATGCTACTAATTACTGAGATTTTTTTTAAAAACTAGCCAGCCTAACTACCAATACTACTTTGTCCGCCCCGGGAATCGAATCCGAGACGCCTTGCCCGGCAGTCGCACTTGCGACCACTCGGCCAATGAAGCAGTCTAATTTTTCTTATTTTTTATTAGTCTAATTATCTCGTCGAGTACCGTATTTATAGACACAATTAAAGAACAATAGGTTGCGGTCACCGGTGACCGCTTGGTGTTTGATAGTTTAATTTAAAGAAATCAAATAGAAATGTTCGTTTGCACATATCTTATTCAGACCAGCTCTGTGATACATTTTTATTGTTATTTTTAGGACATAACACTTCAAATAAACAATGGTCAGATTGACCAGAAAAGTTAGGGAATAATACTTGTGTGCTATAGGATAGGGATAGGCTATAAATGTAATATTTTATACAAGTTGTTCTTTTTATAAAACTAACGTCCAGTTTCTATAACCTATCTATCTGTAGATTTGCTTACTAAAGATAGAATTTTGACACATTTTGTATGGAGCTCATGTCAAAATTCTATCTCTAGTAAGCAAATCTACAGATAGATATGTTATAGAAACTGGACGTTAATCTGGCATTATAAAAACAACAACTGTCAATATTTGTCTAGCTTCACTGACAGACGATTATTTATTTTGTAAGTATTTGTTTTTATAATAACTATCGTGATACATACTAATTTAACTAAAAATCGCGGGTTACTCACGTGAATATACTGAGAAAAGTTCTACTAGTTTCGAACCTCATGAGCAGCGTGCGCGATTTATTTTGTATTTGTTGACGTTTCAAAAGTACCTAATTAACTCCTTCGTGTTTTTGCCAACTTAATAGACGACTTGAATGAAATATTTAAATACAACTGCAATAATGTTTTACACACAACTTTTCATATACAAGAGATTACAATTCCACATAAGATTTATATCAAGAAAAAAGGAAGAATCTCTATGGTTATTTTAAACATTAAAATTATAATCCTACTTTTTTTTTTTTTAAATGTTGCCCCACACTAGGATTTTCTCCTGTGTCGTGGGTGCGTTTACAAACATACAAGTTCACATACACAATGACACCCAGACCCGAAACAACAATTTGTGGATCCGATCCGTGTTCCGTGCGGGAATCGAACCCGCGACACGTTGCACGGCAGCCGGTTGCCCAGCCACCGCACCAACCGTGCAGTCTTACTTCCTATTATTAATATTATAAATGCAAAAGTTTGTATGTTTGCTATTCTTTCATGTCATTTGTAACTGGGCTAGACTATAGTCTTAAATAACACATAGCCTATTTTTCATCTTTTTCACATAAATTACAAAATATTATTCACAGAAAATTACACCTAAATTGAAAATAAAAATTTTAAGGAAACTATAAAATCATATTTCAGACATAACTTAATAAAAGTAACATTATGGACTGTGATAATTATTGTGCGCAATATGTTATAAAACAACACTTCTTCACCCTTACTATTATTATTTTATTACTTAATATTATTATTAAGTAACTAAAATATTTTAATGCTGCCTCATTGGCTGAGTAGTCACAAGTACGACTGCCGGGCAAGGGGTCTCGGGTTTTAATTCCCGGGGCGGGCAAAATATTACTGGGTTTTTAAACAAATCTCAATAGTCACTTGGAGTCTGGAATTGTGCTTGGTATATGGCAATAGGCTCACTTATTAAACATAACATAAATAGTAAAAAGTGGGTGTTACATTATACAGTGGCATTAAGTGCTGTAATGTGCCCTGTGGTTACCTCTTCGGGGATAAACAGGTGTGATGTTATATTATGTAATATGTTTAATACTTACTCATGGCATCTAAATTGATGGAATCAGCTATATTGACCTCCTTCTTATCAACGGAGATGGCCTTTTCAAAAGCAATCTTCTTAACTATCTTATTGCATTCAGTGTACTTCATTTTTGCATCTTGGTCATTTGGCCTGACTTTGGTCACCTATAATACATATTAATGTAAAAAAAAATTATAGCTTTAGACAATTGACTAATACAAATTCAAAAATAATGCAAGGAATTCAAGTTACCAGTTGTCAGGGTTTCAGAACTTGAGTAAGCTAACGTTAGATAGTAGGGTCAAGGGCCTGACACAGAAAAAAGTACTTCCAGTCAAAGGTATGTACATTAATGTCTGGAATACAACTTTTTATAATCTAAAATATGTATTTTTAAGTTACCTATTGTATCTCCTTAATTTTACTATTAAACAATGTCTCTGTTTAACAAGGTGTACTTTTATCTCCTTAATAACCAATGACTAAGTTTTTTTACATGTTAATGTTTATGTTAATTTTATAAAAGTTATAATTTTTTACAAGTTATTAAGTTATGGAAATTGTGTAGCTATATACAGTAATATAATTAACAGCCTATGTCATGATACCCTTACTTATTTTAAAACATAAAAGTATCCAATCCCGCTGGTGACAAACCTAATACTTACATATTCAAAATCCTTAAGCGCTAGTTTGTACTTTCCTAGTGACATGTAAGCCGCAGCTCGCCTGTAATACGCCTTCGTGTAAGACCTGTCCAATTCTATTGCCTTCGACGCGTCGCTTAGAGCATAACCAAAGTTCTCCAGCCTCAAGTTAGCTATACTTCTATTAGCGAAGAAAACAGCATTCTTCGGGTTCTTTTCTATTGCTTTAGTATACAACTCGATTGCATTATTGTAACTTTGTTCTGAAATTTGAGGTTATGTCAGTCAAGTTTGTTCTATTCTTGATACGATCAATATGTTATAAATAGCATTTTTAATTACATCCTGTAAGTGGATGTTTATCATAATAACATGTTGTGGTAAGAAATTGTTAAAACTTACTTTTAAAGTATTCATTGGCTTCGTTTTTCAATTTATCCGCTGCCTCTACATCCTCCTGGGAAATGGGCCCGGTAATTTCTTCATTACTAGCCATGTTTTATGGGTACAGTATTAAATTACTTAAAATGGTAAATACAGAAGCAATGTATATTACTCATAAGAAATGTGATTATTTCACATACATTTACATGTTATCCGCAATTCATGAAAAATTAATTGACAGATATATGAATGAATGAATTTGAAAGAATATGTCATGTGAATTCATAGATAATAATATTATGTTATTTCTGTACTCAGGGTTGCCAGGTCACCATTTAGAAATCTAATGGAAGACTTGGGAGTTTGGTTGGCTGTCAGTACTGATATCCGGCTATACATATATATAGCTTACGGTCTGATTAAATCATCGTAAACCGGCATGGTTTATAATTGAATGTTGGAATGAGTTATATAATGTGTGTATGTCGATGATGAACGTAATATTACAAAGTGAGTCGCCATATAGAAATGTCAAAATGTAAAACCCAAATAGACCGAGCTCCACTATTTTGAGCAGATGGTCAATCAAAAAATTAAACTGTGTCCAGTTTTATCCGGATACCTGGCAACCTTATATGTTCATCTGTCATCATTCATTCTGTGTTTAACAATGAATGAATGTTTCATTCATCAGAATATGTCGCCGCCGTCATTATTCCATTACCTAATTCGTTATTTGATATAGTTCCATTTCTGATAAGTATTGTAATGCGGGTTGTAAAAAATAAATACAAGTTATTCTATGGTTAGTCTATGGTTTTATTCTGTGGTTGCGACGTAACGCAGGCCGCCAATAGGCGCGCTCTTTGATCGCGACCACCCCTTCCCACCACCCGCTATCCCGCGCGCCAGCGCTAGGGGTTCGAGTGGAGAGTGAGGGGGTGCGGTGCGAGTGGACGCCTTCGGCCCTGCGCTGGCGTCGATCACTGACGCGTAGGTACGAATGTGTCGTAAAATCCTCCGCGGCTCGTCGCGACGCATGTGTTTTTCTCTCTAACACTTTCTTGTATTATTAAAGTATGTATTCGAGGCTTATGTGTCTTATGCCAGTGTGTATTTTAACGAGCAATAAATGTTTACCCATAACTTTCGCCTATTAAAGTATTTTATTTCATTGGCTTGGTATATTTAATGATTGAAATCACAACGAAACCATTTTTTTTTTCATTTGTTAATTAATGTCTCTCGGTTCGTGAAAATAAATTGTTATTTCTATGAACGATTCATCTGTACTTACATGCTGTACATACATACGTATACGAAATAATGTAAATAGGTTAAAAAAACATAGTACTCAAGTAGTTGGCATGTAATAATACAGTAACCGAGACAAACAATAAGTTTTTTAAATTTTGTCTATGATATTAGTTTTGGCGCTAAATTCAGAATTCGATTTTAGAACTATACATAAAGGATTGGTTTTTCATTTATTTTATTTTATTTGCTGATTTAGTGTTCACTAATTCAAATTAATTGTACAAAAAATTTAAATACTTATCTAAGAATTGATACGCAAACTAACATTACAATACAATAACAATACAATCAAATAAGTAATAATTTTGAATGTCAGAGCCGGTTGGTGATGGTAAGTTGTTTACGTAGTATTTTAATTTTTATTGAAATAAATATTTCGTCTCTTAATTGAATACTTAGCTATTCTAGCAAAATGGTTCTTATTTGACCTCTTGTTTAATACGACATTTCGTCATCAAGTTGTCATTTCTTGAAAACTAAATTTTTATTTCCGAAATAAAGGTCCTATTTTAAAAATTACAATTCCAAAAATTTGGCGCTATAAGTATAATAACAATTATTATTATCTATCTATATAATCTCTATACCTATATTATATCTATCTATACTATAAAAACGAATTGCTATTCGGTAGTGTCGCTAAAACTCGAAAAGGGCTGGACCAAGTTTGCTAATTTTGGTGTTGTATTGTTTGTGGAAGTACAGAGAAGGTTTAGATAAACGGTTCTAACTGTCAAACACCGCGAGGACACCGGTGACCGCAACCTATTGTTCTTTAATTGTGTCTATAATGACGGTACTCAAAGAGTTAATTATTAGTTACTACTTCTTTATGTCGTATTAGTTACGTATCCTTTTGTTTTTTTTTATTTCTGACCTTATTTGGCTTATTTATCCCTTGAAGTAGTACAAGGTCTGCTGTGTCAGTTATTATAAAATAATAAATTCAATGTCTCAGTGTGTAGTGTAATACAAAGTTGGCTTGCATTACAAAAATAGTACAAAGTAAAAATTGTACAATCACATTAGGGTTCAATAAATGTGCAAGTAAAAGGAATAATCGGCGGCCTTCTTAAAATTAGTGGTTTTTGTAGACAATCTGTGTTTATGTACCTACGTAAGTAATATCGGTAGTAACCTAACGGTGTTTGTATTAGTCTATAATTAAAGGTATTAATTGATTTAGTATTCTAGTCGACTGCCTCGTTGGTCGTAAGTGCGATTGCCGGGCTAGGGGTCGCGGGTTCGAGTCCCGGGTCGGGCAAACTATTACTGGGCTTTTTCAGTAGTAGCACGGAGCCTGGAAATGTGCCCGGTATGTGGCAATAGGTTCACCCCCTATTACATGGGACTCATAACATAAATAGTGAAAAGTGGGTGTTACATTTTACAGTGGCTTTAAGTGCTGTAATGTGCACCTCTGCCTACCCTTAAAGGGATAAAAGGCGTGATGTGATGTTATGTTATATATTAATATATATGTTATTCTAGTCGAGTTTTACTAGGCGTGACAGAGGCCAAATGTCAGTCCATCAAATAAAAAAAGTACATAATGTTATAAAGAGTACTTTAGTATCGTTACCTATTAATGTACAGTGCTTTTGTAAAGTGGTCATTGGTAGGATGGGGGAATAAGGTAATAGGTAGGTATATACCACAGATATATGGTATATACTTAGGTCTGAACATCTTTGTCGTTTTCTTTTTTTTTTTTTTTTTTTTTTTTTTTTTTTTTTTTTTTTTTTTTTTTTTTTTAAAAACGTTGCCCCACACTAGGATTTTCTCCTGTGTCGTGGGTGGGTTTACAAACATACAAGTTCACATGCACAATGACACCCAGACCCGAAACAACAATTTGTGGATCACACAAAGTGTTGTCCCGTGCGGGAATCGAACCCGCGACACGTTGCACGGCAGCCGGTTGCCCAGCCACCGCACCAACCGTGCAGTCAGTTGTTTCTATCAAAGTAATATGTATTAGAGTATTTGTTTATTTTGTATTTATTTATTCGTGAAAGTCAAATCATTACGTGAATCTTTAAAAAGGCAATTTTGAAAGTTAAACAAAATATTTCTTATCTAAGATTTAAAAGTTGTTTATGGTTTGACAGATAAGACATGTTGGACCTAGGTATTTATGTTGCTGTAACTTCTGAATTCATCCATAGATCTATCTATACCTATGATGTGTGTCTGACGTATTATCTTTCATGATTATTTGTTGACGAAAGGAGTGGGGGGATATTTTTACCAATTGAGAATCGATTTAAAAAAAAAACGTTCTCATAAGTTTCATATTTGGGTAAATTCGTTTTATTTCCATAATCCGTCGGTAGAGAGGGCAAATCATGCTTCCATATTGTGTGGCGTCAATGAATATGTAGGTAATAATAATCGCCTGCCTAGTTACATATTGATACCGTACCTATATAATTATTTAGTTTTTAGTTATTATTGTTTACGATTTAAGGGCTTCTTGTGGATGTGTACAGACTAATATGTATGTATTTTTGACAAATTAGTAGATAGTATAACATTATATTAAAACTCATTTTTATTTTTATGTGAGAATAATCTTTAGCACTTTTAGGAGTTTTCTCTACCGTAAAATATTTTCTTTATGTCCTTTTCACTCTTATTCTGTGAGGAATGAGATTTGGAAAACCAGTTGCGTGAACTCAGCTGAGTTTTCATTAGGGATACAGTTCTGATGTTGGGTCAAGTTTTTTAAAACGTGTCTTTCTTTCTTTTACTTTCAAAACAAACAAAAGTATTTTTAAATCAAACTTGTAAATTAAATCAATATCAATATTAACAGGTTCCTATAAACTTTAGTTCTCGCTTGAGGAATTTTTATAATCAAATATATAATATTTCTTAGAATTAAAAACATCTATACATACAGGGTGTCTCGGACGGGTTACCGGGGGTCCGGTTCGAAGCGCAGGAGAAGGAACGGGCTGGTTTTTAGTCAGTAAGAGTCTGACATTCCCTCCAGAAGAGGAGCAGAAATTCGATGATTTTCCCCCCTTAAAAATACATACAGGGTGTTCCTGAAGTCGACGATCAGATGGCACCAGGTGATCGCCAAGGTTCCAACAGTTATCAGATAAATATTAAAAAAACTCGAGTCAAATAGGTTTTAAATTACAATGACTTATGTGTTATCCACGAAAAAGTACACCCTGTGCCAGTCTTTTGACTCTTGTTGCTACAATTCTTTATATTTTCGTCTGTAATTTTGCTTACGTTATCTTCTATCCATAAAAAATCATTAAACTGTCAAACACCAAGCGGTCACCGGTGACCGCGACCTATTGTTCTTTAATTGTGTCTATAAAACCGGTACTCGACGAGTTAAAAACTGCTAACGGCAGAAGACTATGGCAAGGTCCTAAAGTGTGTATCACAATCACATGAGCCTACCTAATAAACGACTACACTATAAAAAACGCGTCGCTTGGTATACTTTCATGTGGTGTGGAAATAATGTTTTTTCCAAAATGGTAATAAAAATGTACTTTACTGTGCTCTGGCGCCAAAACTACTTACATAACAAGAAATCTGTCGAGATATAAATTGTAGAAAATTGTGGGTACTTTATTTTGTATTTAACGGTAAAAAATGCCATTACATTTTACCAGAAAACCGTTTAATACATACCTTTTCATCACTACATTACATAGTATAAAACAAAGTCGCTTTCTCTGTCCCTATGTCCCTTTGTATGCTTAAATCTTTGAAACTACGCAACGGATTTTGATGCGCTTTTTTTTAATAACCAGTTAGAGTGATTCTTAAGAAAGGTTTATGTGCATAATATAGTCGAGAATAATATACATGCATAATATAGTCGAGAAACACTGATAATGTGATGTACTACAGTATTGACCACCTTAAAAAGTTCAACAAAGTCCGCGATGGTATATGTCTATCTATTAGGGATAACCCACCATAACCATTTTTATACTTTAATATCAATATTAAAGTATAAAAATGGTTATTTACGAAGTGATTTTAAACAATACAGCATTAATCCTTATCCAATTAAGCAAATAAATTGTGCATTTACCATAGATCAATATGCTTTTTACAGCATGTAATTTAAGTAAATATTTCCGAAGATATTACAAATTTAAAATGCAGGGACGTATTTGTTGCAGCGTTGATGGCCGCGCTTCGTCCTAGAGCACTTTATGACTTGCAACGATCGCACGCGTTTATCGGACCTCTCTAGCGAGGAAAATATCAATATAAAACATGTTTGTAATGTCTAATGACAAAATAGCTGGTAACGTGGTGTATTTTGTAGTAGGTATTTTTACATACATAAGTATTGCACCCGTGCGAAGCCGGGGCGGGTCGCTAGTTAAGATATATTGTAAAAATCTGGCCGCATTGGTTGACCGCCTTTTTTCCAAGATGGCGGCGCGAGGGGTGCACGTACAAAGATGCAAAGGAGGAAATCGAAAACAGCACATCATATCTACAATATTGCCGATTTTCAAAACTCCCCAAAATAATATCAGGTAGACGTAGAGCTACCAAATTACTGAACTAGTATGACAAGGTTAAATAATTATGACCTTAATTATCTTAATTCTTAAAGGAAACACAACATTTATTGGAAAGTAAAAAAGTATAGGTAATAATAGTAATAATAATTCATAGACCAAAATATAATTTTATAAAATATATTTACAACAATAATTGAAATATGGCGCATACACAGAGAAAAACAATACTGCTTTTGAATAAAAATGCTGAACTGGGTTCTGGACAAATATCATGTTGTTCAACTGTTTTGAAATACGGTTCATGGAGCTCTTGTCTTTGTTGTATCAGACCTGCGATGGCTGCCTCTCCATCTGGTGACATAGTCCTTTCACGACTCAACTGCCAAGCACGAACTAGAAGAAAATGGTAAAACATAATGTTAGTTAGCTATTCACTAGATAGTTAATAAACAGGTTTTTTTTGTCGTAAGCTATAATATAATAATAATTCATTTATTGCAGACCATGTCCATATTCTTGTTAGTAACATTGAACTTAAAAACTAATGTTAGTACACATTATATATATGATTTAATAGATCAATATACAAGATAATATAGTTTGATGGGACTTCTGTGAGTACTGTGTGTGACACATCCCACTCCCTACTTGTAGGTATCATAAATGTCAAAATGTTTGAGAATATAGAATAGAATACGTATATTATTCTAACTTTTACCCGCGGCTTTGCTCGCGTGGAATTTAGTCTGCCACATTTAGTTTCGTGACAAATTATTTAAAATAAGTGTATTTTTTTGTACATCCAACATCTTAAATTACTAACGTTTTATGTCGTTGGAAATTAATATTTTAGTGTAATTTGTTTATTTAATCTAATCAGGATCACCAGTTACTCCAGATCTTCGATTATCCTAGTTTTTATAGTTTTCTCTTTATGTGGCCAATAAACCCTAACTCTGTACCAAATTTCATAAATGCGAAACTTTGCTTTCACTTAACTTCGGAACTGAATTCCCTGTAGACTTGAAATTTTGAATTTTAAGTATGTGATTATAGCTTACTGGATGATGAAAATTTTGCGTTCTGGTCTTATCCAGAGGTTAATAACGATATAGTTCCAGTAAAGGCGGCACAGCAGTTGGGACAGCAGTGTTTGCTTCGCGCTCAACTTGGCGGATTTAAAGAATATCCTTGTATTTTTTATTTTAAGTAGAATTTAACTATGTTAATATTAAGTTTTTTATGAATAGTGAACTTGCACACATACCTTGTCTTTGAAAGGCGTTTACGTTGTTGCAACTATACGCTAACGCGTAACTGGTGTAGTCTGTAGCCAGGATATAGACTATGGTATCAGCACTTTCTGAAATCAAAATAAACGCAAAATTCTAATTGCACATATTTACCAATTAATTCCACGTCATTTTGTAGTTCAATATAGTGAAACTATATAGGTAGGTAGTTTCTTTGCGATTGATATTGAGTGAACGATTTACTAAATTATGTAATCAAAAACGTTATTGTTGTAACTATTATACGATATTACTACGAGATATATAGCTTTTATTCATCTGGCTTAACTTAAGAACTGTCGTTTACCTTCTGAACCCACAACTGGCATGCTTAAAGTTATTTGACCGGAGCTTTCAGTAGAATTGAATCTGCCTGTTCTTCCCGTAAGCGAGAATTCTCCATTGACCACTTCATATGAAATAACGTTGATGCTGTCGGTTTCTGGTGTAAATCTCGTGCCAACACAAATAGTTGTAACAGGGTCGTATCTTTTGATCTGGTTCCAGTTTCCTTGGAACTATAAAAACGAATTAATTAAATTATTGCTTCTTTCAAAAAACACTTATTATTTGTTATAGGATAATTGTTCGTATTACCAATTAACCGTAAGTTTTAACTACGAATCATTATGGTTTAATAAAAATGAATTACGGAGTATTTTATTCAATTTTTTATGACTTATGACTTATTTATTATGACGTTCTAGATTTATTAGAATGTTTAGACTAGGCCATACCAGTTTATCCTAGAGTGTGCGTTTTATGTCAGGATCAACTAGTTTGTCCCAGCCTAAACTAATTTATCCTATCGGGCTTAGGACAAATTAGTTTGAACTAGGCTATACTAGTTAATCCTAACGCGTATAGGAAGAACTAGTTTAGCCTAGGCAAAACTAGTTTGTCCTGAAATCGGGTTTGGCCGGTAACACTTACATAGATCAAACTGAGAACGTTCTTTTTCTTTGAAGTCTATTAAAAAAGGTACCCATATAGGTAGGACTCATAACCTACTGCATAATATCTGATGTAATAAGGTAATCGCTTTACTCGTCGAGTACCATATTTATAGACACAATTAAAGAACAATAGGTTGCGGTCACCGGTGACCGCTTGGTGTTTGACAGTTTAATGAAGAACACAATATTATCTTATATATATATTCTTTATTATCTTTATTTATTACATGTTATTATTTATTATATTTTATATATTATATATATGCTTTTTTATCTTATATAAAATTTATGTAACATACAAACAACAATATTGTGTTCATGGTAGAGCTGAGTTGTATTGTAAGCTCATGCAATAGTTGGAACATAGCATAATGTCAAAAAATTGTAAACCATTCTGTACACACTATGACTTATTTTACATCTCTTACTATTATACCAAGCTGAAAAGTTTGTTTGTTTGCACACGTTAATCTCAGAATCTGGTCCGATTTGAAAAAATAATTTTGTGTTTTATACAATACAAAGCATCACGCTACGACCAACAAGAGTCGAGCAGGTGAAATCGCGCGGCAGTAGCTAGTACAAAATAACAACTTACTGATGATTTATCTACTGGCTTGCACTACTAATAATAAATGTCAATATGCATTCTTACCTGATTTACGTCGAAGGACGCAACTCCAGAAATGGTTTGGTCACATTGGCCAGGTATTATAATATCATCATTTTGAGCAATGTCGGGATATTGGAAACACATTTCAACATTCTGTTCCGTGATTTGATAATAGTCTTCAAGGAGACCTTGAGTTCTGCTAACCACTGCATCAATAGCAGCATTGTCTTGGATACTCAGTATTCCAGTTCTACTTAGTTTCCAGCTGCCAACTGGAAATTTAATCCGTTTGAAAATGAACTTTAATAATTTGATTGTTATCAGAGATGTTAATAACTAATATACAACGTTTACCCACCTCGTCGTTTGTTTCCGTTGTCTACATTGGCGCAGCTGTAGACAAGTGCATAATTGAGGTAGTCTGTTGCCAGTACGTAGTAGTTGGATCGCCTGATTTCTGCATATAAATTTTTTTTTGAGTATTCTGTCTGTTTTATGTTGAAAAAGGTAAAATTCGATTTTTATATTATTTAATTGAAAAACAACATTAGGTATATCGCATCACTTGGTAATAAAATAGTATTTTGCATAGTTGTATTTATGACAACAAGTCATATTTATGTCAGATGTTAAAGTTGTTGCTTGCTAATGTTAAATCACAATTGATAAAATCGTATTCTTTAGTTTTAATTTTGGGTTAAATTCCTGAAACTGGATAAAGTCAAGAATTGTGTGGTAATATATACAGGCTGTCTGACGCATGGACCGACACAATTTTTTCAGGGATTTTGGTGGCCAAGCTACCTTTTACGCAAAAACCTTCATTCCAAATGTCACAGATGGCTACATAACATTTTTTTATTGAAATGAAAAATGTACCCAAAATGTTTCTTTTAACTCAAAATAACTTTATTGTCCGTGAATGTAGTAGTTCATGCGCCGAATGCGCTGTATAAGTGTTTTGAAAATTTTCGTGCATAAAGTGCGCACAAAATATTGTTACATTATCTTGCTATGCAATGCGACTTTTTACAGAATACGTGAAGCAATAGAAAACTGGTACACATCCTGCTACACGTAACCAGTACAAAATGACCGTTAAAAGTGTGCAAAGATCTTATAATGTGAGATCATTAAAAGCTGTGTTGGTATACCTTAATGTGTAGCGGTGTCTACTAGATTAAATACTTTAATTTTTTTAAAGTAATAATATGTCTATAAGGGCTATAAGTCTATAAGGGCTTCCGAGAATGAACACAGTGAAACCCTGGCTCTTGTACTAGGTATCCCTGTATCACAAGACCCAGAATACAGAATCACATTCACGAACGTCGTCGTTCACCGTGCAAGTAGCCTATAAATAAATAGTAACTTACGTAAAGCCGTCTGTTTCAAGTTTAAAAACCAGACTTAAAGTTGGTTTACGATAAATTTTAACGTTACTTACCGTTATTGTCACTGAAAGCAACTTCCAACTGCCAAGTTCCGTCATCGCTTGCGACAATGGCTATTCCTTGTATCTTGGTCAATTCTCCATTTGTAATTTGGCTGTGTATCACAGAAAGACCGCCTCCCTCAATTGGGGTATAAATTGCACGGTTACACTGTCCAACTTGCCACAGCTGTGGATATCTAGCGGTTTCTATCCACGTGCCTTCATACTAGCAATAAAATGTAATATGTATTATAGTCTGATAATTAAGTAGGAAATATTGGGGTTGACTGGAAAGTTATCCGGGGGTTTTGAAAATCTGCAATTTTGTAGATTTTGATGTGCTCTTTTTGATTTCCATTTTGCACTCTTGTAAGTGCGCTGCTAGCGCCGCCTTTTTGGAAAATGCCAAAGCCAAAAACAGTTTTATTACGATATCTTTTTCCTGTGCAATTTACGAGAAAATTAAACTACTCACTATTTTCTACTTTTTCTAAATTTTTCTAAGATGGCGAAGTGAGCGGCCCATGTATAAAAGTGCAAAATGGAAACCGAAAAGAGCACATCAAAATCTAGAAAATTCCCGATTCTCAAAACTCCCGGAAAACATTCCAGATAAAACTTCCTAATTCCCAAATGAAGTATGTTTGTACACACATATATTGACAGTCATTAACTATAACCCGTCACGAAACGCATAAAATTCGATAACGGGTCGAACCAAGATATCACCAAGATGAAGTGAATATTATATTGTAAGGTAGACACACCAGACATCGTCATCAATTAATCCACGGTAGTCTACCTCTATATAAGGATAATGCTTAGAATGAACGACACACATTGATCGCTAACTCTCAGAGTGCACTCTGAGTGTGTCTTGTGAAAATCATTTCTGGCCATTATTAAGGTCATGTAAGTCATTTTGTTTTCTAAAATTGTATAAATTGTTTTTTTTTGTTTGAGTTCTGTGTTGAGTGTTTGATTTGGTGTAAATTTAAATTGAAATAAACTTTTCTTGTTGAGTTTGTAATATATTGTAATTATCTAATACTTACACTTCTGTAAACATAATCATGGTTTTGTGGCGACGCATGCCACATGTTAACGGATGACGTCACAAGAATCCTACATCGCACATGCAAAGTTTACAAGCGAATAAACACGGATAGAAAATCCCAACGAACAACTCTTGGGCAGAAAGCTCGCCAGGCACGATCACCTCGCCTGGTCGGAGGATCCTCCTTTTCCGATCTTAGGGAACTATACTCTCTGTTTCCTAAAGTTTGATGTCGACTATGTTTCGACTATGACATTCGTTTCATGCATAATATATTGTTAGAAAAGTGAAGAAACTTCATTATGGAAGGGATGACAAGTGGTGGTAGCGCAAATCTATATAAGATCGTGCGCGCCTTATTTGGGTTTTGCGCGCAATTTTGTGGAATGGTCAACTTGCCTAAGGGGAAGCTCTGCCCGTTTGGAGGGTCAACCTGCTGATCTGTAGTTTTGAAATTGTTAAGTGTTCATCTTTCTTTAAATTAGTAGAGTGTAGGAGTAAGTTCTAGTTTTCGTAATATGATTTCCCTTGGTAGACGAAATAAAAACGTGTTGAAGGTATTTTGAGATTTTGTTTTTTTTTTTAAATAAATTTTACCTCCGGTGTTTCTAAAAATATAATCATTACTAAAGGTGGTTTAATATTGTGTGCTCACGTAACTACAAAATATTATAAATTACACATTTCAACTTATATATGTATAATATATAATTAATAGTTTCTTTGTTAAATAGTTAGTTTGTTTGTCTGTTTGAATGAGTTAATCTCAGAAACAATATGAAAAAATATTTTTGTATTGGATAGTCCATTTATCGAGGAAGGCTACAGCTATAGGCAATAAAACATCATGTTATGACTAATAGGAGCTAAGCAGAGCGGGTGATTAGTTCAATAATATATTAAGCTACTTACTGCAGTGGTATTGAAGTCCGGAATACCTCTGATGCTGGTGTCGCAAGGGCCAGGCAGTTCGATGAATTGCTGTGGTTCATCAAACTTTGGATAGTAGAAGCACGATGCAAAACTTTGACTTGTGGGTAGGTAATACTCTTTAAGTAGACCTTGTGTTTGGTTTATGACTTGATTAATTGCATTAGTGGCCGCTGCACTCAGAGTCCCTGTTCTACTAAACACCCAACTGTCGACTAAAAATAAGGACATTTTAAGTAGAAGTTTTATAGGATATAGCTAAGGTACAATGTAATATACGTATAGCAAATACCTACATAAAGCATACGTACAGATATACATAATACACATACACCCACATTCATATCATACCACTTAAAACTTTACAGCATTATTTTGGACACGGCCTTATGCATCCGCACGTTTGTACATACCATTAGTTATACCTATACGATCGGGGTCTGCGGCGGGTGACTGAGTAGCCCAGTTCTGCAAGATTCTTTTTTGTATCCTTCGAGGTCCCTAGCAGCAATTTAACGTACATACATATTTGTCTATCATGATGGTGTGCTGTGAGGTGTGAGTCTGAGAGATCTGGAAGTTCTCTCCTATGATTTTATTAACCTCAGCGATGGCGATAGCTGCTTAGTACAGGTCGGGGAAGTGTGCATGATGTAGTTCCTGATGGGAGTTTATGTGTCTTACCCTGCTATATGCCAATTTAGGGTCAATTGCGGCAGCAGCTGCCCATTTCCTCTTAAGGTCCAGGGCCTGGTCCAAGATAGCAGGGATCTCTAGGGCTCTGCAGTGAGATTTCACAAACTAATCCATATACTGAACAGCCTTTAGAGAGAAAGACTCCCACACTAGTTTCACCTGCACCAAAACAGCTCCTTCTGCTCCTGTCTTATCCAAAACCAGAATACGATCCACTATCTCCTGACGAAAATCCTCCCTACCAGCCACTATCTGGGTGAAGCGACTTGCCAATGATAAGATCGCTGTCCACCCTTCTGGAGCCACAAGGTCTGATACGCAAACAGAAGCCAGTGCTGCCTTCCCCACCCTGATCCTTAACCTTTTTGAAGTGCTCTTTCTCGTGTTGCTGGGACCCCCGTGCTTGGACCTGATATGCAAGAAATCTGAACCGGAGCCAAATATGACAGAATTAATGACACCATCAGGTCATCAGAGTACTTCACGGTTCCGTCCACAACCTCGTGTTCTCCCGCATGGCAGTCGTTCCACTTGGTGATATACTGATAGGACCTCCGTGTGCTGAGACTCAGCACCTGGTTGGATACAGGGATGGTGTATACCATGATGAGGATTGTCCGGGGTTGTCTTGATGGAAGCTACAGTCCTAAGATAATAATAATAAAAAATAATAAGCCCCCAATCTGATTCACGGGAGAGGCAGACACGCGATTGATAAATTACTGGCGCGGCTAACATGGCAATGGAAACCTATCAAAAATGGAGACTCGATCAAAGAGTAAACGTTTAGGGCCGCTGCCCGGGGGCGATCGCGGGAGAACACTTGGAGCTGACGCTGGGTGTGGCAGTGGACGAACCATCGGCAGTGCGGAGTTGAAAAGGCGGGCTCCCACCGGGTTAACCGAACATGCACTGCATCCTTCATCACCATCTTCATCTATTATAGAACCATTTAGTCCAAGCACAACGTCATATGCACCTTCCCACTTTCACTTCTTTCAACAGACGAAGAGACAAGGGAAGCCGAAATCTCCACCTTTACTGTTGCACTGTTGGTCCAAGAGACCATTTTATCTGCGTCCACGAATGCTGGAAAGCCCAGATTGCGCATGAGATGGTCGCATGGGGAAACAGATCTAACTATATACCGGACACTTCTACATCAAAAATTTATGCAACAGTACTCAGAAATAAATGTTACAGAACAAAAAATATCAGATCAAAGGAGAGTTATCATTAGGAATATACTTGTTAAGTATGATATAGAATGTCTTACATTAGAAAATATAAGCGAAAATTAAAAATTCTTATATAAATGTTAGATCTGGACGAAAAGCTACTAAGCGCCATTTTGCACTACTCCGGAATGGATCCATCAGCAAGCCAAAAATTACCTAAATGAAAGTACACCAGACATCTGAATTTGGAGACAGGATAAAGTCTACATAGTGCGTGATTGTCCTGTCTATTTTCTCTTTAAAAAAAACGTTGCCCCACACTAGGATTATCTCCTGTGTCGTGGGTGCGTTTACAAACATACAAGTTCACATACACATGACACCCAGACCCGGAACAACAATTTGTGGATCGCACAAAGTGTTGTTCCGTGCGGGAATCGAACCCGCGACACGTTACGTTGCACGGCCGCCGGTTGCCCAGCCACCGCACCAACCTTGCAGTCAATTACTGGAGTAATCCCAAAACACCTTTTCACAGTTTAAAATTATTGAATATCAAAGACACCATATACATCAAATTGTAAAAAGCGGCTATAGGTACTAAATACGTGTCGTACAGTTAGAAATTTCATGCAGATAGACGAAAATGAAATCTCGCCACCACCACCATCAAACTAAACCATACAAGCGATTGATAGTCACAGTTCACCAACAGCTACCGAATAATATTTGTTATACAAGGTGTAGTTTTGAAACCGTGTCATTTCTCGGGGGCATGTCACAGAAGTCATAAAGGTTACATGTAAGAGAAAATTTCTAGTCAATAGTAAAAAATACGACTATAATTAATCGTTGTCAAGTTCGACAGTATTTCAGAATAAGCGACAACAATGTTTCTTATTGGAGTTGTATGGAATTAGGAATATATTATTCCTAATTCGTTACGTTACGTGTTTGAGTTTATGTGTGTTAAGCCGCGTTATAAAGCTAGTTACAAGACGGCGGCGTATACTTTGCACTTACAAATTTCCGTAATATAAGAAAAATGAAAAATATTTGCCTACAATTTTTTTTATTGATTCAGACTCAGAATCGATATCCGAGTTACCTCCTAGAAAATGACGCGGCTTTAAAACAACACCTTGTATATGTATGTCCTTTACTTGACTGAAGTCCGTAGAGGACATTAAAACCGGCCTTAGCCGAGAGCAAGAAGGAATGCAAAAACATAAAAAAAACAAAATATAAATAGTGGACAACTTATTTTTGGTGATTACCTCGTCGTTTTCCGCTTCCGCTATTAAAGCAGCTGTACACAAGAGCATATTCATCATAGTCGACTGCGAGAATGTAATATGTTTCGCTTACTGAAACATAAACTCCTTACATAAACTCATTTTTGCTTTTATCATCGTGAATATTTAGTTATCTTGTGGTGAAATCACGTAGGTATCCTAATTTAAAGATAGCATGAAGTCGGTAGTTATCTAAATGTAGTTAAATCACGTTAGTTTAGGAAATATTCGCGTATAATTATTATCATTGCAGGAAGGAATAACATTAAATTTAATATAAACCAAATCTTATTTGGTAAGTACCAGTTTCTCTAAGTGTACCTTACATGGCATTTCGTGTTTCATTATCACACCTACCTGCCTATTCTGAAAGTTGTCGTGGTTAAACATCAAATTCTTACAAAATGATCCACTGAATGTATTTGACATTTAACACCTCTAGGCGCAATTATTATTTTTTGTCATTAATTATTATTAAGTTAAAGGTGCTAAGAAAAATACATAATACATACACATGGAACGTTACGTAAATGTTTAAGTATTAAAATGTAGGTATAGGTACACTGGAACTTTGCAATTACATATTATGTTGTACACATTAGTGATGAACGAATGTCATATTTTTGTCTGCGAATGCGAATACCTGCCGACGATACATACGCGAATGCGAATATTGACTACGAATTTGGACCAGTTTTTCCATGGTCAAAGTAAACATCAAAACAGAAGTCAAATAACCAAAATTAAGCAATAGCTAAATTTTAGTAGAAACTGGGATCACCATTAGGAATAAAGTGTCAAAAAAATCCCATAAATTAGATTAAACCTTCTATTTTTTAGCTAAAGTATCAACATGATATACTTTATAATGCTCGGAAGTCGAAACAGTTCGGTCAAAGTAGACAATTGACCGGACTGATGTAATAGAGGTGAGCCTATTGCAATGTATCGGGCACATTTCCAGACTCCGTGCTACTACTGACATTTTTTTTTAAATTCCCAGGAATACTTTGCCCAACCAGGGAATCGAATCACCATTAGGAATAAATTATCAACAGTCCCTATGTAACCTCCGAAAGTTAATTTCTGAAATTCTAATATATTTTGGATGTTTAGATTAAAATATCGAATAAGAAATACAGAATAATACGAACTAATATTATTGTCATGTAATTAAAGTCGCGGAGAACCTAACGGGTGACCGGGGCTCCGGCTTGACGTGCAGGAGAAGGAACGGGGTGGTTTTTAGTCACTGACACTCCCTTCCGCCTCACCCAGGCGGGAGCAGTAATTCGATGATTTTCCCCCATTAAAAAAAATCATGTAATTAAAAAGTATTATTTGAAAACGGGATAGGTTCGGATAAATACTTAAATTGAAAAATTGATGTATAAAAAATTTCCTTATTATTTATGTATTTTAAGTAGTGTAGTTATAGGAAAAATTACTGTCCTTTAATGTTATTTTTTTATCTCTTTGACTGTATTTTAGTGTTACATTGTTCTCGCATAATGCAAACAACAAACTATGTTATTAGAGAATTGTATTGTGAACCTGATTGGAAAAAAGTACTTAATAACTTAAACTAAAAAACTGTGTTTAAAGAAGTTCAAAAACCATAAACTAAAAGACCAAACCTTAAACTGTCAAACACCAGGACACCGGTGATGGCAACCTATTGTTCTTTAATTGTGTCTATAATGACGGTACTCAAAGAGTTAAAACTAAAAAATAACTACTTATTATACTGTACGTTTATTATGTTTTTACTGGCTACCCACTGACAGTTTAGGTGGCACTGACTTCTAACCTATCAGTGGGTGTGTAACCTGTAAGTACGTATGACCAATAATAGCTATTTTTTGCTTTTTTAGTTTTTACTTTTCGTTTAAATTTTTATTTGAATTGATATTTTAGTTTAAAAATAAAACTTTGTTTTAAGTTCAAATAAACAGACTGATAAAAATATAAGTAAGAAAATAATATGTTTTAGTACGATCTTCTGTAGGTAGGTCAATAAATAATCAAACACATTTTCAAAAAACCTTTTCGTTTCATTTTGACCATTAACGAGTTAAAGTGAACTGTACCTAAACTTATACGAAACTGTATTTGAAATTAATAAGACCTACTTTTTACAGAAAAAAAGGTAAGTATTTATCGTCAAGTGAGTTCAGTAAGAATTTAAAATAACTTACCATTATTGTAATTAACTTCCAACTGTCCTGTTCCATCAATGCTGACATTAGCCACTCCTGATATCGTTGCTAGTTCTTCATTAACAACTTGGCTGTTCAATACGGATATTTCGCCATAAGGACTTTCTGACAGCTCATATTTAACACGGTTACACTGACCAGTTTGTGTTGGTTGCGGGTATTTAGAGAGTTCTATCCATTCACCCATATACTGGCGATAAAATGAAATATTATAATCACGTAAAATAACTTTGTGCCTACTGTATAATATTTTCTTTAATATAAAATTTTGCATACATGCATACACAACCTCATGCCTCTCATGGGAGTAATCAGAGTCTAGAACACCAACTGCTACGATTCTTACATACCTCTTTCGCTTCCTCAGGGGCTGCCTCCACGAGCGAGAGAATCGCGACGAGTCCGCCCTTATATCGTCGGATAATCTCCACGAACGAGAGATAATTCCGCCGCGACTCGTAACGGTATCGCCGCGTTTCCTTGACGTTGATGTCACGTTGCCAAAGAAGGGATTCAGTTACGTGCCAGACGAGAGCGAAATAAGTAGTGTCTTACTGAAATGACGCTGCGTTTGACAGCGCGCCCGCCGCGCGCTCGTCACGAGAGCGCCGCGAGCGCGCGGCGGTCGCGTTGCTAGTCGCGGCGGGCTAGCGACGATGTAATGACGTTTTGCGCGCTCGTTGCCATTCGTCGCCGTGTGTAGACGTTTCCATAGAGAATGTATAGAAAAACGTGGCACGGCGATAATATCGCCGCGATTCTCTCGCTCGTGGAGACAGCCCCTCAGCTTTAATCAGTCTTTTCATGCATGCTCGACCTTTTCGTCTAGGTCAAAAAAGACAGAAGGCCTTATGGTGTTTTGACAAGACTTTCTCTGAAATGCACCTTAGTGAAAAGACTTGATCCGTACACCCTATTCCCTTTCAAAATCCCACTCGTACGGTCAAGGTCTAAAGTGGACTTCCAAAGTCAAAACACTTTTGCATAGCAATATTTGTGGCGCTTAGGACCTTCTATATTGTTTATGTTAGCGTCGTTTTCAAAATATGAGGGTAGATTTGAAACAAAGTGACAAGTTCGCTTTAAATCCACCGTCATATTTAACTACTTTTCTAGTACCATAAATTATTCCGGTATTCGCTGTTGTTGATTGGTGAAGTGAATATAACTACGAGTGTTTGTGTTATCTTGGTGTTGTGATATTATTCTTTTGTATTCATTATGCAGCTAATACTAGTATTAAAACCACAGAAATATTAAAAATTCTTTATTATATCTGTGATTAAAACCAAGGCAAATATTGTGGCGCTATGTTTAAATGGTAATATATCTCAAATATCGAATGAAACCGGCTTATGCGTAAGTAATTTTTATAACTTTATGACGTGATGATACCTACAAAATAATATTATAGATAAATTGCTTGTGCATGTGAGTAATATTTATATTATTATTTTTGGAGAGAGACTACTACTAGCCGTTGGGTGAAGAGATTTGAGGAAGGTAGTCTGAAGAGTCGTTATAGGAGTGGAAAACCATCTCTTTTTCTTCGGCGAGCTGATTATGAGACGAATGGTTTCATCCCAACAAGGCGGTTCGCTGATGAGTTCGGAACATCAGCACGCACCGTTCGCCGCAGACTCCGAATGACAGCTAAAAACCGTTTGTAAAGCAACGGCATAATAGTAGGCGGCCCGGGAATAGTTGGACTTTGTGAATAGTGAATATGTGGGGGTGGATATGTGCTCAAGGACCGGACGAATTAAGTAATTTCAACGCGAGCCAACAGTGTCAATTATGTGGAAGTGTTGAACGATGTTATGTTGCCTAAAATGAAATAAATAAATAGGTATATAAAAATTATATAAAAAATTTATTATACATATAACAAAAGGTAAATATAAATTACTCAAATTTACAAGTAGGTAATCGTTATATGTAAAATATAAAATAAATAATATATATATCTTTCTTACACTTACTGATGCTTATATACTATTTATATATATTATTTATATTATATAAAGACCCTAAAGCCTAACCTTACTTTTGAACTCACACCAATCCCTATTTAGTATTTGTAAGTATGTTCTTTTCTGTTTTCTGTAAAATAAAACAATAAAATATTCCTATTAGTGGACAAAAAAGCGAATTGCGATAACATCATTATTCAGATATTTCTAAAGTTCTTGTTCACATCGATTAACAATTATGAATGTTATCTCTGTATAAATAAGGTTGACAATATGTAGCGGATAACATTAATAGATACTAGTAGACTGACAACTAAGAACACAATCTTTTTATAATGCGGGGTGTTTGAAACATTATTTTAGATTGTCGGTAGTTACTTCATAAATGGATCAAATAAAATAACTTGAAAGTTCCGTGGTTACCTCGAACATTGTAAACTTTAATCTTCATCATCATCATCATCAACAGCCTATAAATGCCCACTGCTGAGCAAAGCCTCTTCTCACACGGAGAAGGTTAGAGCATTAATCATCACGCTTGCTCAATGCGGGTTGGCGATTTCAAACTTATAATTAGAAATTATAAGTTCAGGTTTCCTCACGATGTTTTCCCTTCACCGTTTGTCAGTGGTGTCTAAATAATCTTAGAAAGTACATATAACTCGGAAAAAGTCACAAGGTACTTGCCGTTGGTAGGTTTCGAACCCGATCCCACAATTACTTTAATCTTAGCTATTGAAAAATTAGAAATTTTGCATTAAATAATGTTTAAAAATATTTAATAAAAACAATAAGAACGTCATCAATGCTGGGATCGAACCTGCGACCCGTCATCGTTAATCTCATGCGCCAAGCTTACAACTACAAAGTATTTCGAAATATTTGATGTCATTCAAAACTATATACTATATATTGTACTTATTGGTATGATAAAATAGTATGTAGCTCGATCATTCAATGTTTGTTACATATTATTTATATCTTTACCTTCATTTTTGTTTAGTCTTATTCAATGAATTAATACATATACCGTCACTAAGATAGGTAATATTAAATACTAATGTGTGCGTGATGGACGAATGTTGTTATGCACATTAATTTGAAATTACTTACGCATAGCCGTGTGAACATCACTCACGGATAAATATACGGCGACACTCGACTTAAAAGTTTGACTGTACATCCCAGATTTTATTTTTAGTCACATCCTTACTCTTTTATTCAATATCTTGGCATACGACTTTCCTACTGCGCTCAGGAGGCTTATACAGTGAAATGTTTTGCACTCCTGTTGTGACCTTTCCTTTATGCAGTGTCAAAATTGTTATTACATTGCAATTCCACCTCCACCCCTTGTTAGCATTTCAGTAGTTATCTATCTCGCTGCTCTTCCTACTTTCAAACTCTTAATGGCACTTATGATTTCATCCGTATTAATTTCTCCCACACTAGCAGCATATTCATTATCATCGTTTGCTATCAATTACTATAATTTTTGTACTACCAGTTTTTATTACTTTGATAATGAACAACGACGTGTTTATTCATACGTTACTTAATATTGTAATTAAAAACAAGATACTTACTTTATCCACCTCGAATCCTGGAATTCCTTTAATATTGTGGTCGCAAGTTCCAGGCAGCTCGACGTATTCCCATGTTGGATCAAACTCTGGATAATAGAAACAATCGTCTGGTTCTTGGCGTGTGGGCTGATAGTATTCTTTATGGAGACCTTGGGTCCTGCTTACGACTGCATCAATGTCAGATTGGTCCTCTGAGCTCAGTGTTCCTGTTTTGCTAAGCACCCAACTGCCGACTAAAGAAAGTATTATTAATGATTAATTAAAACAACTTTTTGATAGCGAGCACGTTTCTATATTCCGTTTATAGCAAAGAGAAAGACACACATAGACAATACATAGAGGGATAGCATAGACTAAAATGGGATTAAATTCTATTACAAAAAACTATTTCGATATATATAAATAACACCCCCACTATATCGAAATCAGATAAATACAAATAAACTATTAGGTAACTGACAAACCATTAGACCTTAAGGTATACATAAAAATTAACTAGGGTTTAACAAGTCCTAAAATCTCTATGAATTTGTAATGTTTTGCCCTATTTAAACCTTTAGTCAACAAATCAGCAGGCATCTGAGAGGTACCAATATATTTTGTTTCAATAATATTGTCATCAATAACTTTCTTTATGAAATTGTATCGAAATCAATGTGTTTGGACCTCTTGTGTGACTGATGATTATTGGCAAGCTTCAACGCACTTTGACTATCACTAAATAATGTTATTGTGTTACATAACCCAACTAATTCTGTTTCTAGTCTACGCAAAAATATAGCCTCACGACTTGCTTCCGATAAAGCCATATATTCTGCTTCACAGCTACTCAAGGCTACTGTGCGTTGTTTTCTGCTTTCCCAAGCAATAGCAGACCCACTTTTCAAAAAACAAAAACCAGTATATGACCGTCTATCTAACGCATCACTCGCCCAATCGGCATCTACATAGCCGACCAAATCTGCTGTTCCTTGGGAGTATCTCAAACAGTAATCCCTTGTTTTATACAGATATTTTAGAACCCTTTTAGCATAAGAAAAATGAACACTTGAATAGGAATTATTAAATTGTGATAAATAACTGACAGAGTATGCTATGTCTGGTCTAGTCATCACCGCTAGATACATTAAACATCCTATTAACCTTTGATATGGAATATTATCTTTACACATACTAGATTTTTCAACATTTAATTTACATTCAATAGGTGTTTCTGCTGAGTGACAATCAGTCATATTAAACTTTTGCATCAACTGCTCTATATAATGCTTTTGATCAAGTGTTACAACACAATTCTTCCTATCAACATTAACTTTCATGCTAGATACTGTTTAACATTACCAAGATTCTTTATTTTAAATTTTACACTTAAAGCTTCAATTAAACTATCAGTTTCAGACTTATTTGAAAAAATAGGAAATCGTCTACATAAAGACCTACTATCACTTTTTTACCAGTATTACAATCTTTTATAAATACACAAGGCTCTATTTTACTTTTGACATATCCTAAATTACATAAAGTTTCATTTACTCTATCATACCAGGCTAAAGAAGCCTGTTTTAGGCCATAAATTGCCTTTTTTAATCTAAGAACTTTATTACAATCAGTAACAGGGAAACACTCAG